TCTGTCCACACAGTTCTGATGGAACCTCCCTCACATTAATACATGAAACTAGAAGAAATGTCTTTGTATGTTGTTACAGCTCATGTAGCTCCCTGAGACAGAGCATTGCTTTGTAATGCTGATGACATTCTATTGTTAACATGGTATCATCAATACACAGGATTTGCAAAGACTGGATACAAAGGAAAATGTAGGTTGTGCCTCACATCAGTATAGACAAAGCTGCAAGATAAACACTAAAGCTGCAACTATAAACAGTAGTTCATTTACATGAAGCCTTTGAGATGAAAAGGCTCATTTAAACATACACTATAAAAACTGCGAGCCATGAAACACTGCTTCCAATCACATTCTACTTTTAGCAGACAGATACTCGCTGTGCATAACAGCCCACACCACATGTGGGAGTTCCTGAGAGATTCCAAATCAGTGTGGGTGCCGTAGGTGGCTCAGCTACTCACGTTTCGAACAGTAAAGGAGGCTCTTCCACAGGAAACCAAGGATAAGTGACACGCACTCAGACAGCCTTTCAGTCCTGCACAACCAACCGTCTGTCTTTTTCTTTTTATTTGTCTGCAATGTAAACACACCTAAATACATTAGGGCTGTGTATTGGTAAGAATCTGGTCATACAATAGGATACAGGAAATTAAATACACTGTAAAACCAGATAAGTTCATTATAATAATTTAAAACCAACTTAATTTTGGTAGGTTAAAAATATTCTTGATCAAGTAGCTTTAGTAATTTTATAGTTACACTGACTTAATATTTATTTGCACAATAAAAACAAAATACCTTAATCACACACGAGAGAAATCAGTTAAATTACCAAGTTGGAAACTTTCATGTCTTTCATGCAATCTGCATCAGTCACAATAATTGTGCTGCGCTGCTCAGAACTTAAACTGTAGTTGGCAGGACAGTGGATAAATGGTACCTTACACATGGATGAGTGAACACCGAGGGCAGCAAGTTCTACAGCAAGGCAGAGTACAGCACATAAAAGAACAAAAAGCATACAGCACAGTTAAGAGGAGGGAGGGAGCAGGGATGTCACTAGAACCGAAACTTTGGTACCAAGTCGATGCCAAAGTTCTGAGAACTTGATGGTAGTCGTTTTTCTACAGTACCGAAATCAATCAGTTCTGACGGAGCAGCATATATACGTCTGCAAGAAGCTTTTCCCGTTACGCTACAATCTCTGGCGCAGATACGGCGGATGTTTTACAAACATGGACCAGGTAAAGCATGGATGAACAGTGGACACACCAACTTTTGCTGATATGTTTTCGATCGTTTTCATAGGGCACCTCATTAACAATGTGCCTCCTCCACACTAGGACTGCCCGATGTGGTAAAGACATTATATTGCGATTCACGATTATGTGGGAATTATCTTTTGTTTCATTACAAATTGAATTTTAACAACAAAAAATTATTGGAATCATGATAATGTGAAGTTATTGGGGTCTGTACCAAACATGCTTTCTTAAATCTGCAGAACAAGAACTGTAGGCCAGGGTAACTCTGCAGCACTACAGTACTTCATTATAATGCTGTTTGTCATACAGCTCTTGCAATTTGCATAATGCGACTTTGATAACATTTCAATTAATTGTGCGGCTCTACTCCACACACAGCTCACCTCCTGTTGTTTAAACAGAAATGAGGGTGAAGAAATCCCAAATACAAGTTGTGTTTTTTAGTGACTTTATAAAACTCACTGCTGAAGAAAGCCAACAGAGAGAGTCAGGACATGCCAGGCTGTGTGGCTGTGTGTGTGTGTGTGTGTGTGTGTGTGTGTGTCAGACAGACCAGAGTGGGTGATAGTGGAAAAGAGTGCCAAAGGGAACAGCAAGGCGAGTACATTAAAGTAGTTTGTGAGTTAAGCAGTGAATTATAAAAAATCTGTTAGAAAAAGGTACCACTCTTGTTATTGTTCTTATGTTTAAATGTTTTTAATAAAGCAGTGTGTGCTGAAGTACATGGTATTTATGGTTTTGTTTTTTACCCGGGTATTGAATATCGTGGACTTTCACTTTTATTGGTATCATAGAATGACTGACAGTTTAGTAGTCAGGGGCCCTCAAAGTTGACCAATATTTCTGACAGAAAACACAGAGCCAAGAGGAATAAGGGGGCAGGTAAAAGGTCTGAAAAGTGACAAAACCTGAGGTCCACGCCAAAGGGAGTTAATGTCTCCCACAGCAAACACTGCTCCTGCACTGCCTGACACACCTCGTTTGTATTCAGCCCTTTCTTCTAGGGAAATATGGCACCACCTATAGGCTAAATCATAGTCCAGTCCCACCCACTGAAACCTAATGAGTATACCTCGCTGTCCACCATTGTTGTTTTCTCGCTATATATGTGGCAAGTATGAGCAAAGCACGTAGTGTAGCCTTCCTGTGCTGCTGTAGACTTGTCCACAACACCAACTACAGAGTTGGAGAGCAAAGACAACTCCCGCAAGGAAGACACACACACCCACTCACACCCACACACACACACCCACACCCACACACACCCACACAGCACCCCTGGGAACACTTGGGTGTTAGGTGCCTTGCTCAAGGGCACTTTGACAGAGCCCAGGAGGTGAACTGGTGCCTCTCCAGCTACCAGTCCACACTTTATCTTTTAACCATCTTCAAAATGTGATTGTCTTTAAATTAGCCTAGCACATAGCACATCTAAGTACAGGAAAGGAGGAAGCTAACCGAGGTTTGCTCAAGGTCTGGCGCACACAGCAGAAGGACTTGGGATTGGTGTATCGGTGCCACCAAAAAAACATTAAAAAAAGAGAATTAGATGTCATACAGTTTCTATTGAATTCAGCTAAACAGGTGAAAACACCCACATATCACAGGTGTGCACCAACTTACTCCACTGTAGCCACTTCCATCTGGCTACAATCATCATCATTTTGGAAAGAAACATTCCACACTGACTTGTCATGGTGACTTTAGATAAGAACATGATATTAAAACTGAAAACAAAAGCATTACTAAATAGTGTTTTGTACCCTATGCACACACATGCAGCCATTTTCTGTGCTGTGAAATACTGCTGTTTTTTTGGGTGGGGGATGTTGTGCATTTAGAGCACAGGCAGTAATGCACCCATCAGTATCCATGGTGACGGCTGCTTCCTGCTTGTGGTGGGAAACAGAATGTATGTCCCGCAGTGTGCCTGTTTATTTATATCCTCCAAGGCACCTAAACTTTCAGGGTCCTGCTATGTCAGACCCATCGCTCTGACATCTCTTCACATCAGCTGCATGTGTATAGGTTTCTGTGTGTGGGTAAAAATGTCTGTTCATGAAAGATTAATAAAGAGGACAAATACAGTAATCATTAATATATGCCACCGGTGATGGACAATCGGCCAAACGCTGCTGTGGACAAAACAAACAATTTAAAAACATTGGGAGTCTGGTAAATTCTATTGGACATTCTCGGACATTGGATGGACATTTTATAGACTAAATGATTGGATTATTAGCCACAGCTGCCCTCACCCTATATCCTGACAGTAGTACATGATACAGATAATCTGTGAAAAAATCTGGTTCCTCTGGCTCCTCCTAGTGATCCTAATGGCATTAGCAACAATCCACCGGGTTTGAATCAACCAATCAGAGCTGAGAAAGACTGATTGTTGAGTCCCATTCTCAGGTCGTCAAATACAGACTTGTTGGGACCCTGGACATTCAAGCCACCAACCCAAAGCATCTTTGTATCTTTCTGGGCTCTGATTGGTTATTTTCATTAATTAATTTATTTCATAATATACAAAAAGTATTTTTTATAAAAATTACCTACAGCAGCTTTAAATAGAATCATGAATAGGAATGTAAAGATATATTGTGAGAGTTAAATTACAGTATATACAAATGTGAAGATTCAAATCGGTGAGATGAAAAATTAATCATGATACTATTTTTTAACAGCAGAGGGTGCTATCTACTTTTGACTTTCGGTGTCCCACGTCACTGTATCTGTATCAAGGAGCAGAGACACCAGTTTCACTTTAACGAAGACAAGGAAATATACATTGTTTCCCACAGTTTATACCTAAGAAATAAAAAAGGATTATTTCATTGATTTCACTGAGAAAATAAGTTTTGTAGATTTTTGTCTGAGAAATAAAGGAATCTTTTACAGTCAGAATGTGGCTTCAGTCTCATTTGGTTAAAATATTGTGGGAAAATCAGAATCCTATTATTTTTAATAATAATATTATTATTATTATCCCAGTATTTTTTACATTTTACCAAATTGTAAGTAACATCCCTAATCAGGACCTTAAGATCAGAGGTCAAATCAAATTGTGACACCCCCATGCATTTGGAATTTTTTTCTTTAGACTTACATTCTTATAGGAAGCATGATAACCATTTTTATGTATTGTGGTATTTGCTATTTTCTGGGTTAATATTCAATATCTACAAAGGCAGGAATTAGCAATTACAGTGTTTTTTGTTTACTTGTTTGTTTTTCTAATTGGTTGACTTCATTGTGTGTCCACCCACTTTAGTAGAGCATGCTTAATATCACTCATTTGCTCTTTCAGGATGAGCTAGAACACTGTACAGGTGCCTCTTACATGTCTCTATTTGTGCCACTGCAGGGGGGTTTAGAGAGGGCCTGGGTGGGAGGGTCTCATTCTACTTCAGGCCCAATCAAAGCTGGAGCCGGCCCTGCGCCACACACAAACATGTTTTGACATCTGAGATTCACATCCAGTGTCGCAGACGGACACACATCTGTGCGCCCGAATGACAAACACAGCGGCCATTAATTAACGTCCATTAACCACAGTGTCCGCACACACTGTCCTGTCACGACAGCAGCTACGTATGACACGGCGTTTACAGCCCATATGAATCCCCCAGCCGGGGCCTGCTGCCGCTGCTGCTGCCGCTGTGTAACCGTGCTGCACAACCCAATCTCCCGCTAACAGTTCGAGCATGATGCCGTCTCTGTGGCTCCTACCTTTCCACCGGGCAGAGTCCCTCGCTGCCGCCGCCGCTGCTGCTGCTGCTGCTGTTGTTCGCGGTTTCTGTGTTAATAAAGACGACAATAAGAGTTCACATTAAAATCAGCCGCGGTGGTTAATTAAACCCGAGCGGTGTTTTCCCAGCAGCGTCCGGGGGGGTTCCTCCTTTGAGCCTTACATGAAGCCAAGGTCGTAACGTTTGGTCCGCAGGGTCCACAAACCGTGCGGGATACATTAGACGAAATCATACAAACATGGCAGTGACGTGCCAAATCTGCCGTAGTCGGAAAAAAAGAAGTGAAAATGAATAAATACCGACAGCAGGAAGTGACAGGTAGGCGCACTTATCTTGACAGCCAGGTGTATTGCCTAATCATCCGCTCGGCTCAGCGGAGAGTTCCCGCCTCTAATCACAGCGGGCCAATCAGAGCGCGGCTCTAAACCAGCGTCCTTCAGACGCAGGTGCACTGTGATGCCTTCACAGGCTGCCCGAAGGCTCGTTCTTCAGACAGTGTCTGTGGTACGCTCCTAAAATCTCTTGAAGCGAGAAGACGTGACTGGGTCAAAACAACAAACATGCGGTTCGTAATAAAGTCAAGTCCTTTAGGAAATCATTTTGTTATTCAGACTAGATGAGGAAACATTACCACACACATTTTCCAGATGCCTAATTTTCTCCTCCTGAGCTGATATCAAATGTTGTGCTCTATCATCAGGCTGCAGTCTCCGTTCCTGCTGTAGGTTAATATTACTGGAATCCTTTGGTAGAAAATATTAACCCTTTAAAAGAATATGATGTCTAAGGTTTTGCTACATAATATCTGACTGTGTGCTCATTAATGAGGGCCTTTCTCACTTTGCTTCATTCTTATTTCATTCTACTTTCTCAGTCACTGTTTATGCTGCTTTTAGTGGTACTAATATTATTTATTTAGATGTATGAAATGTTTTACTGATTAGATATTGTTTGTTATTGTTGTCATTAGTGGTTTTATTGTTTCATTGGTACACTACTCACAAAAAGTTAGGGATATTCCACTTTCGGGTGAAATTTGCTACAGTGATATTATATCATGAAAGTAGGGCATTTAAGTAGAGGGTCAAATGAAGATCACCTGGAAAGGTTATAGTGCATTTTATGTACATTCTGAAATTTCATCCGAAAGCCGAATATCCCTAACTTTTTGTGAGTAGTGTATTTGGGGGATAGGGGTGTTTTTGTGTCCTTTGCTCGATTTTCAATGACATAATTGCTTTACATTGTGATGTAATATTTACTTGTGTGGCTAATTGGGAAAGAAAGAAAGAAAAAAGAAAGAAAGAAAGAAGCATAAAAAAGAAAAAAGAAAAAAGATGAAACCTCCTGCCCTCCTGTCACATACACATTGGATTAGGGACGTGTTTTAGTTGGATAAAATAGGGCTAGTTGGAGGAATAATTAATAAATGAATTGTGGAGGGGTTTCCTTTTGTTTGTTGTTCTGTTTTGGTTTGGTTTATTGAGTAGAGATACAACATTAATGTTGAACATCCTCAGTATGTGTTTCCATAGTTTTTCAAATGTTCCTGTTCTTTACGGCACATTATAAAAGGCTATTGTATTTGCCACTGATACAAGTGTTTTATATCCCTGCAAAACAATCCAAATAACATAATATATAAATAAAAATGTTTTTTAAGAATTTAAAATAATGCTGACACATTTCTGTGGAGCACATCTACAGTCGTCTTACAGTTTGGTTTCATATCCACTGCCCCTTTATTTTTGTTTATGTTCCATAGTGCCAGTTGTACTATAGAGAGAAATGAAGAGACTTCTCGTAAGGAAAATAAAAGCAACACTTATCGTTCTTTCCTTCAATCTTTTATAATACAGACAACTGATCCTCAGAGAAGCTAAAACATGTACAACACAAGGAATAAAATGCTCATGATGTTTTTTAAAGTTAAATACCAAAGTCAAAACCTTTTCAGAGTTTCATCTGTTCACCTAAATATGTTCCTTAAAATAGTTACATCAGTTTACCACAGGGAAGTGAAAATAGAAGAAGAATCTGAAAAGTGCAAAAGGAAGAAGTTATCGGTGGAAACTGATTTAATTAGTAGTGGCGCAATATTACATAATAAAATGCACCTTCGCATTTCCTCTCCCATGAAGACTTTCACAAATGTCATTCACATACAGTACACAGGTTTTATTGTGTATGTGCACAGTAGTCAAATCAAATTCAACACTTTTCTTAAAATAATGCAAAAAATGAAGGAAAAGTAGTTCCAGCTGCCTAAACTGAACAGACTTACAAACGTTGTCACTGCTCAGTCTACTCCTTGCCCATAGCATAACTTACAGGTTCAGCCATATTGCATAGTAATAACAACACTCATATCTCATTTAATAGTTTAAACAAGATCATGGTCCACAGTCTGGAGTCCCAAAATGTTCAATAATTAAAAAAAAGTGAAATAAATATTCACAACAATCACAATATATTATGTAAAATATGCAAATAAAGCAAGACTTTGGGAAATAATTTAAGAACATATTAAAATTCAACTAATTATAAAATATAATTTCATTATTCTTATTTCCAAAATAAGTTCATTTTCATTCCATATTACGATGTTTACTTCAAAATGCCTTTTTTGCACACCTCATGAATCTGTTTCATAATGACATTCTTATTTCATGTCACCGTCCTTGCATGCAAGCTCAACAACTGCGAGCAGAATTAGCAAGTTAGCACCTTTTAGCTATGCCAACGTCAAAGTAATTCTGGATCAACTATCTAGCTGTCGCTGTCAATAGACAGACACTCTCCATCCAGCTCCTTTTATTTATTTAGCTGAACAAGGTTACACATACTTCTAGCTTGCTGGCTAGGGCAGCCGTGGCTCGGAGGCAGAGCGGGTCGTTCCTTAATCGGAAGGCTGTTGGCTGATCCCCGGCTCCTGGTGTCACATGTTTAAGTATCCTTGAGCAGGATACTGAACCTCAGATTGCTCCTGATGCCGTGCATCAGTGTATGAATGTTAGTTTCTGTTTTGTTCACTGAGTGAATGTGTGTGAAAGGGTCCATTTACCATTGAACTAGCTAGCCATGGTTTAATAGAGCTGAAGTTAAGAGCCAATGCTAACAGCAACAGCTAACATTAGCGAGTTAATTCAGAGTTCCCTCGGATATTCTGACGTTCCTCAGAGAAAAACACGAAGAGAAAAATACTTTCACAGTGGTTGCTCTAACCAACTAGCCAACGCTGGCTCTTCACTTTGATGCTGAATCATAGTTGAAGTACACAAGCTGCCCTAGCTAGTTAGCCAGTTAAGCAGATAGTATGAGCAGCCTTATGCTAAGGCTAAACACTTAATAGGTTTAGTTTCTGTGTATGTGGATTGTGTTTATTTACAACCTCAAAATTCAAAAATTCTGAATAACTTTGAAACTGTCCTTGCTCTAGCTAAAATATGCTAACTGGGGTTCAATTGTTTAGCAGCTGTTGAGTTTGCTAGCTGAAAAGTCAGGGGGCATATCATAATCATAAAATCATGATCATAAAATAAAACTTGACATGAAATAGTCATTTGTTATTTATAAATACGTTCATAAAGACTTAATTATTTCATACTGAACACTTTGGGTCTCCATAAAACAGCAGTTGCAGGTCAGTTACAGAGAAAACTACATGTTTGAACATGGAACAAAGGGGCAGTGGCATTAATCCACTGATAGAGAGCTGGGGTTAATGCAGTACTTGGGTGAACCACACCTGTGATCACGCCCACTTCATCTGGATACATGGAGAAGCCCCTGACTGCAGACCCGCAGACCTCAATGTGGGCGGAGTTAAACGTGAAACCCCGCCCACTCTCCAACATTTGACTCCGCTGTCACCGTGATGATTCCTGTTTGGTCTTATGCATTCCTCCTCTCTCCTTCCACACTTCTGACTGCCGCTTTGGTATCATAAATAATGGAAGTGTGACTTTTTTAATATTGTTCATGTAATTTTAGGTGTATCGTTAGGTTATGTGAATTAGCTGCACATGAGCTAATGTTATATTTAAACTAACGTAAATGTAGTTATTGAATACACTGTAATTAAGGGCTGCGCGATATGACCCCCACTGCCCTCATCGTTCATACTTTATATTAACACGTACAGTAAATATGCTCTATGAATATAACAGTGACATTTTTTTTGTTATTAAGAGCATATCTTGTCTTTTTGATTTTAAAATCACTTGTATACAACTCAGAGATAGGATGCTTTATGAGTCTCTGGTCATAGTTTGTTATTTTTCTACATGTATTTATATAATATGGTATTATAATAAAGTCATTATGCGTGTTTTCTTTTCAGTTTTACTTAAAGTTCCTTTATGCATATATTCAGCCCATATTTCTCTGGACTATGAGTACCTTACATGAACCAATTTCACATTTGTGTTAATCTGCAAAACAGATTGATGCGTTTGATGTCTTTAATGTTTGACTATTGTATATTGATTGTATTTTGATTGTATTTTTTCATTAAATGAACAAGTCTAGAAAATTATTAAGGCTTCACTTTAAATTTTAACATCAATTGTCTCAATGATAATTATATGACTACATTTTTTTATAATGAATGGATATCATTGACTCACACAGATCTAAAGAGGAGATGAGCAAAAACAGGAAAAGACGACTAGAATATAAAAGAGCACAGGTATGCTGTCATGATTAGTGGGATAGTCCTTAACCAATGTTTAAAGACTTGTATAAAGACAATACTTCAGGACAGCACTCAAATAAATGTTTTTGAAAACTTAAAAAAAATCCATATGCACAGCAGTGATAAGCCTAGGTGTGAACTGGTGCAGGATAAATGAGTGTTAAACACTGTCTAATAATTATGGTACACTTCCAATATGCACACTCCATTTGTTACATATTTGCGATGGATCTGCTAAATTTTGTATCTTGTTTATTTTTCCATTTAAACACATTGCTCAGTAATGGTTACGAGTATCAGTAATGGGACACAGCTGTATTGTGGGCTGTCTATCAGCAACTGAGGATTTCAATACACACCTCATCACAAATGTAAAAAATGTTATGTACTGCAACGTTAAACAAAATACCACTGTGATAGTGGACGGTATACAGATGGCACTAGACACCCAAAATGAAGACCAGCCACGTGCCAAGAGGCCTTACAGCTCTCCGCCAAAAGAGTTTGTTAGTGTGAAGGAAGTTTATTGCACACAAACATGTTACACACTATTAAAACCTGCACAATCAGTCATGCTTTTGTGTATCCATTAAGGACTGTGAAGTTACCATGGACCAAGGTATTGGAAGACTGGATGGCGATGCTTTCAAGAACCTTTCGCTCAGTAAAGAAGTGCAAATGATAATGAAAAAATGACTTATTCTGAACACTGAACTGCACCCATTCATTGTAACATGTTTAAGCACTCTATAATTGAAAATTTAGGAAAGGTCTCAACAAGCCCAGCAAAAATGCTAAGTGACCAATGGTTTGTTAATAGATTTCATAAATTGTTGCAATATTTATTAGTTGAATTATGTCTCTGTCGTGCGCCTGACAATCGGTGAGAATAAAAAAAAAAAATAAAAAAGATGCATATTTTTAATTTTTTAATATTAGTCATGACTTGGTCCAGTTCTCCTCTTTGGCAGTGATTTAATTTAATTATTCATTATTATTATTGTTGTTATTACTATTATTATTTTCATAATTATTGGTGTTATTAGTATTATTATCATCATTATTATATTATCATTATCATCATTCATATCATCATTATTGTCATCATTGTTATTATCATTATCAACATCATAGTTATTGTCATTATTATTATTATTAACATTATTATCATTTTTGTCATTATGCTCATCATTAATATCATTTTAGTATTTCATTAACATTTTTATTGTTTGTCTGCTTGTTTTATGTTAATGTTTGTTTGTTGTTTGTTAAATAATTTGTTGTTCAATAAAAATAAAAAAACAGTCTAGTGATCCTTTATTTTTGATAACATTAGGAAAGTATCTCAGGTTACATTTGATTATGATAAATATACATTAAAATATATTACTTTTTTCATCATTTAATGAATAATGAAGGTAATTTAATGTTTTGATAGGTAGTTAATCTGTTATTTTGTTAAATGTGTCAATATTGTATTTCATAATTAGTAAAACCAAAGATTAAGTTCCTTGTGTTTAAATCCCTGCATTTCGCCACATTCATTATGGTTTCTTGTCCCTCTTCGGACACCGTATTAAATTAGTTCTGCAGTGGGCTGGGTCAAACATTTGACTCTGCCCACATTGAGGTCTGCAGGCCTGCAGTCAGGGATACATGGAGAGGGAATTATTGACTTAAAGGCAACTGGACTTGCTGTTTTGGCCTTGAAGTCTAGATATTTGGGTAGCAGATACTAGATTCCACAGCCCAAAGGTGAAGAGTTATAATGACACTCAGCTTGTGTTCTCGTCTACTGAGGACTGTTCAGTGTGTTTCCAGTGAATCCGCTTTGATGTGTACTGCATAATCCAAGAAAACCAGTCTAAGGACTTCCTGTAAACTTGATGTTTGTGAGCTGATCTGATCTGTGAAGGCTTACATTTAGATTTGAACCCAGCTGTCATCCACATATCTGAGTCAGTGGCTGGTCTTGGGGCTGGAGACATAGGTGAATCCAGTTGCACCATGTGACCTTTGTGATTAGTCAGTTGAACTGACACAGCCTCTTGATTAAGGGGCAAAATCTCTTGATCCAAAACAGCAAAACCAATTGCCTTTGACTTCAAACTCTAGATATTCCATTACCTGGGCCACTCCGTGTTTACATATATTATGCCGTGCTCACATTTCCTTTGTTACAGCTCAGTCTCATTAGATTGCATCCAGTGAAAAAAAAAGGTCAAGATTAGAGCCAAACTGAAATAACGTATTGATATGTACGTATGTACATAACAACATGTTTTTCCCAGTATATAACGCAGAAAATAAATGCTTGTGGTAATATACTGGCACCACAGCAAAGTTTATCCAGCACAGTTCCTGTGATTTACAATACTGTGGCAAGCAGCACAGAGTAAGAGAAGAAGCATCTCTCAGCAATGGTAACTAGAATTCTACAGAGTGTATGTTCCATTCTTTTTTAAGGGTTCCCTCTTACTACTCTTTTTAGGAATTTCATTTCAGTTTTCTTGACAATTCATAACAGCCCTTGCTCACTAACAGTAATATAATTTACCAGTAGGTCAAATACTGACATATTTAGTTTTATTCCTCATTTTCAATGACACAGTGTTCATGTACAGAGCTTGTAGCTCTGGCAAAAAATACTCAACACTGAAAAGGTGGTTCTAAGTTCATTCCACATCTGGTAAACTTGCTTTGAAGTGTCTTACCGCGCAGGTTCTTAAACCAATAACAACAACATAGGTAATCTAAGTGAGGAGCTAAAATACATGACTTGAAAAGTAGTCTCTAAATTGACTGGTTTTCCAGGATGCATGAGAACCCAAAAGGGTTTATGATAATAGTATTATTATTTTTATTATTATTATTTATTAAAATCAGTATCAGTCTCAAAAATCCCATATCGGTCAGGCTCTAGTCAAAGTTACAACAATTCTGGATAAAAACTGTCAAAGCTCAGCTTACTATGGCACACAATGTTAAACAAGAGACTCAACCTTGCTGATATTAAATAACAGGTATGGAAACTTCTTCAAAATGTTTTTTTTGATATGTTCAAATTCTTTATATTCAATTTCAATTCAATTCAATTCAATTCAATTCAATTCAATTCAATTCAATTTTATTTGTATAGCGCCAATTCATAACAGAAGTTATCTCAGGACACTTTTCAAATAGAGCAGGTCTAGACCGAACTCCTTATAACATTATTTACAGAGACCCAACAGTAATATTCTTTCAGGAATCCAATTTCCACTTTGATATGAGTTTTTTGTGCAAATCTCAGTAAAAACACTTGCAACGAAATAATACAAGGTCAGAAAATGCCGTTTCTAGCACTGATCGGTTATACTAATAAATAAATGTTGTTATGCAAAAACATTACATATTCAGTGATGTTCATAAACCTCTGAAAGTGCATTCAAATTGTATTTATGAGGCACACTCCAGTGAATACAGTAACTGCTACCTTATTGCTCTGCTATCAGTGTTTGTACTGATGAGATCACCAGAGGTTGTGAGCGCTAAAGATTGCTAAAGTAACTTGAATAATAAAGACAGAAGGTTAAATTTGATGATTGTCTGACTTCACTCCATCTGCTTTACATTCTCTAATCATGTGCAAACAGACCAATCAAAATCCATAACAAACAAGTCCTTTCTCACAATGAGGAGGCGTTTAGTGTTCTATCAAAAGTACAGGAACTGTGTTGGCACATCATCTTTAGTATCATGTCAAAGATCCACTTTGGGGAAAAGCTGAGCTTCTTTTTCTGTTTTAAGCAGTAGCAGCAGCACAAGTGTGGATAAGGAAAACCAACCTTTTAGCGGCTATCACCAGGTCGTCGTTGGGTCATTCTGCGTGATGTTGTTATGTGATCATTGTCTGAAGGCTGTTGCTTCCCCTGAAGAGAGCAGCCGTAGAGGATGTGGGGTTGCAGTGAGGGAGTGTGAGTTAGGAGGTCGGTGACTGTTCACAGGTGGGTTGGGACACGCAGTTGGGCTCCGGGACAGTCGAGCTTCAGCTGCCAGACGATAAGTAAAAGGGTTAATCAAGTGTCAGAGCGTGGAGATGAGGACTTCTGTGGCAGCACGAACAGGATGCTCTCCGCCTCTTCATACATCTGAAAAACACACAGGCAGCCAAATCAGCATATGAGTCTTTAAGTTTGTACTATAAACTGCATTTGAGAAACTTCAGCATTATTTATCTGCAGCCTGCCTTGGCTGCCATGTAATGTTAGTCAAGGTACATTAAAAGTAGTTTGCCACTGACAGGCTCAGATTGTTATTCTAAGTGTCTGCTTGTGGAAAGGATCCCTACAAAGATAGACCTTATTGTTAAAGAGTAAGATTTTTTTTTTATTTCACCAGAAACAGCCCGTACGCCACTATTGCTGGCCACCAGCACAAACATGCACATGCAGCCAGACCAGCGAAGTAAACAATGCTTGAGGATAAAAACAGGGAGAGGGAGCTCTACACCATCACCATCGGATTTGTTTGAATACCCCTTGAAATCAATAATAATAATAATAATAATAATAATAATAATACATTTTATTTATAATGCCCTTTTCATCAAAAGATCTCAAAGTGCTACAGGTTAGAAACAAAAAAGATAAGCAGTTTTAAAAAATAAGAAAAGGAGAAAAGAATAAAAAATAAAAATTAAAAAAACACATCTAAAAAGGGACCAAAAGCTTTGCTAAAAAGAAATGTCTTAAGATCCTTTTTAAAACAGTCAGTGGATTGTGGTGCCCTCAAGGTGTCAGGGAGGGCATTCCACAGATGTGGGGCAGCAGCACAAAAGGCCCTATCTCCCATGGTCCTGAGTCTGGTTCTGGGTATGTGGAGGAGGTTTGAGTGAGTGGAGCGGAGGGAGTGTGTTGTGTTTTGTGGGTTGATAAGTTCTTTGAGGGGGGGGGCAGGTTCGTGGATGCATTGATGTGTGAGGAGAGAAACCTTGTACTCAAACCTGGTGGAGACGGGAAGCCAGTGGAGTGAGTGGAGAATGGGGGTAATGTGCTCATGTTTCCGCACTCTCATCAGGATCCTGGCTGCAGAGTTTTGGATGTACTGAAGCCTCTGCAGACTCTTGCCAGGAATCCCAATGAGAAGTGCGTTACAGTAGTTCAGTCTGGAGGAGACAAAGGCATGAACCAGCTTTTCGGCATCTGAGAGGGAGAGAATGGGGCGGAGTGTGGAAATGTTCCAGAGGTGGTAGAAGGAGGTCTTGCATAGGTGATTTATATGGGCTTCAAAAGTGAGTTGGGAGTCCAAGACACACCAAGATTTGTGACTATTGATGAGAGGGGGATGTTGGAGCCAGAAAAGGTGATGAAAACAAAGCAGGTTAAAACAATACTGCTTTTTGTTATGTGCTACTTTCCACTGCGCATAAGCGAATGGTTGGTATGTTCTGAGTGAGGTAGGGGGGGAGTTGGTCTTTGTTGTTGTCGTGCAAGAGTTGAAGTCATGAAAACATACAGTTGTCGTCGGAGTTATTGAGCTAACATTAGAGAGGATGGCCGCTGGTAATTATAAAGTTCCGCCAGCGTTTGATGAGAAAAAATCTTACGAAAGTTGGAAAAATGAAGTCGACATCTGGAGACTTACTGACTTGGATAAAAAGAAGCAAGCCTTGGCGGTTGCCTTGTCGCTAACAGGAAGAGCGAGGGACAGCGCGCTGGAAATAGCCGCAGGGGATTTGAACAAAGATGATGGAATGACTACACTTTTGATAAAACTGGACTTTGACTTGTTTTTGAAAGAGGAAAAGGACCGCCAATATGAGGCATACACAGAGTTTGACCGGATAACGAAAGTCAATGGCGTTTTGATGGTGGATTACATTGTAGAGTTTGAACAGAGGTACAACAGAATTCGCCAGTTCAAAATGGAGCTACCGGATGCGGTATTAGCATTCAAGCTGCTAGACACTGCAGGACTTATTCATGGTAAAGACAAACAGTTGGCACTTACCGCTTGTCCAAGCCTCACGTTTGACAACATGAAGGCCGCCTTGAAGAGGATATTTGGCGATACTACGCCACAGGGCGGCGCTGGTGCACTGCAGGTGAGTGGAGATGCAACTGACGCTGCCTACTACACAAAGTTTACCGGCAGGAGAGAAAGTAGGTCAAATCTGCAACATCAGGCAGCTGTTCAAGGTACCAATCCGCTTGACAGATATGGTAGGAGAACGAGATGTGCAGTCTACCAAAGCTTATATCACTGGGCGAAGGACTGCCCCCACAAAAATGAACATGCTAAACTAACAGAAGATGAAAAACAAACAGAGGTTGAAGAATGCAACATTACTTTATTGTCTAAAGACACATTGTCTGACACAGAGATTTTCATGGTGGAGTCTCTGGGATCTGCTGTGATTGATACAGCTTGCACCAGAACAGTGTGTGGCGAAAAATGGCTTGATCATTATGTCGGTTAACTAACACAGGATGAGTTACTGAAAATGAAGGACATGAAAAGTGCAAGACCATTCAAGTTTGGTGATGGGAGAATTGTCCACTCCACAAAGAAAGTGAAAATCCCAGCTGTGATAGCACAAACTAAATGTCAAATTGAGACGGAAGTTGTCCCAACCGATATCCCTTTGCTTTTAAGCAAAACTTCACTGAAAAGAGCAGGTGCAGTTTTGGACATTGAGAATGACAAAGCCATAATGTTCAAGCAACCTGTGAAACTTGAACTGACATCATCAGGACATTATTGTGTGAACTTGAGGGATAACAATACACCAGATGGAAGTGACATCCAAAATGAAAACGAGATCCTCATTGTGACAGAAAACATGACAAAACAAGAAAAACAAAAAGTGCTATTGAAACTGCACAAGCAGTTTGGACATGCCTCAGTTGACAGACTGCAAAAACTACTGCCCTGCTCAGGTAATACTGATGAGGAGTGTGTCACAATCCTGAAGGATATTGTAAAGAACTGTGAGACATGCATCAGGTACAATAAACCAAAGCAAAAGCCAGCAGTAGGTTTACCCATGGCCTCAACCTACAATGAAACTGTAGCTATGGACTTACATGAACTAGAGCCAGGGGTGTGGTATCTGCATGCCATTGACCACTTCACAAGATTCAGTGCAGGGAGCATTATTACCACCAAGAAACCCAAAGAAATAGTGAAGCACTTTATTCACTGCTGGATAAGTGTTCATGGTCCTCCACGCAGACTGTTCACTGACAATGGGGGTGAATTTAATAACGAAGAAATGAGGGACATGGCTGAAAACTTTAACATTGAAGTAAAAAACGACTGCAGCTTATAGTCCATGGAGTAATGGTCTCTTAGAAAGGCATAAGTAAACCCTCACTGAAATCCTGTTGAAAGTAAAGAGAGACAACCGATGTGATTGGAAGACAGCCCTAGACTGGGCCCTGATGGCATAAACTCTATGCACAATGTGCATGGCTACAGTCCCTACCAGCTAGTGTTGGGCAGAACCCAAATCTGCCGTCAGTTCTCACTGATAAGCCGCCAGCTCTAGAAGGGACTAGCGTGTCTACTTGGATAGCCCAGCACATCTCAGCATTACATGCCACAAGGAGAGCATTCACAGAAGCAGAATGCTCTGAGCGGATCCGAAGACCCCTTTGTAAACAACTGTGACCCACTGATGACCGATATGAAAGGGGATAAGGTTTACTACAAACGGGTGGATTCTACAGAGTGGAAAGGTCCAGGTGTAGTCATCGGCCAAGATGGTGTGGTGATATTTGTTCGCCACGGGGGCACTTATGTTCGTGTACATCAATCCAGACTTCGAAAGGTTGATGGCTGTGTGTTGAAAGAGAATGATCAGTTGATGAGAACTGAAAATGTCACATTACCAGAAACAGGACTCTATGAAAATTACACTGTAAATGAAAGTGAGGAAGAGGCACCCTCAAATGATGAAGAAGCTGAGGATAACAATGAGCCCCCTCACACATCAGCACACCCAAATACTACTTGTGATGGACTTAAGCTGAAAACTGGACAAGTAGTTACATACACAGACAGTGGAAGTGGCCAACCAAACACTGGAAAAATCCTCAGCCGGGCAGGAAAGACCACTGGAACATACAAAAACTGGTACAATTTACAGAACACAGAGCCTGAGGAAATTGCTGGCACAACTGGGTCAGTGGATTTAGGACAAGTGGACAATCTTCAGCTGGGTCCAACTGAGCATATTGAGTTATGTGCAGACTGCCATGAAGAGGATGTACTGATTGTGAATGATGATGCCTTCATGTCTGTCAAACACGCTGAACTCAGCAACTGGAGACAGAACAATGTGTTTGAAGAGGTTAAAGATGAAGGTCAGAAATGCATCTCTACAAGGTGGGTGTGCACACTCAAGGAAACACCACAGGGGGTTGTACCTAAAGCCAGATTAGTTGCAAGAGGCTTTGAGGAAGTGAACACTGAGGAGCTCCCAAAAGACTCGTCGGAGTTACTAGGGCTAACACTTTTGTCCACAGGGGCTGCCAGAATCAACCCTAAATTTAAGTTCTTGCTGCTGCTTTAAACTGAGGTTTTAGAATGACACCAACAGAAAAAAACGATTAGAGAGGAAGGTTGTCGGCCTGCGTAACCGTGCACAGCTCTAAATGCCGCTGCATTTACAGTTTATGATGGTTCAACCTGCCGCTGTGGCTCGCTGTATCACCATGGCAACTACAGCAGCTACAGTGGGGAAAACAAAGGAAACTTTCTGAAATTCTTCTTTTGAAAGAAAAGAACGAGCAATAAATGCATCATGTAAATGACACCACTGATGTTTGTTGGCCTCCAGAAGTTCTTTCTTAACACATTCACCAGTCCTAATCTCTGCTCAGATTTCCAGTACTTTGCTTTATGATTAGCTCAAGAAATCTATTCGAAAGTACTTTTCTCCTTACTGGTACAAATGGCACATCTTGGAAGAGCTCCTGGATGAAGCGGCGTGAGGCCAGGCGGAACATGCAGTGAGCCAGCAGGTAGGACACCTCTGAATACAGACAGACGTCATCAAACGCATAGGGGAACTTCTCCTTGATACTACCAAGAAAACACATTTAGTCAACACATTAGAATAGGCTGGATAGATGTAGACAATGTACTGTATGTGTGTGTAACAACGCAGTTTTGTGAAGGCAAGAGAAAGCTTCAGCCTCACGTTAACAGGTTGGTCTCATGGTTTTTGGTTCCCACGGAGGAGCTGAGGTTGATGACCAGACGAAGCACCTCCTTCCTCAGCAGGACCCTGCCGGCCGGTGCGTCCTCTGGGATGGACTTCATACCTGCCATAGTACAAAGAGAAAATTAAACGATGTAAAACTAGAACATTATGGAAGTTCAGGGCAAATAGCGATAACCAATAATTATCTGTTTGTTGTGGCCGATGCTGATATATACAGTATATATATATTTTATTTAATTATTAATTTTTCTAATATGAAACCTATGATTAAAGACCATTTATTTTTAATATATAGACTAATTAACACCAGACTTCATCTCCTTGATTTTTTGTTTGTTGAAAGCTGACAGACCTCCAGTGGTCTCACTGTAGGCTCAGGAGGTAAAGCCCGTCATCTAGAAGGTCGGCAGTTCATTCCTGGCTCCTCCCGCTACATGTCAAAATGTCCTTGAGCAAGATACTTTACACCAAATTGCTGTGCATGAATGTGAATGAATGTTAGTTTCTGATTCATCTTAATTAAAGACAAATGCATATGAAGTGTGCAACACTTTTCCTTTTCTCATTAAAGGATCTCCAGTCAGCCATGCGAAAAATATGATGGAAATTGGAAATGTTTTCAGTTCTTCAGTGGAAGCCTGAGTGATGTTTAAGGCACATGTTTAAGTTCCTGTACGTCAACATTTATTCTAACATTTATTCTAAGTCTGTTTGTATTGCACTTCAATACACCAACTTTTCCAGCTTGTTTGCGATGTTTCCACTCAGGTTTTAGTTAGTGATTTTTGATCATTTTGAGATAAACGGCACTGGCCAATGTCTGTGCTTATGCAGCCAATATTAGCATTGTTGGTGTAGCTGCTGTGGGGCGCTGTTAGTGCACCACCTTCCCGTGAGTTTTTGGAAGGTGGTGAAAAAGTTGGTTTGAGTCTGGTACTGTAACACTCATACATCCTGCTGTAAACATGTCTGAATTTCCTATAGAATCGAACAGAATTATATGTGACTTTCCCTTGTTTTGATATCAGCATCATACATCGGCCATCAGCAGCCCTGCTCTCTAAATATCAGCATCGACCACTGAAAAACTCTATTATTGGTATATTGGTTGACCACTAATAAAAACAAGTGGATGGAAAAATACTTGCTGCTCAAAACCAGGTTTCAAGTCCAAAGGCACATATATCATTCCAATATCAGAATCATCACAGTAACTTCATTTTCTCATTTACTGGCCAATAATATACAGTATCAGCTATAAACTTTCAGTGTGAAAGGTAAATTAAACCTACCCAAAACGAGTTCTGTGCTGCGGCCACTACCCACAGATCCCTGGGACACAGTGTCACTGCATCCAGACCCCCCTGACAACTTGACTTGGACCATGACCTCCAAATGGTTTGCTGGAGGTGAACTGCGCCACTCTGAGAATGGGGGCATTTCTGTCAGATCTGAATGAGAGGATGAAAAAGAGTTCCACTATACAAAAGCTCCGGTGACATAATGGCTTTACTGGGCAACTCATTCAAGAAAATCTTCTGTAGCAATGATCATTTAACCAGGAACAGGATCCCACCTGGCTCACTGTTCTGAGAGTTGAGTCCAAGCACAGACAGTCCGGCACAGTACAGGCAGTTGTTATCGTTGTGCTCCTGAAGACCCGTCTCCTCTGAGCCCAGCATCTGCTGCTGCTCTGCCCGGCTCACCGCCATCAGCTCTGAGAAACTGAGCTGAGAACGGAGCCTTGCTGGCCAACATCCGTCACTGGGGCCTGAGGACACACACACACACACACACGTTTGAGCAGGCAGGCTTTGGTTACATGCAGGTACACAGTCTGTGTAGAGAAAGAGGTGGAACACTGGCCGAACTGCAATCTCAAAACCTATTGTCTGCTTACTCAGCTTTTTATTAGATTTTTTTAAAAATCTGCATTTGTACATAGACATCTGTTTACAGAGATTAGCCCAAATATGTCTCTCTTGTCAAGTTGCTTATTGGACTGCAGAGGAAGTCTTCGCCAAGATATCCGTTATCCCTAGTACATATGTACTAGGGATAACGGATGTACCAAATACTTGGTATTCAAATATTCAAAGAAATGTCTATATTTATGACTTAACTAATTTCCTAATATATTAAAGATGTCTTAAGTATAATCAAAACTAAAGTCACCTCCAGTCAAAAATCAGTGTTTCTTCTTGTTGCTCTGTGCTCACCGAAAATCTCATTTGTAAGGGCCGGGGCCTACCAGCATGATCTGTGACATCACAAATAGTTTGGAAGTCCATCTTTGTCCAGTATGCAACTTGTACAGTGTGATGTAGAAACCTGAAGCCACCAGTGCTCATACACTGAGAATGGACTTTACAGTGAAGGAGGAGGAAAAAACAACTAGATGATATCAGACAAGAATGTTTGTATGTCTTAATAAATGTCTGGAGGGGATCTTAAAGTTGTAGCTAGGACTGCCAAACAGGCTGTGATCTAACTGTAAATTCAAAGTGTTTTTTCTAAATCCTCACCATCAGAGTCTCCAGAGAAGAATTTAGCAGAGCGGTCCTCAGAAGGCGGGCTCATCCTCTTTTGGAAATACGGGGTTTCTTTAATCTGAGGGAATCCAAGAACAGAATTCCCATCCCACTCAGTTCAGCTTCAAAAGAGTGAGGTGGTGTTTTCTTAACAAAAAGCATTCTTATAGAGGATTAGCCTCACCTGGAACATGTTGTTGATATTGACAGGCAAAGCGAGGCCTATATAGTCATCAGAGGATCCATAGGTGCCAGTGGACACAATGGAGCGTACAGAGGAAGAGCGCTGCAGTGTAGTTTGGTTGATTGGACTCAGCAGGTCTTCCTTGTCCAGAGATGTAAAGCTCAGAGCTTTCAAAAATCTGAAAATAGATTAACACAGAGGTAGATAAAGTATGTTTTACTCCTGTCTGAGCCTTATTCTGACAAATGACCAGCTTTGTTTAAAAAAAGCAATAAGGGTGTTCAGATCCATACTGGGTTAACAGGGGGTGTTTATATGAGCTACAATTTCTACACAGTTGATGGGATGTGGATGTAAATAACCTCACTATTAAAGCTGAAGGTCAGCACTATAACCTAATAGTCATTGTTTGGAGTACAAACCACACACAAAACTGTCCATATACTTACACTATGCCTAGTATATTGATATTGGACTGACATAGATATGACCCAGGTTTATCAGTGTCCTACTCTATTTTGAAAAAAGTCACACATACAGCAAATTCTCTTATAAAAGCTGGTATTCAGATAATGGCTGAAAGCTCACATGGAAAATTTAGTATGATGTCTATTTCCACAACAGCAATTCCATTTATATAACAACAGAGTCATACTCACCACTCTGCTGCTCTCAGTTTCCATTTTTAAAGAGTAACTAAACCTCTGTATTGGTATTTACTAGTGTTACTGATTGATTTTAGTGCAAAGTATATGAATTCCCCAGTTGACTCAGTGAAGTCCTTCCGCTTCCTGGGTACCATCATCACCCAGGACCTCACCAAGAAAGCCCAGCAGAGGATGTACTTCCTGCGGCACCTGGGGAAGTTCAACCTGCCAAAGACAATGATGGTGCACTTCTACACCGCCATCATCGAGTCCATCCTCACCTCTTCCATCACTGCTGCCACTGCCAAGGACATGGGCAGACTGCAGCGTATCATTCGATCTGCTGAGAAGGTGATGGGCTGCAATCTGCCATCCCTCCAGGACCTGTACGTCTCTAGGACCCTGAGGCGTGCAGACAAGATTGTGGTTGACCCCTCCCACCCCGGCCACAAACTCTTTGAAGCTCTCCCCTCTGGCAGGAGGCTACGGCCCATCAGGACCAAAACCTCTCGCCACAAAAACAGTTTCTTTCTGTCTGCAGCCTCATTAACAAGGCCTGTTTCCTGTACAGTTTTTCTTATCTTTATTTATTTATATCTTAAAAGTATTTTATTTTTGTGTGATGTTTGTGTGATTTTTATATTTTAAGCACCAGTGCACCAAGACAAATTCCTCGTATCTGTAAAAACTTACTTGGCAATAAACCTAATTCGGATTCTACATATTTTGCTATAAAAATACACACCCAGTTTCAACTCTACTGGTTGAGGGTGCCCCTGCTTCTAACGTCTCGACTCTGCAGACTGCGGCCTGCTACGTGGCCGTAGCCCATCACTCCACCAGAGACACTGGAGAGTTAGCCACTAGCTTAGCTAAAGTTACAACAGAGGTACCGCACAGAAACCTTTATAAACGGCCAAGAATGTGCTTCTAGTGACTGTAAAAAACTCCAGCGGACTCTCTGTGTTTGCAGTGCGGACATGGAGAGTGACAGCAGCTGCTCATGGCTGGTTCGCTCTGTTAGCTCTGACTACAGCAGCTGTACTCCTGCTACACTAAGTGGTGGTCCGTCTGTTACTCACGTTGGTGTTACCTTCTGCGTCACACACTCCATATCCACACGGTAAATGGACCTGTACTTGTATAGCGCCTTTCTAGTCTTCCGACCACTCAAAGCACTTTTACACTATGTGCCACATTCACCCTTTCACACACATTCACACAGTGATGGCAAAGTCCATCAAACAGAAACTAACATTCATACACATTCACACACTGATGCATCGGGAGCAATTTGGGGTTCAGTATCTTGCTCAAGGATACTTCGACATGTGGCACCAGGAGCTGGGGATCGAACCCACAACCTTGCGATTAAGGAACGACCCGCTCTGCCTTTGAGCCACAGCCGCCCTGGCATGGCTACGTCTCCTATTTGATTCTCTCTGCTTTAACACAACCTTTTGTGGCACTCTAGATCCATGACTGCCAACAGAAATCACTTGAAACTGACATTATTGAAATTAAAAGCCTACCTATAGAAGTCTGCAAGACTTTTAATGTGAAAATACTGAAGGAAGTGTTAAGGTTTCATTCAGACTGTAGTTATGATTGTTCAGGGAAAAGTCAAAGTGGAATTGCTGTCAGGAATCTGGGGGAAATTCTAAACAATAGCCTGTCTAATACAATTCCTGACCTGTCACTGACGTAAATAAAGGCTCTAGCAACTATTGACATTTTACAGTTGCTCTGTTACAGCTAACATAGGTTTGGATTGTTAATATAAAATAATTCTGCATTTACACACAAAAAAGACGACGCCATGTCTTTACAGTGGCCCAGGAGGGACAAACCAAACACTGGCTCTAGATATGGATGTCCAGGTTTTTTGCGGCCATCACAGTTTCTCCTTTGCGCTTGGAAGAGGAGAGTGACAAGATGCCACTAAATCTTACACACTGTTTTGAAACATTACAGGTACCTTCGTGAAGTGAGTCTGGAGTCCAGGCTGCCTGTATTCATAGTGATGGCATCAGTGAAGAGTATGTCTTTGGCTGGGGAGGCCAAGGCCTCGCTGTGCGACAGGGACGGCTGGATCCGTTGGTGCTGCAGCCTCCTCAGGGTGGCGTAGCCCAGAGCGTCACGAGGACTTGTGCAGCCATTGTGGGAGCTCGAGTACTTCAGCGTGGCATATCCCAAAGCATCTCTGGAGCTGGAGTACAAGCTGTAGTCAGCTAGGCTGCTCAGGGTGCTCACTGAGGGGGACTTGAGGGACTGGGCTCGGCGGGGCAAAGTGTGGGAGGAGCCAGGAGGCACAAGCGAGGCAGAGCAGGACTTAGGGATTGAAAGCGGTGTGGAGCAGGGTTGGGGTGTCAGTGAGTGCACGTTCTGGATAGTCTGGGTGCTTATCACTGTGTTAAGGCTGACACAGTCGGCATCTATGGTGGAAGGCAGGGTCTCCCTGGAGGGGCTGGAGCTCATGGAGCTGATGCCACTCGTGGTGGTGTCTGTGTTAAAGCTCTGGCTGCGGCTTTTAAACTGGGTTCCACCACCTCCTGAGGGCCCATCTTCAGCCAAACGTTCATAGCTACGCTGGTTCCTGACCCCTGACCCATCCATTTCCCCCTCCCCAATACTGGGTATGCTTCCGCCATTCTCTATGGCTTTATTCCCCACAAGAGAGGTCTCTTTACCACCTGAAGGGCTTTTAGACAAATGGCCGTTGTAAATCGGGAAAACATCTGTCGCTACAAATGAGTAGCTGGTGCATTCAAGCACCTGTTTTCCATCCAGCCCTCCTCCTTGGCCTTGGTTGCTGCTTTTGGTGTAAGGGGTGGTGCGAGGCTTCTTCCCAGGGAGAGACAGAGAGTGTAGAAGGCGGTTGCGGAAGCGGGAAGAGGCCAGCATAGTAAGAGGACTTCGGTCCTTCGTCAGTTTGGGGCACACGTACAGAGAAGACTCCTCTGAGAAGTCACAGCCTTCCAGCCTCTCATCATCTAGCATATACGCACCTGAAAACAACACAGCAGCAGTTCTTTCAACAAGGTTGTAAAGTAATCATACAATTCTTTGGCTTTATTGGAGAGTTTAGGCTTACTGGGTTGTACAGAGTCACTCTCGCTGTTGTGCCTGGAGCCTGTGGAATCTATGAGCCTGAGGGTACTGGGAACAGAGGACAGCAGGTTGTAAGGCCTGGGCTGAGGCTCCAACTCCTCCGGTACTATGGGCCACAGCATGCTACGGCTATGTCTTACAGCGTCCCAGCCCTGTTGCTTTAGTGTTTCACAGCCCTGCTTCGTCTTACTGATGAGGCCCAGCACATACAGACATGCCCTGCACAGAACCCAAAGCCAAAGAGACACCTTATAAAAATCCGATACAGATCTTAACTTTACTACTGTAAATTCCAAATCATATCTGAATTCATGTGAATTTTATGTCACTCTAGATTGGTCAATTCAAGACTGTGACCTGTTCACACTGGAATCTGATGTGGGCCACATTCAAAAATGTATGTGAACAGCCAAAGAAAAAACATCTGAGCCATAAATCAGAATTGAGCACTGAGGCTTATAGTGTGAAGACAGCCTAAATCCTACAAATGGAGAATCATCTGGCTACAGTATTACATACAGTCCAGTTTTCTATGACATGAGCTAGTAATAATAATTAATCAAATATAGATTATTAAGTTGCATTTTAATTCATATTGATAAAACAGCATCCAGGCCAACAAAAATCAGCTGCTTTAGTGATAATTAGTGGAACCTTCAAACAATGTTAATGCTTAATATCATCATACTGATGATATCTTGCAATTTCACCCTAAAAACAAGCTAATGTATAGCTGCAACTAACAGTAAGCTAGTTGAGCTGGTTATAAGCTTAACTGTAAGCTAGTTAAAGTGGTTTCTTTAATCTGATATCTGTGATGGATGTGGTGGTGTCAGTCTATAAATGGGGATGTGTGTAAGTCCTGTGATATTCTATCCCTAAATGTGTCCATCATAGCAGGGGGAATGCATCCTGACAGCTAAGAATGATACAGTCAGAAACCGTTTCTCCTGTTTTTAATATGAAACGAAGCTCACACATCTGTCAAAGTCATACTGCAGACTTGTTTCCCCACAACAGGTAAGAGTAAGGGTAGAGCTATGAGGTCACCATCTGACCTTAATAAAGGCATTTTCAGCTTAGAATGTAGCTACAAGTACAGTGAGCAGGGTGTGAAGCAGGCACAATCCTACCCTCTGATGGACAGGACCTCACAGTGGTGGGCCAGAGCCACGATGTCAGGGATCACCCCCTCCTCCAGCAGCAAGTTCAGACCCCAGTTTGATGAGCCTATGTTTCCCTGGTAGAAAAGACAACTAGTGAACATCAACTGCGGATTTCCTCTTAGAATTTTTCAAATATTAACACAATTACAAATGCTGACCAAAGCCCAGAGAGCTGCCTTCAGATTTTTGATGCCCTCCCATTTGTCCAGGGCAGGAGATCGAACCCTGTCACTCAAATCAGGAACCACATTCTGCAGGAGGAAGAGGAGAGAAGAACTAACAGACACCAAATAAAGCAACCACAACTCTATGGCTATCTTTTTCAACCTTTAATTTTACCTCCGCTCACTATTTTACCTTTACATTTTATCTTGTAACTAATCATGGATGTAAATAGTAGGCTGACATTGAAACTAAATGTTACATTTCAGTGATCTCATAGTATTTTCATTCAAAATCGAAAGTTTGTTCGAAAGTTTTTAAATTAATTTATTTTATTTAACTAGTTATTAGTTAATGCTATTAGTATTAGCATTAAGTATTTCAGAGGTTCCTCCGCGTACCACTAGAGGCAGCTCACATACCACCATACCATAGTTCGAGAACCACTGGATTGTGCTAATTATCAAACCTTACATACGTGCACTCACTCTTGACTAGCTGGTATTCATCAGGTTGAAACAAGTGATTTACAATAGGTTTAGCAAGAAACAAGACTAGCAAAAAAGTACAAGATATCTAGGATAGGAAATTGTTCTTTCATGAGTTCCACTGCTCTCTAAATGTAGCTTGAAAGAAAATCTGAGAAAGTGTTGCACTTCATGTTAAAACCAAGAAATAGCATAAAACACCAGGGCACATCTACGTCTGCAAAAGTCTTTTCTGATGAATCTACTTATTTCATCATATTACTGGTGAGGTTGAATTTCCTGTAGTCTGTAAATGCAACAAACAGAGGACCTCACCTGGGCTTGAAGCAGCTGGCAGCCAGTCTTATCATGAACCAGTTGACCATACAAGTGCACAGGAAGGTAAACGTTTGGTCTCTGTAACCTGCCATGCCACATGTAAACAAAGAGGTAACACGTTCTGTTAAGTTCTGGCTATGCTTTGCTTTTTGCTCCATTTGGAAATCTGTCTTGTAGATTACATTGTTACCTGATAATGGTGCTAGATGAGCAGTCAGGAGATAACTGAAGTCAGTACAATTCATTAAATATTTGCTTCATCCAGTAGATATTGAGACATAGAGATAGAGATAGAGATTTAAGACCGACTGACCAAACATAAGGCCGGTTACAATAACGATTTTCGTTGGATGATATATTGTCCAAGAAATAATTGCAAAAAACTATGTTATTGTCATTTTAAGTTTTATGCTAGTGATATAATGATCAGCATTATAATGTCAGTACACCATTTTAAAAGCAATGAATGCTTAATTTTTAAGAAGATTCAGTAGAATTCTAATGGGTAGGTGTGTAGGTTGTCAGTAAATAGTAAGCAACCGAAACAAAATGAAGTGTAGGGGCAGCCATTATCTTGGGGCAATCAAAGACTATTGCTTGAACTGTGAATTCTAATGTCAATGTACAGAAGTCCTCAAAACTATGTTCTAAATGTGCTAATATTCAGAAATACCACAGGAACATTTCTGTTGGAGATCTCTCATTTGGACCCCCTCCCAAATTATGTCTATACCATGGTAACACCCTTGTATATATTGAACGATACTTCGATAGCTTAATTATTGTGACAGGCCTACCAACCAACAGAGTGACGCTGCCATTCCATCACATTCCTAAAACTGTAATAATGACTCTAATAATGGTGGTGAAATGGCAGGACTGCAGCGGTTGAAGCATCAAAGCATACTGTGTGTGAATGACGTTCCTCCATTATATATATATATGTGTTTTAAAGGCTGATATCAAATAAGGTAAACAGTGCTGGGTTTACCTTTGGTTGCTGCGTCGCACATAATTGTCTCCATTAACAGGCTTGCGGTACGTGGTGAGGGCCTCATTAAGCTGCTCCTCTATCATGTCCACATACTTCAAGTTATACTCCTGCAGGGACACACAGAGGGACTTACTGTTAAAGGTTTTGTTAATGTCAGTAAAAAAAGAAAGACGTATGATGGTTGAATTGTACCTTCTGCCATTTCTCCATCTGTTTAGTGATATATCCTCTCTCACTGAGATAGGAGAACCCCTTTGGAATAGATAAAAACCTGGTGGAAAGAGAAATAAGGAATGTTTATTTTTATAGTAACAGCAACAATTCAAAGTCATAAACATTATTGACATTACAGGAGGAGGTGGGGAACAAAATATTCCCTGTGCATTTTAACCATGGTGAAATAACAGGATATGGTCTGTAATAGACATGGACATTTAGCAGAGAGTTGAAAAGGGGTCAAAGAGATTAATGTAAAAATCATATTCCTCACATTATCTCTGATTTCTACCACAACAGACATCCGTAGATCTGCTTTCAAATCATAGAATAAAGATGCCTCAGAATAGAATCATCACATTTTGAAGTTTTATTTTGTGCCAAAGAATTCTAGTGATAGCTGTCTGTACATCGATGGGTACACTGCAAACAGAAGCTGCTAATAGCTAGTTGGCATACTTTTAATGGTGCCAGAGAAAAAACTTTAAATCACAAGGATGTCACTCTGAACAGGATTTAAACTACAGGAGGACCAGCAAGTTCACAGACAAAAACAGTATATAATTATTATTTGGGTGAGAGATAGGATTAGAATCACTGACCAGGGCAGGTAATGTTAGAATCACCCCACCTCTATTAGCCCTACAACGCCGATTGTATCAGATATGCTACATGAATTTCTGAGACCTTATCACCATCATGGATGTACAAAGAGAACTGGATACAGTTATATACAGCCCGGCGCTCTTCCTGGGGGCTTGATTACCATGCATAATCAGAAGGAGAATCAGGGTTATTGCCAAGTAAGTTTTCACATACGAGGAATTTGGCTATCATAATCTTTATATATTGACAAACTCGGACTATATTGACTAAATAAATAAAATGGTTGGAAAACGGTTCTTCCAAATGCAATGAAATATATTTGTTTTTGCTTCTAAAGTAAACATTGCTGTGATCAAATTGCATAAATGCCTGAAGTATCAAATATACACAAAAATAATATATATACATGCATATTTAAATGACCAAGAAATATATATAATGTTTAACTATTGGCAAGAATCATATACAGGGGTTACAAATTGAATATATTGCGATACTGAACTGAATTTGTATTTATCACAGTAACATCCAACATTATAATCCTCACTGCTATCTACTGGTTCGGGGTTTAAACACAAAAATTAATAAACTTTTTTGAGAAATCGATACAATATACAGTAAATAATATTGCAATACGATATTTTTTAATATTCTATTACGTTCCTATCCAATAGGCACTTCAGTTTAAAAAAATAAGCCCTATAGCTCCAAATATAGATGGCTAGATAGTGTACCTTAGCAGCAGTAGCACACCCTTGTCCCCCAGGTGTGTGAGAGCAGGTTTCATCTCTGTCAGTGCATGTAGGTTGGCCTGAGGAATAACACATTGGGGGGGGATTAAGTGCCAGTGATCTAATACCCACAGATCCATTCAGATTGTGCTGTTTGCTCCCTCACCTTGTCTTCACAGGCTTCATCCAGGATGTCCAGCGCCTCCATGGAAATGGTTTTATTGCGGTCGTGAAGCTGCGTCACCAGGAGCTCGATGCCCCAGTTACTAAAGAACTCCACACTGGCACGCAGCAGGACCCGCAGGTGCTTGGTGGCGTACAGCCTGCAGGTCTGTATTTGATCCATACAAGACAGGAAGTTATTAGGTACAGATGAAAAGAAGATAGAGTTACCTCAGAGACACCAAGATTGTTTAGTGTATCAAGTCAAACATCTGCATACATACACAGACTTCATGGATGCTGAGCCCTTCCTCAGTGTAATACCTTAACAACTAGTATACACATTAATTTATTAACATTTCAATACTTTTATAGCCAGGAGACATTTTTAATTCCTGAAAAAAAAAACTTTTGCAAAGAACATATAGTTTACAGTGAGTTTGTTTTGGAAATTGAAAATTGGAAAAGCTGTACTTGCTCAACACTGATTCATATACATAATACAATCAGTGTATGTGTGATTACAGCAGAGGGTGCTGTGGTAAAGCTGTCAGACAGAGCTGTATGGACTCTTACATCAGTGGCAGCAGTGAGGATTTTGGACAGAATGACTCGAGCCAGACCGTCTCGACTGTAATCCAGCGTGGAGACTGTCAGCTTCAGCAGGTGCTCTTGATTCTTCAGACTGCACATGTTCAGCAAACTGACAGAGCCAATGAGAGCAAGCAGATTAAACACAGAATGATAGCATAGGACAATGTGAAGCCTCTAACACTAATCCAGCTGTCTGCAGTGTGTTATAAGATCTGAATGTCTGTTTCAAATGCTTTAAAAGGAGACTAAAGCCCAGTCCACACTGCTCGCGCCTGCAGCGAGTGTGCGTGGCAGAACGTCTTGCTTTTTATTTTGGCACCCATGTTAGAGCAGGTTAACGGGTTAGAGCAGCCACACTGCCCAAGTGAGCAGTGCGTCTCAGGTAAAGCTGCAGCGACGCATACTAACATGCTGATGTCAACCTGGTATAATGTTCACCATCTTAGTTTAGTGTGTTAGCATCAAGCGCTGGGCTAGTGGCCAAACCGTGTAACTACAGCAATGGCGTCTGTCATGTGATGCATGCTGGCCCAAAAATACTTTTTTCCATAAGGTTACATCATGAAAGAAGTGGCTGTAAAATGGTGGATACATTTCTGCGTCACAACAATGACTTCTTTCACTATCAGAATTTGATCTATTCGGTCCAATTCTATTTTTAAAGTCTAGAAGATTTGCACGATTAAATCATTTATCCCAATTCAAGTTAACAGTGGGCTAAACCTGAAGTTAGATTTTATTTCTATTTTTTTTAACGAAAACATAAGTCAACTAAGTCTAAATAAATCTCACATCAACCCATTCATCCACCACTACTTCCTGGCTAATTTTATAATTATTACTTATAAAGCTTTTTTTAATACGCTTTCTGTATTATTGTGGCCAGGACAATCATGACATGAACTTTTCTTATCATCCCATTCCTAGTACGCCACCAGACATGGGCAGCTGTGGCTCAGAGGTAGGGCGGGTCGTCCACTAATCGGAAGGTTGGTGGTTCCCCCGCTCCTCTCGTTGCATGTTGAAGTGTCCTTGAGCAAGATACTGAACCGATGCTGTGCACTGGTGTATGAGTGTGTATGAATGATTAGTTTCCGTTCTGGTGAGCAGTTGGCACCTTGCATGGCAGCCACTGCCATCAGTGTGTGAATGTGAGTGAATGTGTGTGAAAGGGTGAATGTGGCACGTAGTGTAAAAGCACATTGAGTGGTCGAAAGACTAGAAAGGCGCTATGTAAGTACAGTCCATTTACCATTTACGCTAGTGCTGGAATGCAACACAGGACGTGTCTTTGCAAGAAAAGCATGACATAACCATGACCCGAATCGCGTTTTTTATGCTTCAGTTCCACATTCTTCTCAAATCTTACTACCAAAACTACAGTGATTGTGTATTGGTTTGTGAGTGCTGCCAAAATGCCGGTGACTAACACTCAAGGACTGAATCTGCTCCTGCTGCTGCTGCTGCTGCTGCTGCTATGCTAACGTGCAGAGATAACCAAAAGTAATTACAAGTTATCCTAAGTGGACATACACTGATCATCCTGGTGATCACAATGTTCTGCAGCCCCATACCAAACAAACTGTCTCCGGTTCTTTTCCTTCCTTGGACCACTTTTGATAGGTACTGACCACTGCAGACCGGAGACACCCCACAAGAGCTGCAGGTTTGGAGTCCTGACCCAGTCTTCTAGCCATCACAATTTGGCCCTCGTCAAAGTCGCTCAAAATCCTTTTAACCTTTTAACAAATCAACAAAATGTTCACTTGCTACCTAATATAACCCACCCACTTACAGGTGTCATGAATATAATGTTCTATTTCTGCCAATAGATCCTCCTACATGTTACTACTGACTGGGAACCATGTGAATCTGTACCAAAATGTGTGCCATTCCATCTAGTTTAATGTTGAAATATTTCACAGAATAAGTAAACCTGCTGGTGGAAGGCCTCGGGGGTATACTACTTTTTTAAGGTTATTACACTGCATACTGCCTAAAATCTGTGAGGACACATATTATAAAATGAGCTTTACAGTAGCTGCTCACCACTGGAAGACGCTGCACTTCTCTAGCATCTTGACACCATGTGGGTGGGCTGACAGGGCGCCCAGGAAGAGGAAGTAATGCTGGCTGAGTGTGGTTAGCAGCCCACTGCCCTGCAGACTGCGGTCAGGTTTGAGCCCGGCAGAGGAGAACAGACACTGGACAATGTCCCTTACCAGGTCTTCCAGGTATGCCTGGCCTTCCTAACACACAAAGACAAAGTGGATTAGGAGATGGGGGTAACAGGGGGGCAGGTTCATTTACTCAAACATCCCCCACGACTGCTGGGGAACACTCTTCATCTTCAGGTGAGTGTAGATGAATTATGCAATATTGTTTCATACTTTCTCTGTTAGATTTTCTTAGTTAGTTAGTGCTGATAGTTACAGAGGGCTGTTTCCCCTCACCTCTTCAGACGCCAGGAGGAACTCTACAAACTGACAGCCAACAACAGTGAGCTGTCTGGCCTTGGGATGCTCCAGCTCCAGGCTGCCATACAGCTTACTGCTGGGTTTGTAGAAGAAAAGCAGCCTTCGCACAAACCTGTAAAGGAAAAAAAACAACCCACACAAACATATAAACAAGATTTGTGACAGGCTGCTTGTCAGTGTGCTAAAAATCCAGTGAGAGCTAAGAGAACGTGTGGGGGCAGATATACTTACTTGTGCATTTGTTCATCCTTATTGCTACGCAAACTGACATTTGGCCACTAAAGACAAGAATAAAACACAAATTAGAGGATGAGATCAATAAAAGCATCTTACATTCCACAGCAATACCAGCTGAACAACTGCAACAGGAAGAAATTATCACCCACCCAAGCCTACAATGGTAAAAATGCACTACATGATGAAAGCAGAAATCTTTTAGACCTTTAAAATGGTTCCAATAAGACACCAGTTCCAGTCCAGGTTCTCCTTGTGGTTAAAGATGTGGCTGTCTCTCATGTTGGTCACCAGAGCCTCTTCAGTTTCCTGCAGGACAAACACAGCTGCCTTTGCTTACACTTACGTAACTAACGCTATACAACATGCAAGATTTGACAGTTGTGTTTTCTGTATTTGGTAGCATTTTGTGTAATGTAATAATTTAATACTTAACAATAATTAAAGTAGTGAAACATCTAAAAATGAGAACACATAAACGCTGCTCTTCAGGGATACCTTTGTATCTTCCTACCTTAACTGCCAGTCGTAAGATACCATTTCTTAACTGTAAAAGTAGTGAAACATCTAAAGATACACTGCAGGAGTATGTGATTTTGTGTGTACCTTAACAATGAAAATGTCTCTCTGAGGTCTAAAGTGCTGCTCTCGACAATAGTGTGACCCCCCCGATGTGCGGAGGATGTGGTCCAAGTAGAGACTGTAAGGTTTGGCGCCTCGCTTCTTCTTCTCATGAAAACACTTCAGGTAGTTGACCGAAGCACTTGCTCGTCTGCAAAAAGCATTCATTTCACTGGCAATTCTCTTGATAATTGTTTAATGTAACACTTTGTGCCACCCCTTTTTGCTGTGTCTTTCTCAATCTCAACTTTCCTTTCTTGTACTTAGATAAGCTATGTGCTTGTCTATGTTGAAAAGACAACCACACTGAAGATGGTTTTGAAGTGGAAACACTAGCTAACTAACTAGCGTTTTGCTAACATTAGCTATCAGATGTAACTAACTAGCTAACAATTAATGTAGATTAGCTAGATAATGATTGATGACGATTAGCTAGTTAGTTAGCTAGCGTCTAATGTCCCAACATTAACTAAATTAAGACGTGACTATATGTCGCTTTTATCTTTTAACTATCTTTAAGATGTGGTTGTATTTTCAACATAGATTAGCCTACCACATATCATATCTGAGTACAAGAAAGGAAGAAGTTGACCAAAGCTTGCTCAACTGCTATTGGGGCACAGTGCAAAAAGGGGCGGGACTTAGGAGGGGGTAATTGACATCCTCTTAACTAAACCTGTCCCATCTGTATCACGCCTGGGGGGAGGTACTCACAGTCTCTTCTCAGGAGCGATATCAAAGGAAGCGGCCATGTTCATGAGGGTGGGTAAGCAGTGCAGGTGGTGGCTGTGGCTGTGAGGGAGGATGGTGTTGGCCTGTAAAAGGAAAATCAGAGTTACACAAAAAAGTAATCCGAGGAATCTTCTGTTCTGATCAGCGAATGGGAGCACAGGTGGCAGGTTACCATATGGAGAAGTTCTCCCACCAAGATGGTAGCCCGTATAGATAGGGCATCATCGCTGCTCGTGATCACCTCGACCAGACCCTGTGGAGGTCAGATACAGTGGTCAGATACAGTGTGATACCAACACCGACAGGAGGCTAAAACCACAAATAAAGTCTGTGTGGTAAACGATTGTACCTCTAGTAGACCACTTTTGATGAAGGCAGAAAGCACTAGAGCCAGGTAGTTGTCCATCAGGTCCGGCCTGGAACAGAGCAAAGATTCCACTTTAATTGTCAATATAATATCATCTTTCAGCACCCATAATGAGATAATATTAGTGCAGTGTTTACCTTGAACATGATCGATGTGGGAGCATTGTTTTTGCCTCGGAAGCCACAAATCCATCAGACAACCTCCAGCTGTCCTGAAACCTACTGGGGTCTAAACAGTGAATAGTTTCAATATAGCTCCTGATACGACAACAGACATATCCCAAAAACAGGAATTGATAAGTGATGTCACTATACCCACCTACACTAATAAGTGCTTCATTGAAGTCTGCAGTGGCTACAGGTATGACAAGCTGGAAGATGTCATACAACACCTCCAACAATCCTTTCTGTGGGGGAAAGACATGATTTCAGTCAACATGACGTGTGTGGTTTTATTGAAATATTTATTCGCTCTTTCAGCTTGGTTTGATTTGTTGTGCACCATTCTGTGGTGTCCAACTCATAAGGGCTTACAAGACACTAAAGCAACATCAGCCAAGATGGCCACATGACAAATCATAATATATAGTTCCACAAATTCATACGATTCAATTTCCATGACTAAAATGTCTTATAATGTTGGATACTATACTCAACCAATGTGGGTTTTTCCATGGCCGATCCCAATATGTAGAGAACAGGGCTGCTGATGGCCAATATATAATGCCGATATCAAAACAAAGAAAAACCAACCATTTCACTACCTTCCCAAAACTCACAAGCGGGTCTCATTGGTCTATCACTATTGGATACAGTGCTCTCATGCATTTTTTATAAATCTTGCTAGAACAAAAACCACCTTAAAGAGCCCACTCAACATTTGACCTTCAGACAGCCAAAACAAATCAAGGTTCTTCAACTGGATTTTTTTATACAGTTCCTTAAGTCACTGTACACGGGCCAGTGAAGCAGACAATGAAATTCATCCTCAAGAACCAAGATCACAGAGAACATATAAACGCTGCTCTTCAGGGATACCTTTGTATTTTCCTACCTTACCTGCTAGTCGGACAGGGGCTTCTGCCCTCTCCTTAAATTAAATATTATATACAGTTCTGTGTAGTAATCTTCCATGATTTGAACATAGTTTCTTAGCTTTGGTTTACACCAAATCTCTTTCCAATGTTCCTTGTGGATCTGTAGTAGTTTTTAGGGCCCGAGCAGCAACTGCTGCTCAAATACTGTCAATACTTTTCTTCCTTCTAAAAGCTCACATTTCATGTTAAGCTCATAATTATAAATGCAACATTTCAAAATACTTCAAAACTTCTAAATGGCTTACTCATCATGAAACAAAACTATATTACTGAGAATGTTGCAAATACCAAATGCATTTAAAAAGAATTCCCACCATTACTGATCTCATTTCATACTAAGGACTTTATTCATGGATCTGATGATATAACTTGTAACTAAATAAAAGCCAGCTTTATATGAACACTAATATTATTCTCAGTCTAACAGGTAACACAAAGAGAACCAGAATAAGCTGAACTAGTGTGGTGACACAAAGCGATGCTGGTGGGCACCAAGCCTTTAGCTGGTGGGTGAAGGTTGTGTCCTCTCACAAAGCAAACACAATGTGACTGTTACATTATGCTGATCACCTACCCGCACTTCCATATTTGGTATACAGAGTAAGCCAATAAGAGACTGGATGCCAGAGTTGCCTGACTTGCAGAGGTTAATGATGCCTGTAAGGTGAATGGGGCAGAGAGTGGAGTTAGCCAGAGAGACACAGTAGGTGTTCTCTAAACACTGCGTGTGATTTACAGAACAGTCACAGTTAATCCCAAAATCAAAAACACAAATTTTATCCTTTTCCTATCCTCCTTTTATTTCCTTTTTTCTGTACAGGTATTTATCCATCCAGAATGTTTTGGTGCCAGTTGCTTGAGTTGTGAGTTTTAGAGATATCAGCCATAGATATGTCTGCCTTCCTATAATGGAACCAAATGGAACAGCTTATGGTGCTCAAAGTGCCAAAAAAATTGAAAAAACAGCAAGGTCTGTGCATTATCTTGAGTAACTGGGTCATGATTTCTGAGAAAGAAAGAGAAAGAGACATTGCTGTTGAATTTTTCAAATGGATTTTTTTGGTGCTTTGAGCACCACAAACCGAGTGCCATCTGGTTCCATTATATTGGAGAGAATGCTGATATCTCCAAAACTCCAACTGCTCCTTTAAGGAGGCATTCAGAGATCAAAACAATGTACAAATTTGGTTAAAACGAAAATGACTGTAAATTACACCACTTACCTGACCAGGAGCGAAATGAGGCAACTATAGACATTTTAGTAGCCATGAATCGAGCCTCCCTATCCTCCCTGAAGACAAAGAAATACAAATATTTAACAATAACAGAACAATCCTACAAGGTTTATGTTACATGCTTCAACAGACTTTGTGGAACTCACTTGAGCTGGCCCTCTGCTATGTCAGGACTGTGTCTGTAGTGGAAGTCTGTGTATGGGGCCAGGATTTGCTAAGAGAGACAGATTTTATGAATAACATCATACGCTCTTTAAGAGTTGTTGTATAAGAAACACTTTCAGTTGGATATGTGTCAGTACCTCCAGTTCAACGTCAGAGCGGACGTATTGCCTGGTGTGAGGGTGGTTGAGGAGGTGCAGGATGGTGGTGATGAGAGCTTCATTGATGCGACTCAGCTGACAGTCGGTCACGCTCTTTAGAATGGTGCTGAGACCGCCTCGCTGCGCCACCACAACAGGGTTCTTCAAGGCTGCAGAATAAAGGGGCCACACAGAGTTCTGCCAACACTGTTACACTGCTGACGTCACAGTGTGAGTGTGTACGTGTGTGTGTGTGTGTGTGTGTGTGTGTGTGTGTGTGTGTGCAGCTTGTTGTTACTCACAGAGCTCACAGATTATGGCAATGCAGGCCCGCACCATGCGATCTCGTTCATGCAGCCCGTCGTTGCCCACGGCAATGAGGGAGTTGGTGACAGAGGAGGGGAAGAGCAGCGCGTTCACAGTGATCATCTGTACGAGGCAGCAGCACAAACACAGTGCAGTCAGTTTTTAGCCATGCTAGCGGCTCTAGGGATGGCAGCTTTCTAACAAATCTAAAATGTATCAAATCAAATAAAAAATATACACAGCAGGCCTATATCTCAGCATTTTGTCTAATTCTGAGGAAAACTAAATTAAATTGTTTGCTTAGATATTATGTATGATTGTTAAAAAATAAAAAATACACAATACAGACCTAGAATAAAAAGTTCCTAAAACCATTGGAAAACTCATCTCTGAATATTTACAAGAAAGAATCTGCTCAAAATTCATCCAAACTGCTCATTTTACACAATGGTGTTCCCAATTTGGGTTCATTTTACAGTTCATCTGTTGTTATGTCCATCAGGGGTCGTCAGTTTACTCATTCATAGATAAGGGGTTCATTTTTATGATTTCAAGGATTATTAAGTCATATCAATCACTCTATCTCCTGGTGTTAATGTAGCAGCAAACCTACAATTATCGATCGTCCTAAACATAATGTTCTCTAATTTTGACCTTCATGAATACAGTGGATTATGGATTATCGGTAAATCTACAGGCACTGGGTTCATGCAGCAGCTTCGTTTCTGATGGTAAGCAGCAGCTGCGCAACTATGTGAGCACACTATAGAGCTGATAGAAGGGGTATTGGCTGATCTCACCTTGCGTGCCAGTCTGAGAGCCTGTGTTCTTTCAATCTCATTACTTTGCTGGATATCAATGCACCTGGTACAGAATCAAAGGGACAGGTTTATTAAAACAGAATGCCAACTGTTATACACAGCCTCTTTCAACCATTCACTCACCTTGCAATCAGATAGTCCACCTGCAGTCCAAGCACTTTCTCTAGTACGCTGCTGTCTCTGATCAGGTAACGTAGAGCCCGTAATCCAGCTGCACGCACTTCCTTGGCCTCGTTCAACAACGCTAACCGCAGACTTGGGAGACAAAAACCAGAGAAAAGCCATAATCAAGAACACTGCAGCAAAGGAAATGTGCAGTGGCCAACATGTCCAAATGCTTACCAAATAATCATCTCCTCATATGTAAAGCCAAGCTTCTCCTCTGAGTGTCCAACGCTGCAGAGAAGCTGTGGGGTAACGAAATACAGACAAAAAATGGTCACAACTGATTGTGTGACCCACCAGCAGGGTCTCCTGATGTGAATGCCACATTGGTACAAATAAAGCTATCTGGATGTTAATGTGTTAATGTGCACATTTACTCAAGTACTGTACGATTTTGAGTTACTTGTGATTTTCTGCTTCTTTTTACTTCTACTCCGCAACAACTCAGAATAACACTGTAGTTTTTACACCACTATGTGTACAGTACAGATATAGTTAATAACTTTAGAGATTTTATAAACTTAAAGTTAAAGTCATATATAAAATCTGATGCATAGCTACATATTTAACTGCCCAGCACTAATACCACTGTTACTACTGTATCTCAATATCAAGTGGACAGATTTATATTTGTGGTGGACAGAAGAGGGTATCAGATGGTTATAGGACTCCCTGACTCTTTGTAAAAGTCACTGTGAGGTCAAACCTTCCCTTCATCAACACTTTGGCCAGTAACAAGGTATTTGAAAACAGATGGATTTGGTACTAATGGATCATCCCTTCTATTTTGGGCAATTCATGAGCGCTGCTCATCAATTGCCAGCTCCACTACAGTGTAAACTTTGGCAGCCACTTTACATGTAGTCTTGCTCTATAGACAAAATATTTTTCTAAAAGTTGACTAAAATGTAATTACTTTTTACCCATGGGTTGGGCCGACAGGTCAAGTGACAAAGCAGCATTCTGAGTTATAATAACTTTTTCACTTTCTCTCAAACACACACAGAGTGCTGCTATGCATTCAAACATGTGCATCCAGTGGTCAGCTCAGCTGGATGCTGCTTAAAGCGCCTCCAAATTGATTAAATCCTCTAACTTTGGATTCTATTCTTTTTCTGAACAGCAGCCACACACTAGGCTTAAAAAAAGACAGTAAGCTAATAGACTAGTGGTTCCCAACCTTTTTCCTCAAGGGACCCCTTTTCTATCATTTAGTAAATTGACTAAGTGACATATTTTATGGGTGTTTCATATTATATTCAAACTGTACAATGAACCCAAACAGTCAACTGTAGGAAGTTTGTGTGAATCTTGAGCAGATTATTTCCTGTTTAGGGACGTTTTTATACAATTCTCTGTCTGTATTGTGTATTTTTAACAATCATACACATTATTTTTTGCCATTCAGTGTTTTCTTGTCCCTGATACTTGGCCATTGTTCTAATAGACAATTTACTTTCCATTTACTTTTCTTCACAGAAGTCAATCAAATGCTGAGATATAGGCCCACTGTTTTCTAGAACGCCTTAAAATCAAGAAGGCCAGGTTGGGAACTACTGCTATAGACCTACTGTACACATTTAGTTAAACTTCACTAAGATGTGATTGTTTGTGAGACAGAGAGAGCGAGAGAAAGAGAGAAAGAGAAAGAGAGAAAGAGAGAAAGAGAAAGAGAGAGAGAGAGACATGTCTTTAGTGAAGTGGTACTTTTGTTGGTATTCAACAATAGAACATGTTTGGAACAATTGGGTGTTTATTGAGCCTTGATTTTCCCAATGCTGTGGGTGGGTACATCCCCTTGGAGAGCACCATGCCGCTCAGTCCTGACAACTGTGCAACTATAATGCATAAAGTTGGCGGTTTGAGGGTTTGGTCTCTTAACTATTGGAGGAAAATATGCATTTTTGAAATGCCCACCACTGACATTTTTGCTACATCTTGTATTGTTAATGAAAACAATACAAACATTTTATCATAGTTTACTAGATGTATTTTTAGCTTGAAAGCATCTCGTCTTAGACAAGGAAAAAACGGGATTAACACTGCTCCACTATCAAGGTACAAGATATCATATAATGTTACAGGCAGGTACGCATGGTATTTACTGATCACATTCAATCTCCCTTAAGAAAACGAAATGTAATGACCTCGTAGCCCTCCCATTCGCAACACACTCAGGTGCTGCAAGTGTGGCTTCACTGTTTTCTTTACAAACCTTCACAAAGTTGTTCAGGTGACCAAGCTTGCGCATGTTGGAGACTCCTTGCCGCTTTGCAACGTTCTGAAGGATTTCACGAAGGTTCTCTGCAGGATCTGAAATCAGTGAAGGGTGATACGGACCCTAATGTAACACAGTTTCAAATACTACATATTCATGTGAACAGAAAAGAATTCCTTTCATGTAAGTGTTACCATAATGCGTCAAACAGAAACAATGAGCACATTAAACACAGTGGGGGTAAATACTGGTACCCACACCAAGAGAACTATTTGTCTGATGTATGCAATTCCACTGCTTCCGTTCTGTTGTGAAAGAATCCATTACTGAAATAATCTGTTAAAGTGTAATAAAGCTTAAGCTCAAGCTAGGGCTGCAAGCAAATACTATTATTTCAGTTCACTTAGTCTAAAAAAACAACAAAAAACAGTCAAAAATGTCCTTTACAATTTCAATTTCCAAAAGTCCAAGGCAACGTGTTCACATTGCTTGTTCTGTCTGACCAACAGTCCAAAACCCCAAAGATACTCAGCTAACCTGCACAAAAGACAAATTCTACCAATCGAGAAGCTCGAATTACAGAATGTTTTGTAGAAAAATGACAATCAATTATAACTGGTGCGGATGCATTTTCTGTCAACTGACCATCACAGCTCTAAAATAAAACAGTTGGAACTGTATGACTTTGAGTTAATGTATTGAGAACAGCATTTAGAACTTATTTTCTGTCACACTGACTGATCCATGATTGTAATGAAATGAAGTAAGTCAGTGATGATAATCAGGGGTTAAATTGGGCTGGGGCTGTCTGGGGCTCAGTCCTGGCACATAGGCCTATGCTCCTCTATGTCTTCTTAATTTCACACATCTTCAACACTGTATATATTTTTTACTTTTGCCTTGTTCTTGATAATTCAAACAATGACTAAAACACTACATCTTCGTAGCTGTAGAGCACATAAGCTTAAATGAAGTGAAGTTTCCCCTTAAAGCAACCTACCCACTTGTCTGTCAGAAAAATAGTTTTAATAACAGAATGTAAAATGCTCTGATATTCTGCTTAGATCATTTTTTTATTTTACAAACTGTACTGTAACTTTACCGCAAGACAGTTTGCGGCAGGTTGCTCCAATATTTGATACGGATCATTGACATATACATTATAAAGATGGACGACAAAAAATTAAAAAGTACATATAATAGTATACATAAAATAAGTACATACATTTCTCCCAAAGATAGTTTCTGTAATTTTCCGTAGTTATTTCCTGTAGTGTTCCTTTTTCTGATCAGTTTGGTTTATTTGAAGCTAAAAGGGGGTTTTTACATCATGATTGACAGCAGAGCCCTGCTTGATACCGCAGCTCCAACCTCAATCTTTTTTTTCCACTTTTGGCATCCTATTTTCAGCCTGAGTGAAATTATTCAGCACAGTCGGAAGTGTTCCTCTGATTAAATAGGGAGACCACATCTCTGTAATGAGGACACTGTCATATCTATAACTGTGCTTGCACAACTTTAATGTTTGCATTTTGTTATAGACAGAGGCCCAAAAACACTGACACAAGTGTAGTGTCAAAATCAATCACAAGAGCCTCTTCAGAAAGATATTACAGAGCACAACTGTTATCTTTTAAAGGACCAGTGTGTAACACTGAGAAGGATCTATTGTCAGAAATGGAATATAATATTCATAGGTATAGAATAGAAATTGTTGTGTTTTATTACCTAGAATGAGCTTTTTGATCTACAGAGGCAGAGTCCGCCATGTTAAACCGCCATGTTTCTACAGTAGCCCAGAACGGACAAACCAAACAGTGGCTCCAGATAGGGGCGTTTAAATGTTTCACATCTTTAACGGCCACCGTAGTTTCTCATTCGTGCTTGGAAGGTGATGGTGAAGCGAGGGAGTTCTAAAAGTACAACACTAGATGCCACTGAACCCTTCACACTGGACATTTAAAATGGCTGTATTAGAAGAATGGCAGGCTTATACCAACAGCCTACTTCCTCACCAGCCAGAATAGTGTGTGTGTGTGTGTGTGTGTGTGTGTGTGTGTGTGTGTGTGTGTGTGTGTGTGTGTGTCAGAGTTCAACTTGAGAATGTTCTAAGCAGCGTTTCCGCAGGCTCAAGAGCCACGTCATTATGTCACTGTACGCATTTATATGTTTCCAACATTAGTTAATGTTACCAAGGTTAGCTGGCTCACTAGCTAGCCGTTGGTCAGCTAACATTACCCAAGCAAGTATAGCTAGTAGTAAGATTAACATTACTTTCGACAATTCTTAACATTGCTGTGAAAAATGAGTAGCTGCTTGGGTAATGTTAGCTGACCAACAGCTAGGTAGCTAGTCACCAAGCTCAAAGTGACGTTCATAGTGACCCAAGCGGGCCCCAACTGTTTTATAATGGTAAAGATCATGATTTTACTTAGGTACTTTTTCTTTACATCACTGGTACCTGCGTTTTTAAAGCTTTATAATGTTTTATATAAAAAGTCCCCAAATTAGTGCCATTTACATGATATAACAAAAGCTCTGTATCTAATAACACATGTTTATCTTTCCAAGGCATGGAATTGTCAATCTCAGGCCATTTTATCTATTTTGTGCAAAGTTTCTAACAGGACTGAGCTTTTAGCATCTTTTAGCAAATACAGGAAATGTAGCCACATGGCATTAGTGCTAATAGTATGAGAACAATTAGCACCTTAAAGGGGTTCAGCAAAACCTTTTTTTTAAGTTTTGAAAATGAAGTTAAACAAAACGTTACATACAGAAAGCTATCCAAACTTTAAATGAATCTCCCTGTACAACATTTTGGTTATCTATATGATTTCTGTCTGTGTCCCCTGGCATTGTCTGTTCATGTGACGTCTGTGTTTACCTGCTGTTTGTTAATTAAAAATGAATAAAAAGTTACTTTTGGTCTTCCTGTGACCTTCAGAAGACTCAAATGATGCTGTTATGAGTTTGCATAACATATGAAGGATGAAGGAAAGAGTCACAATAATCCAAAAAATTTGATTTGTTTTACAGATTCTATTATATTTGATGGTGAAGTGTAGAGTTAGAGTGGAGACAAGCTAAAATCCTATTTCTTTACAATGTACTTGATAATACAATGTATTATACAGATAGTTGTATGTATATTTATGCACATAAAGGCTCTACGGAAGCAAACATATTTGGACTTAGTAGAGATATTAGAGATTATTATCTTGAGATACTAAGTCAATATTTTGAGAAAGTTTCTCATTATATTGAATTACAGAATCGGGGTTTTTCCGTCACATTGGCGGAATGGCCCATCTGCATGCAGAGAAGTTCTGAGTGGACCGGAAGTGCTGTTTCTTTTTAGCTAGTTTTTCTAGCTTGACGGTGATGACTGAGTTGGGTAAACACGCAGGCAAAACATGCGGGAGGCACAGACAGTACAAGTCAAACAATTTAACACTTATTTTTAGCATGACATCCCCCACAAAAACATATGCGCCCAGAAAACACCGCGACACGGCGGCGAGGTAAGCGGGAAGTCGGTGACAGTGATGCTAATTGGATGCTGAGTCGTAAATGTGTGCGCCGCTCCCGGAGCTCAGACCTACCTCTGCAAAGATCCAGCGGTACGTTCTCCTCCCCGCTGTCATTCCGACCTGTCGGCACAAACACAAAGTTCTGAGTGAGCTGAGCTGGTGGCCGACCCGACACGACCTTAGAGCCGCCGGTGTCAGAAGTGGTGATGGGAGTGTGGTCAAGCCCGTGTGAACGGAACTCTGTCTCACCTCGCACCCGACTGCTCCGTGACGGGCGGCCTAGGATGCTGCTGACCGCCATCTTTACAGAAGCCGCACTGAGTGGACCCAGCGCGTGATACTATCGCGAGAATCTACTTCCTATCATCCTCCTGCGCCTCATCTTCATCAGCACTCTGCCACTGAGGACTTTCACTGCCTTGGGAATAACTTGGGAGCCCCGGTGTAATGGCACATGAACCAAAAACATACTAGACACTCAGATTTCACACATTCATTTAACTTTACATCAGCTTATACGACAACAACAAAAACAAAAACAAAACAAAACAAAACTAGACATTTAACACTCAAATGAAGTTTATTTATATAGCCTAGCACATGTAAAATAATCAGAGTTGACTAAATTTCTGTGAATGGCCGTCTGTAAAAAAGGCAAATGACACCAATAAATGACAATGAAAGAAACTATATATAAATATAAGACAATAACAAATATGTGTGCAAATGTAAAACAGACAGAACAACACTTATAAGAACAATATAAAATAAAGATTAAAAATACTAGAACACACTAAGAGCAATCAACAATCAAACAAAATGTATGCAACAGTTTGCATCAATCCTTTTGAGTTATGGAAACTTCTAATGAAATGATGTTCAACAAATGTACTACACTGAGTTAGAGGAATCCTCTAGGTATTTTTAATTAGCCCTTACTTGGTTAATTAAAAATTAATTGGTTGCATAAGTTTTTAAGTTAATAATAAAGGGTTTATTAAATCAATCAATTAGACGTTTTATCAACCATGCATTTATTTAAGTGAAATTATTAATATTAATATTATAAGGAGAGAGTTGATTGACAAACTCTGAAATGTACTTCTGGACACTGAAGTATATTGTGTGTACACCTGACTATGCCATACTTGGGATATTAGAAATATTGAGGAGTCCACATTAAAGGCACAGTATGCAAGATTTTTACCTTCACCCAAGGGGTTCCTTTAAAAAAATCACACATTTGTTCCTATGGCAGAAAACTGCCACCTTCACAAAAACTGCTGTAAAAATCTTATAAATCAATATTTTTTTCTACTTTAAATGAGTCAATCCTTTAGAACTATTCCAGCTTGAAATATACATATCAAATAAGTATCATATTTTGGGTATTTTAACCCTTTCAAGGCCAATGTGTTTACACAACTCTGCTGTTGTGAAAGTCTCAGAGTTCGTTTGAGACCAGTTATTTTTCCATTTTTTAAGGCCATTTTGCTGCTGCTTCATCAATTTCATCTTCAGATGAGTCAGGGCTAGACACCAGATCATCTGTCTCTACCTCTGAGGCCTCCTCCGTGGAGGAAGTCCTCGGAGGAGGATAAGGAGCCATCTTCGCTCTCGGACTCCATGATTATTTCAAGCGCCTCCTGTGTGCTGTAATGCCTTGCCATCTCTAAAATGACTACTCCCTCACTACTGCTCATACTTATAACCATGGCTGCAGTGCACCTGCATCAACAGCCTGAACGAGAACCAAAACAAAGTCTCACACACACACACACACACACACACACACACACACACACATAACATCATCAATAGCAATACACACTTATTTCAGTAGCAAGGCACCCTTGCAGAAAACAGTAAAAAGTGTGAAATGTGGCTGCATGCTTTGAATGGGAAAAAGTAATGCCATGTGGTGGACTAATATAAAAAATAAAAATTGAAAGCTTGTAGATCAGAATGAAATCTTAACATAAAGGAATACATTAGTTTATGTTAAGATAAACATGGGATCAAAAATGGCGTTTTGAATTGTTTTCAATGCAGCAGTTTTCTGCCGTAGGACCTTATGTGTGAGTTTGTGCATAGCTTAGCCATTTTAGGCTAATTTAAGGAACTAAGACCAGAATTCTAAACTAAATGCAAAATGAATAACCTTTGGCAAGTTTGAGCTTCATTCATTGAACACACGCCAAAAAAGCATGAAAATAAAAAACGGAATGGTAGAAAAATGTACCCAGGAACCCCTAAGGGTCGAAGTCATTTCCATGGTAAACAAACTCGTAGTATAGCGAATCATCCCAATAGCAAAGCAGGAGAGGGACGCCGCTGGCAGAACCAGCAATGCAAGTCTGAAAGGTGGCGTCCCGCCAAATCCCGCGAGAATCACAAATTGCTTTACAGCGTGACGTCACATACATCAGCGACATAAGAAGCAGCCTCAATGGAAGACACTAGCAGGCATTCACTCAGACGTTACCTGGTCAGTAGACATCTTCGGAGTCTATCTTTGCCTGTTCGATGTCCGACGCTTCCATCCTACTGAACATGTACCGGTATACAGGGGGGAGGGGATCAGGCCGTGAGTGCAGAGACGCAGAGCTGTATATAGAGACGGCTCTGGTGAGTGGTATTTACGACAGTTAACGTTAAATACAAGTACTCCGCAGCGACTCTAGGGGGAGCTGTTTGACAAAACCAGAAAACTGCATAGTATGCCTTTAACCCAGTGCAGGACTAGCCATTGACTGAACCAGCATCTCAAAGCAGCTTTATGTTTTAATGCTAATGTGCAATAACAAGAGAAAAATTAAAAAATAAAAATATCTAAGAATATATTGTTTAATTTAATTTTCAATTCAATTCAATTCAATTTTATTTGTATAGCGCCAATTCATAACTGAAGTTATCTCAGGACACTTTTCAAATAGAGCAGGTGTAGACCGAACTCTTTATAACATTATTTACAGAGACCCAACAGTACCACCATGAGCAAGAACTTGGCGACAAGGGCAAGGAAAAACTGCCTGTTAAAAGGCAGAAACCTAGGACAGACCCTTCGGCTCTAGGTGGGTGGTCGTCTGTCTCGACCAGTTGGGGTGAGAGAGAGAGAGAGAGAGAGAGAGAGAGGGAGACAGACAGAGACAGACAGAGAGACAAACAGACAGACAGGTGCACAGCAACAACAGTATTGGCAATGGCAATCAAGCAGGACCATGGCAGGAGGCTCCACCAGGATCCATGAGAACCTGCGAGACGAGAAAGCACAAGAACTCCGGGGAAGAAGTGAAGTTAGTAACATGCATTAATGGGACATGAATGAGTGCAGAAAGAGAGAGGAAGAGAGGAGCTCAGTGCACCATGGGAAATCCCCCGATAGTCTAGGCCTATAGCAGCATAACTAAGGGATGGTTCAGGACTCACCTGATCCAGCCCTAACTATAAGCTTTATCAAAGAGGAATGTCTTAAGCCTACTCTTGAATGTGGAGAGGGTGTCTGCCTCCCGAACCACAACTGGAAGCTGGTTCCACAGGAGAGGAGCTTGGTAACTGAAGGCTCTGGCTCCTGTTCTACTTTTAGAGACTGTTTTGGAATTTACACGTCTTACATGTCTTTTTCATTCTGTCTGATGTGTATTCAGTGTGCATTTCAGCAATGTAGGAAGGAGCTAGGCCATTCATAGATTTAAAAACAATAAGAAGTATAAATCAATTATTTGTGTTAAGAGAAGGTAAAACAGGAGTAATTTATTCAAACCTTTTTGGTTGTAGTTAATACTCTGACTGCAGCATTCTGAATAAGCTGGGGTTTATTTAACACCTGCTTTGTTAGTCCAGTGAAAAACACATTACAGTAATCTAATGTAATAATAATCTATAAAGAACTGTATGGACCAGCTTCTCAGAGTTGATAAGAGCTGATACAGCACAGTCTTAGAGTTATCAGATATGTGTTCTGGAAGTTAATATCAGCATTTACAATCACACCCATGCTTTTGGCAAGCTTACAACAAACAGGGGAGGAAGAGTGAATCTGGTGCCTGAAAGCCTTGGGACCTGACAGGAACTCTGTTTTGTGCTCATTGGGGACAAAAGTATAGTGTTACAGAGTTTTTGCAGAGGGATTGTTTTCTGACACTATATATGACTGACTGAACTGTTCATCATGTCCTGTGGGGAGAACTGTTCTGGTTGTTTTTTATTGTACAGTGCTCTGTAGCGCCTACCAGAGGGGAAGAGTTGGAACAGGTTGTGTCCAGGGTGTGATGGGTCTGCAGGGATTTTCCCTGCTCGTTTCCTGACTCTGGAGACCTGCTGGAGGATAAACCACAGTTCGACCTGGCAACCCAAAAGTTATCCTAATGAATGGCTTATGAATGATTTATAACACATTGGTAAAATGTTAAAAAAAAAGCAATTAGTTTAGGTTTACAAAGTCTCTATCCGTTAATGCCAAAAATCCACTGGCTTTATTGTATTATTCAAATTCAAATGCAGAAGCCCAGTTTGTGTTTTTATTTGCTGGCTTCAGTAAGAAAAGAAAACATTTTTCAATCCCACTTGCATATTTATTTATTTATGTCCAAATAATTGCATTTTATTTTTATTTTATCTAAAGTTATTTTTTTGGCCTTTATTTGACAGAGACAGCTGAAGACAGACAGGAAAGGTGGGTAGAGAGAGAGGGGATGACACGCAAAAGCTAGCACCTTTCCATTTTCTGTTAGGAAGCTGTAGACTCATGACAGGCTGGAATTTGAGCAACCTGCACAAACAAAATAACTCACCATGATGAAGAACTGCAAAATTCAACAGGAAACGACAGAAAAAATAAAAGAATTCACTAAACTACACACTCTGCCTAGTGTGTTATTTGATACGGTGGGTGGGGGGGAACGTTTTTAAGTGCATTGATCAAAGTGCATCCTTTTTTCCTTGCATCTATATATATAATTTATATAATATATATTATATATACATTTTGTAATTAATTCAACCTGCAGTTGCCCTTTAAGTGGTTTTACACTAGGGGTGTAAAATAATACAGAAAAATATCGTATTATAGCGATAATTTCTTTTGTGATATTATATTGGTTCTCCAAAACACTATAGATTTTTGTGTTTAAACAGCTGATAGCAGAGTTATAAATGTAAGCTGAGGGCTATGTTGGATGTTACAGGGACAGTGAGAAATACAAATGCAGATCTGACTGTTCTGGTTGCATAAAAAGTCATTTTTTGTTAACTCAGATTTTATGCATATGGTGCTGTGTTCCGTAAGTTTTTTTTATTAAATCGCAATATATGGCCTTGCTTACAGTATTACAATATAACACAATATATTGAATCGTAACCTCTGTATCAAGATACATATCGTATCACCAGATTCTTACCAATACAAGTTTCTTCAAGTAACAAACAGGCATCATGAATGGATGTTAAGTATAAAACAAAAAATCCATCCAAGCAGCATATAAATAGAGAAGATAAAAAGGGAAACCCCACAAACAAATAACCAAAAGAAAACAAACAAACAAACATAAAGCCTCTAAAATATCAGTTAGATTAGATTAATTTAAGGGGGTTTAATTAAGATATAATGCAGTCTAGAGAGTCATAAGGCACTTCTCTTTTCCTGATGTCTTAAGGATTTAAAGAAAATCTTCAGTCATTATAAATGCCACAAAGCTTGGAGCAACTTTTAAAAATCTACACTTGTGAATGTAAAATGAACCTATAATGAAAATATTATTACATCAAAATTCAACATATCTGACACGGCCCTACTTTACGCTGTCTGATTGAAGCTCAAACGTCCTACGTGCCTGAACGCAACAGCTTTCACTTTGTGGAATGACGTGTCAAGAAAGTGCCGGAAGCTTTCAGTCTGTTCAAAATGGCTTACCAGACGCTACAACAGGAGTACTTGCAGATTCCTGTTGTTACCAGGGCATATACAACCGCCTGTGTCCTCACAACCGCCGCAGTGGTAAGACAAACTCTAACGCTCGCTGTGGGGGCCAGGACATAGCTTGGTACCGCTTAACCTAACTAACGTAGCGTCGTTACTTCGCTGCTAGCTCGGTGGTTTGGCTAACGTTAGAGCACCTATTACCGGGATACGTGTCTCAGCCCGGTGGTCCAGAATGGTAACTCTCGTATTCAAGTCGCAAAAAGCCAAAAGCGGAGCTACATGTCGCCTGAGGCTTGGTTTAATTGGAACCAGTGAAACATAGTGGTAAACGGAGGTTGAGTTTCCGTAGCATTCACAGCAGCTGTGTGTCTGATGTTAAAGCTGCCAGGTAACAGCTGACTGCAACTATCAGCTGTTTCTTTTCTAAATCTGGTTAATGGCGTATCGATGAGATTTACTTAAAATATTAATTAAAATGTAAGATATAAAATTAATTAAATATGAAAATATAACTTAACTATATGAATCACGAGAAATCAATTCATTTTAACCAACTTCATCATTATCTATCTGCCTTCCTGTCTAAAAAACTGTGTTTATAGTGATTCATATTTATAGATCATTTTTTTATTATAGAAATTGTAATCCCACCGTGTAAAATACTCCATAACAAGTAAACGAATTCTTTTCTTAAAGATCCTCTACAGACATGTATTAAAGCTGCAGTAAGTAATCTTTCACTATATCCTGACAGTAGTACATGAGACAGATACTCTGTGAAACAATCAGGTTCCTCTGGCTCCTCCTAGTGCTCCTAATGGGACTTGCAAGAATCCACCCGGCCTGAACAAAAACAACCAATCAGAGCTGAGAAACATAGCTGATTGTTGAGACTTTCCGGTTGTCAAATACAGACAATTTGGGAGTCTGGGAATGAGACTAAGTACTCAACTTTCCATCTAAAAATGCAACTATGCATTTTATACCATTTTATATATTTATTTATATCTTTGTTGTTGGCAGATTAATAACAGGCTCTTTTCTTATCGACCTCTTTGCACGCATTCACACTCGTTTATTAATGTTGAAAATTATATGAAACAACTAGAAAGAAATATATATATATATTTCGGGCCGGATTATGTTATGTTTTTGACATCATGTAATGTATTTTTTATTCAGTTTAATACTGATTTCTCTCTCGTCTCTCAGTGAGAAGATTGGCTATTTCTATATCATTCCTAAAGGATTAATAAAGGATTCTCCTTGAAATCAAGGAAACAAGGCGGTACAAACACTACCGCTTTTGTCCAGAGGAGTCGCCAGAATCAACATGAAATGAAAGATCCTCGTAGAGGGTTTAATATTGAACATTATGGTGCTATGGGGAGTGGATTTAGCTGAAATGTTTTTGTTGAGGGTTTTGTCAGTGGTTTATTGTGGAGCTCTTAATAGCACAAAGCATATGAAAGGTGTCAGTGAAAACTGTTTTGTTCTGCACTTGTTCTCACAGTCTGCTCAGACTGATATGTGTCAAAAGGGAATAATGTGGTCACTGTGCGCCCCTCGGTTTCTGATGCACAGACGTAACACTGCGCATTGAGTGATTAGAAAAACAGCTGCCTAAACCACAGTGTTCAGGGGTAAACATTTTCATGCAAGATGTTTTCACAGTTTCAGTCCTACCACACACACTACTGAACACACACTGATGGGCTCCAACTTAATTCATGCTGCTGACGGCTCTTCAATTGTCCGTACTCTTATCTGATTAATGACAAAATCTATTCAATCTATGCAATCAGAACAGTGGGATCTGCATTTGTATGTCTCACAGTTTCTGTAACATCCAACATAGCCCTCAGCTTACATTGACAACACAGGTTTAAACACAAAAATCAGTAGTGTTTTTGAGAATCTATACAATATCACAAAACTAAATATGATACACCCCAACCGTATATGGATTACATATTCTGTCATGTTTATTTTTATTTACCTGCCCGGGGACTACGGGTGGAAAATAGCAATTTGCTAAAACCCGGTGCAATGCATCTCTCCTTGTTATATACAGGGTTAATGTTTTATTGTGCACTGTCCCTGTTTAAATAAAAGAAATAATAATAATGTTATCCCCATATTGTGTTTGGTACAGTCTCAGTGTATTTACAAGCTTTAGAATGATACACCACAAATGTACATAGTGATTTCCATACACAGAAGTAGCCTCCATGAATAAACTGGCTTCCTTATCAACCCATGTTTATGCCTAACCTCAGCCAGGAGTTGATCCAGGAAGAGGCTCATCTAAGCGAAATAACAACAGGCAGTGGAATGGGGGATAGTCTCACTTCCTTGAGACCAGGGTTTAAATTGTAATGTTGTTTTGTTTTTGTCAGATGTGTGCCAAAGCTCCATCATATTGTGACATCTTGACCATTATTGTTATCATTTTCAACATTCTGTTTGTTTTGTGTTCTCTCACAGCAACTAGAGATCATCACACCATTTCAGCTATACTTCAATCCAGATTTGATTCTCAGGAATTACCAGGTGAGTAATCTGACCCACTGCTTATCATCTTCATCCTCATGAAGTGGATTCAGAACACATAACCTCTTCTACACTTTACAGCCTTCATAACACCCCCAGCTGCCTGACTTAGTAAACCAAAAAGTAGTTTTAAGGTCCAGCTGAAATGAAACTGCAGTTTGTTTGTCTGCTACAGCATACATATCTGCTCTGTTAATTACTTTGCACTGAGGCGCCCTGTTGGCTTGCCTGGTGGAACTAGCATCCCAAGTGCTGAGGCTGGGCCCTTTGCTGCATGTCATCCCCTCTCTCTTCCCTTTCCTGTCTATCTTGAGCTATCCTGTCCCTAAATGTCAAAAAGCCCCTCAAAAACATATGCATATATAAAAAAAATCACTTGAAACCATACAGGGTTTCATGATGGCACCCCCTAGTTATACATTCCTTCAAAGAAAAATCATCAGGTATCTTGTCTGCGTAGCTGGAGATCATATTTCAATGCAGCCAATAAAGTCTTGCATACAGCAGTAACATCGGCCATCTATCACATTGAGCAGGCTGCAACACAACACAAGAACCACAGACCCTGAAAAACAACCCACATAGCTTTCCTGCCCAAGTCTCCTTCTTATCTTACTTACAATCATGAACACATCTTGACCGGAACCTTTTTTCAAATTTTGATGAATGAGCGACCAACAGCATAATAAATAACCCAAAGATGTTGAGTACCCCAAAGGTGTATGTTGGAAATACAGTATGGGCCCCCAGCATTTAGGAAATGCCTGAATTCAGCAACTGCTTGGCTGATTTGAACAATATTGGAGTGGCTTCGGTGGGGTTATAAAAGTACAAAATGGCAGTTTAAACCAGAAGTTGCCTTCTTTCAACGAATTTGATAATTTTTTAGTTGACTTTGAGGTTTCAACTAAAAATGTGCTTAATATATAACCACATCAGCAAAGACACAGGTCAATGGCAAAATGCTGTACAGTAAAAAAACGGCAACAGAACTGAAGACATTTGAAGAAATATTACGTCTTAATATTTCGCACCAATGACATTGAGCTTACTTTATTCCAAAATGCAGGTGCAATGTGTTAATGGGTTGCACCTTCAATAACCCCCAAATCCACTCCTATATTGTCCACATCAGCCAAGCAGTTGCTACAATATTGTCTATATAGGTGATAATGCTTATTAATGCTAATTACGCCAAGTGCCCAACAAATGCAATTTAGCATGTGGCAGTTTCTAAATGCTGGGGATCCATACTGTACATTTCTAAGATAAACCTTGGGGTAGTCAGCATTTTCGGGTTCACATTTGCTGGCAGGTAGGGCTGTGTATTGGCAAGAATCTGACGATACAATACATATTACGATGCAGGAGTTATAATTCTATATATTGTGATATATTGCAATACTGTAATCAAGGCCATATATTGCAATTCTGTTTTTACATCTCATATTAAGAAAATGTTTATAGTAGGGGTGGGCGATATGGGCAAAAAATATCATCTCGTTATTTTTGGGGATTTGGGCGATAACGATAATCAGTCGATATCCTTTAAAATGTGATTGGAATCGTCTGAGTTAGGACTTGTGTCCACCAAACGCGTTTTTAGCACCAAGAGAGCTCAAAAACTCATTTTCCGAGCACCCAGCGGTGTTAAAAGTGGAACAGATTTCAACTTGAAGCGCTCTGAGCGCTGCGCTAAAAAAGTATTTTCCAAACCAAACCATTTCCATGTCAGAGAGGTAGACCCACGTCTCGGCACTAAATCATCTGAAGTACCGGAAGCTTCAGGGACTGGAGATGCTTGCATTTTCTCTCTATCACCACAACGCTGTAGAGAGCGTTGCTGCACCGTGTATTAAGTGGATGTGAGGAGTTTCCACGTGCGTTTCAATATTTTTGGCGAAGTAATTTACATACTCGATAATGGAAATTTGCACATTGTCAAAACAACAATGACGATATATATCGTTTCCCACCTCTAGGTCATATTATAAAGAACACCACTATATGCAACGCCCATCCAACATCATAGGCCTAGAGTTTACATTTACAACACTGCTATTGAGCTGTCAGGGGTTTAAACACAAAAATCAATAGTGTTTTTGAGAATCAAAAAACTAAATATCATGATACGATATTTTTTCTATTTTACTATAATATAATAATATATATAATTAACTGGCCCCTACTGGCCAGTAGACCATAGCTGCAAAAGTAACTTAAATCTAGTAAGATGCCCGTGTGTTCCTTACTCTTAAGCATTACTAACAACATGCCCATGACATATAACTTTGACTGATTGTTTACTTTGTCTCTCGTTCCCTGCGTGTAACACTGGGCTGCTGTCAATCAAATGGCAGCCAGCGGAGATGAATATGAGCATTTCTGATATTTCCCCAAAGACCATTTCCTTCCTTTTAATGACCAAAAAAAAAAACACATTTACATAGTTTTTTACTACATTAAGGATGACTAAATGTGATTACAGTTGGACTAAAGTTAGTTTTAAATGATAATGCTGATTAGTGTTACATCAGACTGTAGATTCAGATCTGTTTTTGTCAGAATAAGAACAGAAATCCACAATGTGGTTTACGTCAACTGTCAGTGCTTTCAAAAATCAGATACAATTTGTTCTTTTTCATTTCTTCTTTCACACAAAAAGAAATCATTTTTGTGATACAGACTGCTCTGAGCTTTATAGCTATCATTCACAGGTCATGTGACCTTCCCCACATCACTATGTTGAGCAGTTAAACAAAACCTCTAGTCACTAATAAAATGCAACCATTTTTGGATCAGGGAACAATGTGTGTATGTTACGTACAGCTCAATGTTCTCTCTCTCTCTCTCTTTCTCTAGGTATGGCGACTAATAACCAACTTCCTGTTTTTTGGACCAGTTGGCTTCAATTTCCTGTTCAATATGATTTTTCTGTATCCTTCTCAGTTCCATATTTCATTTCATTCAGCATGTGAGGCTTTGCATACTTTCTGTTTCACAGTGGAAGGCTGTATGTGGATGATGAAACGTTACACTAAAAGGATGTCTGTACACACACGTAGAGATACACACTTTGATGTGGCAGTTAAGTATTTCTGTAGGGGATGATGCTGAGATCTGTGTATATTTCTTTAACCGCTTGCTTTCAGCTACAGATATTGTCGTATGCTAGAGGAGGGCTCTTTCAGGGGACGCACGGCTGACTTTGTCTTCATGTTCCTCTTCGGTGGGCTTCTGATGACTGTATCCTTACCATGAATGTGTCATTAAAAATGTATTTTAACTTGCAGATAATGAAGTCTTTAGTGAACAATCCAATGAGCAGTAACTCATTTATTACTTGTATTGACCTCAACATTAACTACGGTTTTTTATTCCAAAAAAGACCATATTCAACTAGGCTGTTTACATAGCTAATGCAACTGAATATTCCACTAATATTCCTGTTTACATGCATCTGTGTATACTCTGATTGACCTAAGTGTTCCTCCTTATCCTTTTCAACCTGCAGTCCTGTTGCTCCCGTGGTAAAACAGCTGGAGCTTATTGTCATTTTGCGTCTTTGCATTAAAAGAGGGTTTTTTCACAGTTTCCCCCCGGTAGTGGACTTGTTAGACCGTGCAAACAAAGCTTCCTCATTCTTTCAACCCCCTTGTTGAAAAGGTCGCCGTTGCAGTATTTTGCACATATCCAAAAACCTGTTGATATTCAAGGCTGCCATAAACACTAGGTGTTTTCTCCTTCCAACCAGAAATGTGGGCTTTTCTTTTGTGCACACATATCTACTCCAGCCTTGCAAACTGTTGGCTAGGTGGTTGGTTTACAACGCACAGAGCAGACGGTAAACAGGCAAACTGCAGCAAAAACTGCTGTGTACATGTCCACATAATGCTCCTAAAACCTGAGAAATATTGGAATACCCCACATGTCTTAATGGGAAAAGGCTCCATTTGAAATTTTTAGGAATTTCTTATTAATTAATTACATTATTTATTTGTTTGTTATGTTTGTTTGTTTATTTTTTTATTTACTGGATACTCATTAGCTGATGCATAACATCAGCTATGCTTCCTGGGGTCCACACAAAACATGATAAGATGAGACACTTGCATACAAACTCACATACAAAAAACCACATGGTAAAATTGAATTATTTTTCTCAAAAACATATTGCTATACACAGAATATGCTCTTTACGTAACCCTTATCAAATGTGCAATATTGTTATATTTGAAATAATAGTGGAATTAGTGTAAATGTAAATACAGTCAGTGACAGCTCTGTGGTACAGCTTTTTGCCCTTTGAGAAAGAATGTGTTTTTGTGTATGTGATGCTGTTATGAGTCAGTAAGAATCTCACTCACTGGTTACTTCTTCATTACAGGCTACCAAGGTGGTAGCTACTTAATATTGATCATACACAAGACAATGCACTTGTACTGTGTGCAGGAAATATTAGACTTTGGGACTTGTTGGATACATTGAACCTGCGTCTTTGCTGCTAAATAATGAGATGTTATGCCCTCTTGTTTTAGGGGCATATGCCGATTCTCACTGCTGATCACGATACGAGTCAGTTTATTCTTTAATGAGGTTTCAGATATTTGGCACTTTTGTGAGTCTGGTGTTCCTGGGCCAAGCCTTCACGATCATGCTGGTGTACGTGTGGAGTCGGCGAAACCCGAACGTCCGCATGAATTTCTTTGGCCTGCTGAACTTCCAGGCACCCTTCCTCCCCTGGGTGCTGATGGGATTCTCACTTCTGCTGGGCAACTCTATCATCGTGGATCTTTTAGGTACCTGTCGTTGTCATCTGCAGCCATTATTTAGTGCTGTGGTGATATGCTCAGAGATTTAGGGAAGCTGTGTGTGTATTGGTGTACAGTATGAACAGTTGGCGGGTCGTTCCTTAATCGGAAGGTTGTGGGTTCGATCCCCGGGTGCCACATGTCGAAGTATCCTTGAGCAAGATACTGAACCCCAAATTGCTTCCGATGCCGTGCATCAGTGTGTGAGTGTGTATGAATGTTAGTTTCTGTTTGATGGACTTTGCCATCACTGAGTGAATGTGTGTGAAAGGGTGAATGTGGCACGTAGTGTAAAAGTGCTTTGAGTCGTCAGAAGACTAGAAAGGCGCTATACAAGTACAGGTCCATTCACCATTTACCATGCTTCATGTTCATCATCATCAGTCACTACTATTAGTGTAGTTGTTGCTGTGCGTGTGTCTCTCTCTCTCTCTCTCTCTCTCTCTCTCTCTCTCTCTCTCTCTCTCTCTCTCTCTCTCTCTCTCTCCCTCCCACCCCAACTGGTCGAGACAGACGACCACCCACCTAGACCTGAAGGATCTGTCCTAGGTTTCTGCCTTTTAACAGGCAGTTTTTCCTTGCCCTTGTCGCCAAGGTCTTGCTCATGGTGGTACTGTTGGGTCTCTGTAAATAGTGTTTTAAAGAGTTCGGTCTAGACCTGCTCTATTTGAAAAGTGTCCTGAGATAACTTCTGTTATGAATTGGCGCTATACAAATAAAATTGAATTGAATTGAATTGAATTGCTTGTGTTTAAATGTTTTTTTTTCTTTCTTTGAGGTATCGCTGTTGGCCATGTGTACTTCTTTCTGGAGGATGTTTTCCCCAACCAGCCAGGTGGTGGAAGGTGGCTGAAGACCCCATCTATCATGTAAGTCTCTCGTTCCTTCTAACATTCTTGCTGAATAAAACAACACTGAAAGCATGAACCTGTGAGATTCAGTGACTACAGCCTACAATTTGAAAGTGTAGGAATGAATGGTTTTACCTGTAGAATAAACTGTAAGTATACATATATATCTATGTGTCAATTTGTCATCTTGTCTTTATGATAGCGCTAGAGGAAGTTTCACAGTGACTAAATGAAATAGGTTTGTCCTCTGGGGCTTTGAATCTGCTTAGGATGTAACTGCAACCTGCCAGTGAGATTTAGAGATTTATTTTGTACAATTTTAGCTCGATGGCTGCACTAGATCAGGGTTTTTTTAAAGTGTAACACTATTCTTCAATTTTTAGAACTTGTTAGGAGACTGCAAACAGGAAGTATAATGTTGGCATGGAGACGGCGCCTTAGGTGTGGGATCTGTATTTGTTTATATTTTGGCAAAGTTGTTTGATGGAGGTAAACCGTGTGACAGACATAGTGTAGTATATAATATAGTTATAATGAAGCACTGTAGTGCTGCAGAGATACCCTGGCCAAAGCTTGCTCTCCAGATTTAAGAAACACGTTTGTTTGGTACAGAACCCAACAAACGTCACATTATCATGATTTTATGCTGCTGCAACTATGCAAACCTCTGAGCTAGATCAAAGCTCACAGGGTCACCAAATCAGTATACAAATTCTTTTTGTAGCAGTAGTTGTCAGGATGTGTTGGACAGACAAACACAAACACAGGCACTCTTGGGTTGCACCACAAGCAAACCCAAAAAACTCTAACAGTCATCCAGGGATGTGTTGTCTGTTTTTCAGTATTAGTTTTACATCATCCCTCATCCTCCTCCTGTGTTTACTCCCACAGAAAGATGCTGTTTGACACTCCAGAGGAAGATGCCAACTACAACCCCCTGCCTGAGGAGCGCCCGGGAGGGTTCGCCTGGGGAGAGGGACAGCGCCTTGGAGGTTAAATATGCCCCCAGATCAGGTCACTTCCAAGGACATTCCCTCAAAAAGATGAAGGGGACAAACATGGTCTTTGTTTCTGACGTGTTTGTTTAGTTCTGGATGAAGAATGCCAAACAACCAGAACTGGTTTGGAGATAACCTTCTGTTGTCTTTGTATATGGGCTTAAATCATCCTCAGAAACTCTTCTTGATGCCAGATCGTCGCTCTAAGACTATTTGAGAGAACACATGCTTCAGATGGAACTTTGGACGGTGGGCCTTCTGGCTCGGGTGATGTTTGTCTTAATCTCCAAAAAAAAGAAAATTGATATACAACAACTGTCATATGCGAGAGCAAAGAACGGCAGCAGTAAAATATTATCAAAATGAATTTATTCAGACGGAAAGTGCATTTTTTTCATTTCACTTTTTTAAAAAATAAATGTGTGTGGCAAAAGATGCTTTGGTTTCATCTCTTTGAACTGTGTTAGCAATGCATGAAACCAAAGACGTCTCAACAAATTAGGGGAATTCCTACAAATAACATTATAGTCAGCAGACAGGACCTTGTTACTTCACTCTCCTTACACAGCAGCTCATTGTAGCACACAAATATCAAGATCTGTACTTAACTAATGTCCTTAATGTCATAATCCAGCTGTTCCTCCACCTACATTTGGGTTCAGTTCAGGTTCTCCTTTTTTATTTCATTTAATACAAGCAACCTTAAATCAGATATCTGCTTCAGAAAGGGCGAGTCCTGTCTATTATTTTATGTGACTGAATTTGCACACATGTAATTGGGCTTACTAGCCCAGCAGCACTTTGGGGAACAGATTATAAGCCCCCCCCCCCTTGTTGCTCTTGAGAAGGAATAAGAGAAGTTGTGGCAAATTAAGAGTAGAAGCCTTGTTGATTTTATACTTTCGTTGGATGGAAAAAATCTTTTATGGGCCTTTTAATTGAGTTTCTAATAATCTGTGAATAATGTTAAGTGGGCTGAGATGAGTGTAATGATGTCAGACTTTTTTGTATTACAGCTGATTGTGTTATTCTGATTTATTTTAAATTTTTCAGTCACCTCAAGTAAACTGCTTTACAAATGGAGTTGGATTTTACTGTTACAGATATAAATGACCATTCACACATCCATATTAAGGGATGCCATGCAAGTGAAATTAGAATCAACATAATACGCTGTATTTCAATATCATCAGTTTACATTCATATTCCCATGTCTGTGTTTCATGTGTTTTGTTTTAAGTAAATATGTTGGAAATGTGTATCCAATGAGGTGGAAATACCAGATAAACTTTACAGATGAAGAAGAGTTTAATGTGATCTTACTTTACACCAGTAGGGGGCAGTAATGGACTTTAGGAATTGTTCCTCTACCTTGAAATGAATGGAGAGGAAGGTCAATGCAGCGTTCATTATTTTCGGAAAAACCTTCACAAAAGGCGTCAAAAAGCAACGTCGCGGATGACTTCTCTTAACATACTCACTGAAGCGGGCCGTGTACAGCAGTGGTTGTAGCATTCAGTTAATTTAGCTTTCTCTTGATGTCGTTTTACACTTATTGAGCAGACATGTTCACAGTTAATGTTTTTTTTGTAAGCAGAGAACTGAAGTGACCGCTATTTTTACGGAGGACGCTGTAATTTCCCATCTTTTTCTTAGGCCCTGAACACGCAGAGAAGAGAAGACTGCTCAGACTCGACTGCGTAAAGATGCAATTGGCTCTAAGTAAAACGTTTGGCCAGAAGCCAGTTAAATTTCAGTTAGAACAAGATGGGGACTTTTACATGGTTGGGTCGGAGGTATGTGACTATCTATTCATTGACTTTTAACGTCCACTTTCCTAATGGTAGCCTCAGTTATCCAGTCTTCTGGCTAGTTAATGCTAGCATGCTAACGAGCCCAATTGATGGCTTCGTAAACAAAGAAATACCTAAAAACGAAGGAGCGGATAACTCAGCCAACAGCCGGCAAATGGCACAGTGTACAGACTGTAGCAGGCCAAATACACAACAGATAACCTACAAGCTTTTACTGTCGGCAGTAACTTGTCAACCAGCCTGATGTAAGACCACAAGTTAGATTAACATAGAGTATCGTGCAGAAGAGAACCCCCCAACACACACACACACACACACACACACACACACACACTTTCTAACGTCTGATATCTGAACATGCCAGTTTTGAAATTGACGTTTTTGTTTGTTAACATTTAATAAAAGTGAATATGTCTACAGTAGTCTGCTGTACACTTGTACCAACTGGCTGTGCTTGAAAGAGCAGAGAAGCAAAGCTCCAGGTTATGGGGCTGTGGGGATATAGTGAAAGTTTCAGCAAATATGTCAAAGTATTTTTTTTTTTAAGTTACCTACTGCAGCTTTAAGACACATACAAATAGACTGAACATAATGTGGTCTAATATGATTTTTCAGCAAAAAAGTATAATATCCCCATTAAAATCCTTAAAAGTCATCTCCTCCTTCTACCTCATTAAAACTTCCAGAATCTCTGAATATGCAAATGTTCATTTCTAAAGTTTTCCTGCTGGACACAAGATGTCTCCTCCTTCACTGTAAAGTCCATTCTCAGTGGATGAGCACTGGTGGCTTTAAGTTTATCACACTGTACAAGTTGCATACTGGACCAGGAGATGAAGGGGATAAAGCTTCTGTGGTCTGATGAGACCAAAGTTTAGCTTTTTGACCATCAAACTAAACAGTATGATTGGTGTATGTTAAACCCAGCATTGGCACCATAAACAGTGGTCAAGGCAGCATCATGCTGCAGCAGGCCCTGGACATTTCTAATGAAATCTGTCTTTGAAATGTAAAAGCTTCAGTAGTGCGAGGAGGAAGATCGAGGGAGCAATGTTAGTGTCCACAGCTGGCCACAGAATCAAGGCTCACACTACCAAAGTGGCCTCTAATCACAATTTACCAAATTAAATGAAATTAAACAAATCTTTGTGTCAAAAACTCTTATTCTAGGACATAAAACATATAAAGGTCAGACAGGAGTTCTAGAGATACCTTTTACACATCCTGTAATTCAGTACTTATGTAGGCAGTTTGCATTGTCCTTGTTTGTTTTTTTGTTTTGTTTTTTTAAATTTTGCTTTATTAAAAGATCTGCCTTCTGCCGTCCAGGTGGGAAACTATCTGCGTATGTTCAGAGGCTCTCTGTATAAAAGATATCCGTCTTTATGGAGGAGGCTGGCCTCGGTGGAGGAGAGGAAGAAAATTGTAGCATCATCACATGGTGAGTGGTGTGTGACAAAGTCAGTTTGGAAGGTCCATAGGTTGTTATGTAATGATTGCTGTATAAATGACTCTGAATTGGTGGTTAACGTGGCTGGTTCCACCTGCTCAGCAATTGCTCCATGACTTTAGATTTACTACGTAAAATCTGAACTGAGGTTGATAGGCGTCTTTGTTTTCTCTCCCATCATCCATCTGCAGCCACTAGCGTCACTCTGCTGAAGGCGTCAGAATGTGAAGAGATCTTCGAGGGTAATGATGAGAAATACAAGGCGGTGTCCATCAGCACAGAGCCCCCAGCTTACCTCAGGTCAGTTCTCTCACATTCTAACATTTTCTAACTTTGAGTGAAAATGAAACCAAAAGCATCTGTTATAAACTAGAGGTGTGGAATTAAAAAGAAATGGGCATTTACCAGTTAGGGGATGTCATATGAATGATGCTAGCCATTTGCATTATGGGAAATGTAGGATCCAGTCTTTTTGGAGCTTGACCAGCATATATTCATTTGTTTCTTGAGTGTCCCCCAACTTTATGGAAGTACAGTACTTAATAGCTTGCACACCCTTCTCAAAATGGTGTTTTGTGTTCTTTTGATAAAGGGAGCAGAAAGCAAAGAGGAGCAGCCAGTGGGTCCCCACGCTGCCCAACAGCTCTCACCATCTAGACGCTGTGCCTTGTTCCACCACCATCAACCGCAACCGAATGGGCCGTGACAAGAAAAGGACCTTCCCCCTGTGGTGAGAATGCTGCTTGTTTTTATACGTAAAGCAACTAATGCATCAGTATGGCAGTGCTGCTTCCTGCCAATCTGCATCTATTTATATTTCAGAGGTTCCACAGGGTCAAAGTCTAAAATCCAAGAATCTGAATTTTAGGCCTTAAAATGTCTTAGATGATTTTGAATGGTCTTGAAAATTGATTGTATTATTAAAGTTAATGTTACTTGTATAAAGTTGCATTTTTCAGTGTATGCTGTACCAGCTACAAAACCAAACTAATACAGTACCAACACTGATCTCATATCCTTTGTACTTTTTTACTAGTATGGACATAAAATAGCTTGCATTCATAATGGTCTTAAAAAGCACCTGCAGAAACCCTGAACATTTTCTCTCTATGTATCACCGCACAGAAGGACGTGTGCGTCTGCTCATGGATGAGAGGCTTGTGCTCATGATGATGAACATTATATTCAGTTTCTGCCAATAGATCCTCCTAAATGTTACATACTGGACCTATTAAAGAACATTTATGATAAACAACAATAATCCTGTTTTGTTGTGTCTCCTTCAGCTTTGATGACCATGACCCTGCAGTGATCCATGAGAACGCAGCCCAGGTAGAGGCTCTGGTTCCCATCCGTCTAGACATGGAGATAGACGGACAGAAACTGCGAGATGCCTTCACCTGGAACATGAATGGTAAATACACGCATTAAGTAGTTTGCCGACATCCACAACATACCGTATTGTCTCCTGTGTGTCAGTTTTATACTTCTGTCTGGCCTCACCAATCTGCCACTCCTCAGAGAAACTGATGACCCCAGAGATGTTTGCAGAGATTTTATGTGATGACCTGGACCTGAACCCTCTGGCCTTTGTCCCCGCCATTGCCTCAGCCATTCGCCAGCAGATTGAGTCCTACCCCACTGACAGCATACTAGAGGAGCAGGCAGACCAGAGAGTCATCATCAAGGTGGGGGCTGAGCCAAGGCAATAACACTTCCTCAGGGAATATCAGGCAGCAAGAGACTGTGAACATAAACAAAATGAACATATGAATATGGAGAAAACAAACCAACCAAAAAATGAACCTGACATGAATACATATGCAATGGGAAAGTCTGGTCTGAAGGTTGAGATGTAAATAACCCATTTTGTCTGGTTTTTTAAAATGTTTCCTTCTGGGTTCTCAAGTCGAAAGGAATTCCTCAATACTAGGTATTTCTCCTTTCAGCCATTTCTTAGTTAGGGTTTTCATATAAGCCACCAGTATTAGTCTCAGAAAATATTTATCCTTCTTCCTTCATTCAAGTTCTTCCAATTTAATCACACACATCAGCTCAAAACTAAAAATCAGTCTGTTTAGACAGACAGTTTCCAGGATGCTATGAATTTGAGTCCAAACTGCAGCCACTTAAGAACAACACTGATACATGGAAATGATTTGCATCTGTGTTCCCTCAATAGACGTCAGAAAAAATGATATCCTCGGAGTGTGTAAGTCACACTGAATGTAAACGTGTGTATCATGTGCATATCATGTCCATGTGTTCATATTTGACTGAGTTATGACTCCCAAGGCACCCATGTTAACAGGTTAGAGCAGCCACACTGCCTGCATGACTTCCATGAGAGTCTTCCACAAACTGCATGCAGTTCTCAGCAGAAATAAACAGTGAAAAAAGAAGAAAGATCAACCAGCAACATGAACACTTTTCATTTCAGCTTCAATGTCTTTATCTGTTCACAGACATGAAACATATAAAGACATAATATATTTATATATACATTTTAAAAAAAGTAACTCAACACTTCTCTAGTGTTGGGTTCCCATGTGTCCTGGAAAATGTGGAAAAGTTTTTCTTGTACCAGTCTGTGCTCAGGTCTTAATGTTAAACTAATTTGAAGTCTCAAGCACTGCATCCCTAATGCCATCATTTAATAGGCTTTTCATGTCAGAGAGGAGATGGAGAGACAGGATAGTGATACAGAATCAGACAAATGCCACAGCTGTGGACTGAAGGAAATTGTAACAGCTGTTAAAAAAGTCTTTGTACTCTTGTGAAGACTATCCTCTGTTTTTCCTCCGGTGATAGAAGAATGTTGTGCCTTCTTTAGAAAGTGATGGATTGAGCCACTGTAACGTTAAAGGCAGTGGAATCAAAGACACCTACTGTTGGTAAAAAAAAAAACAACATTGGAGTGTACAGATGTTTTTCTGATTCCTCAGCTGAACATCCACGTGGGGAACATCTCTCTGGTGGACCAGTTTGAGTGGGACATGTCAGAGAGGGAGAACTCACCGGAGTCGTTTGCACTGAAGCTGTGCTCTGAGCTGGGTCTGGGAGGAGAGTTCGTCACCACTATCGCCTACAGCATTCGCGGTCAGCTAAGCTGGCACCAGAGGACCTACGCCTTCAGGTAACTCACCCACTCACTTTAACAGGGCAAGTAAAATCAATAGCTACAGTGGTCTTAAACTTAAACTTAAACTGGATTTAAATCTCTTTCTAAAAGAAAACACGGTCAACATTAAGCACAATTTAAAGAGGGCACACAAAGAGCCAGGATTCACAAGTTGCTTTGTTAATTCTGTGATTCTGTCACATATGTGCCATAGTTCAAGAAAATGAAGATATTGTTCATGTTATTAAACAAAGAGAGATCACCGTCTGCTTGATTGTTGTGGGATGATTTATATTTTTTATGTTTGCATTAGTGTTTAATCACCTAAATATAAGAATCCGTTTTTGTTACCTTAGAATGAGATGTTTTCTGCAGAGGGAACAGTTCCTATTCTGGCGGAGGCTGCCATGTTGAACCGTCATGTTTCTACAGTAGCCCAGAACAGACAAACCAAACACTCAAATTCTATCAAACATATACTGACTTCAGAGGACTGTCTGACCCCACTTTACCTAAAAATGGTTTTAAACTATGTCTTTCTGTATTGTACCCTTAATGATCTTTGGTGGTGTAATTTGCCCGCAGTGAGAACCCGCTCCCCACAGTAGAGATTGCCATCCGCAACACAGGCGATGCAGACCAGTGGTGCCCCCTACTTGAGACACTCACAGACGCTGAAATGGAGAAGAAGATCAGAGACCAGGACAGGAACACAAGGTAAGACAGTAAGATTCAGTCAGTAAATGCAGACCCACTCCACTGCTACCTGAGGTCTGTTGGGCCAACGCTTACAACAACTGTGGCTAAAAAGACATTTGAAAGAATTAAATTGACGGCCTTTTTTTCCTGAAGGGATGATCCCACAGAGAATCCAAAAGCACTACAATGCCTGATATTTAGATGTCATTTTGATGGATAAATTGCTGGTGTTGCTGCAGGCTTTCTTAATATAAAATCATTTTGCAGCTAAATGACATAGTCGTCAAATGAACGTGCAACACATAAGCAGAATGACAAATTAACAGGGTACAAGTTAATCAGCAACAGAGACCTGTTACAGGAAGATCCCAGAGATAAAGAGTGTTTAGTTTCAGAGCACCTGATTAGCAATCAATATATGGAATCAAACTGCAACGTAGTAAAAACAGAAGTTAAATACTAATACAATTTAAAATGGCTGTATAAAGACTCAAATTTAAGTATTCAAAGAGATATTTCTCAAATGTTTATTAATTGTGTTATAAAGTTATAACTGTTAGTGAGAAGGGTGTGCAGTTAATAGGCTCCCCTCTTAAAACACACCACACAGATTGCCCCAACTGTAGCAGCAAAAACAATATGGCTGCCTGTTGAAGCGTTAAAGCAGCTGTTTCATCTATGTATATCATCTATCTATATCTGGAATAAATACTGTAAAACCTCAGTTAAAATAAGGATCTCCTTTACTAGCCCGCTGTAGCTACAACAATAGCAGGTCTCAATTAGAGGCCTGTCCTGGATTTTATAGAAGTTGTTGTATAAAACTTTAAAGGCCCACTGGGTCACCCACATGTGTGTTTGTTCTAAGCTGCTTAGATCACCCACACAATATACATGTTTAAACTTTTGTCAATATGGATGCTACACATTGTTAGATCAGTTCGATTCTCCACAGTTCAATCCTTCAGTTCATTTGACTTGATCTGAATGATCAAATGAATGATTCCTAATTTTTATTTGATTTTCTCATTTCTATACAAGTAATATTTATACTGGTTTAAATGTTCCATCTTTGCTGAGCAAGAGTTTTGTGCAAAAGGAGTTAACGGCCTGTCCCATATTCAGTCCTGTTCCTGATAAAGGCAGTGATTGAAGTAAATTAAAGCCTGGACTATTCATTGAAGTTTTACAGTATGTATAAAAAGTAAGATTCCAACACTGTCATCCATTAAGGAAATTCAAGTCTGGTGAATGAGAGGGCAACGCTGAATACAGTTTAATAGTGTTAATTATTAATTCACTCACTCCTTAATGTCCTACACACACTTGTTTCTATAAGTCCATGGTGAAGTGTAGCATCAGAGCTCCAGCATTGGTGTCTTTTTTTTTTCATTCACTGCACAAGCACTCGGTGTGATTAAACTGTGTTCTTCTAGGCGTATGAGACGACTAGCCAACACTGCGCCGTCCTGGTAGAAAGAGACACGAAGCTGCATCAGACGGTGTGTCCTCTGGAGACTCCTGCTACTCGGAAGCGATCAAACACACTCACAGGTCAAAGCATTGATGGAGCATCTGGATGTTCCTGTGAGCACAAATGCACATGTGGTCAGTCTCCACGGGCACCTCACCAACTGAAACCAACACACACACACACACACACACACATCCAGGCATTCCTCTGCACACAGGTCATCATGTTTCACTCTGACTGTAGCACATCAGTCAAGGATATCTAACCTAACATCACTGTTTGATGGTGTTTGATTGTCTCATGTCTGTTACACACACACACACACCAACGTGCAACATTCACATCACACGTGTCAGCTCAAAATACTTCCATTACAGTACAGTAACCATTATGACACCATTAGTTTGTGCCGACCAGGTCTGCTCCTTTCTGTCTACCATGGTCAAAATTCCACTTGAAATGAGTATCTGTCTCTCTGTCTATCCATCTGGCCATCCACGATCAAGCAGGCCAATTTGGTTCCTGTCTTGTTAAACACCTGTAGGTGTTTCTCACAGCAGACATTTTGAACACGTTGGAAAGGAAAGGAGAAGCACAGAGGCGACCAATAACATCGAGACAGAAAGGAAATTTAAACACTACTTCCACGTGGTAGTTAACGAAATCTGGCAGACTGTGGATCTGAAACGCTCCACAGAGCTGTGTCTGATGGAATCAAGATGTAGCAGTAGCTCTGTGTCCCAGGACTGACAGAGCTCTATAAATGAGGTCAGTCATATTGACACCTGTGCTTTTCCCACTATGACAGGTCAAAGGCCCCAGTTCCACTTGTCATTTCCAGATAAAATCCAGATGAAATTTCATTTACACTCAGCCACATATATGCAGCTCTGTTGGTCAGATCACAAATCTGTGATTTCGCTGCTGTTACAATTAATGGGAATGATCATTTTTGCATCACAATTTTTGATTTTCACTGAAAAAACTCCCTTTATACATTAATTAAAATAGTTACACTAGTTGGGGTCTTTACCAAACAAACAGGTTTTCTTACATCTGTAGACCACGACCTGTAGCCCAGGCCATGTCTGCATTCTTTATCATAATGCTGTTTGTCACACATTACCTTTATCCAAAAATTACCTATTGGACACCATCTTGCAATTTCCATAATATTTCGATCAATTGTGCAGCACTAACAAGGACAGAAGAGACAGACCAGGTATGTCAGACAGACAGTGAGTGGATATTTCCACTGTAAATATTATGTATGACTCTTGGAGAGATGGATGTATTTAGACCATTTCGACATCTGGTTAGAATGCGTCTTTGATATGTTTACACTAACATGAAGTGACTCTCTGTAAAGTGGTCAAAGTGTCTGTTGGGAAGAAGGTCTCTGGATTACTGTGGCAGGGTGTCCTGTAGATCTGTCATTTTCTAAGCAAAACAATGTGTCAAACTTTTTTTTGTTCCAGCTTCTCAAATGATGAGCTCATCTGATCGGTGTACAGTAAATATCTTAGGGTTTTGATGCTGATCTGGCAAAATGGGCTCTGGGAAGTTGTGATGGGCATTTTTTCACTATTTTTAAATATTTTATAGTCTACAGTTCAAACTGGCCTTTGACATCAAACCTTTGTTGGTGGACGATACCCCTTAAAATAATACATAATGCCCCTGTGGGTAGGGGTTCTGACTTAAGTGGCTGATAGTGAGAGGACCAAAAAAAACCCAGTTCTCATTGTGATGGTGTTAATCGGTAAACAAACTTGTCTACAAACAAAAACTCTTCTGCTATCAGTTGAAAGATGCAGTAATCACATTCAAGTCCTTCATATAGATGTTACTGAGCCACATTCAAGTATTTTGCCTACTTCTATATACTGTGGGTGATGTTAGTGTTTGTACCTGACTGAAATGACCAGTGTGCATGTGTGAAATCAAACTACCCCCTGGTATTGTTGCTGCTGTCCCCACAGCTCTTCAGACAGCAGCCAGCAGCTGCAGCCAAACAGAGAGTTAGATTTTAGCACGCAGACTCTGCATTCTGATCTTGGTTACGGATTCTGATCAGCTGTGTGCACCAGTGTTCATCTGCATGCTAAAACATAGGTAGTTCATCCTGTAACCTGTGCATGAGGGGCTAATGCGTCCCACTGTTCCTTCTGTTTGCACTGTGCCTCACATTGCAGCAGTGTCAGCAGACTGCAGCCTCTGTTTTACTGGCAATGTTGTTGAAAAAAATCAAGCTGACAAGAACCAATGGTGTCTTTTTGAAGTGATTTTCAACTTGAACATACTCCAGAGAATGATGTTAACGTATGTACTGTTGCTTCTTGTTCTCTTCTTTTGTAATATTGCTTTACCTTTATAGTGGACTCGTTTTTTATATGAAAAATAACAATAAAGAAAACTTGTTGGAAATGTTTTGTTGTTTTTTTTTACTTATTTTCTTCACAGTTGCAATATGAGTGGACAGAGTCCGCAACACAACTGAAATAGATATGGAGCCAAAAAATATATAAAAAGGGGTCTATTATCTCTATTATCGGAACATTCGATTCAGACCAGCTGAGCCACGACCCTTGTTTTCTCCTGTATGCAGTTCATTTTCCTTTTAGTCCTCCTTTAAGTCCTTAGATAGTGAGTCAGTTTTTCTATGGGAAATATTTCCTCCACAATGTCCAGCCACTGTGCTGGACTTGGTGGGTCACATTTCTGCCAGCTCCTAGTAATGGCCTTTTTACAAGCAAGGATCAGGATTCTAAAGAGGTACATATCCTTCTTCTGAACTATGTCATTAGGTATCGATCCAAGGAACACAATCTGGGGCTGCCTCGGAATCTTAACATAAAATCTTCTACCCCGTGTGTGTTTTTAATTTGGATATTTTGTTGAGATGAATAACTGCATAAAAGGTATGGGAGTCTATTCAGTAATTACTCGTACAACTATTGCTGTTGGTATTGGCAAGAATCTGCCGATATGATGCGTATCAGGACACAATACCTTTCTGTTTTCTTACACTGCCATGTACAACATGGAGGAAAATCTACATTTTCCTAGTGTGTAAGAGGAAGAATTCCTCAAAGGCACTGACAGAATCTTGGTCACTATAAAGTCGCTCGGAGAAAAATTTGTATCTTTAATGTGTCAAAATGATAAGAATGATGTATTTTTTATATATATATTTTTGGGTGGTGGGGGCCTTTTTTCTTTTGTTAGACGGGGCCGCTGAAGACAGTCAGAAAAAGGGTAGCGAGAGAGGTGATGACACACAGAAAAGGACCACAGGTCAGATTCAAACCCATGGCCACTGCAGCAGGGACTCAGCTTTGGTGCATGGGTGAGCTATAGGGAGCCCCAGAATGATGAAATGTTTATCTTATTTAAATGTTCTTCAATGGTCAGATTTTAAGAGTATAATTTAGATGAATTAAGTCTGCCAACTCACCACAACGGTAGGTCTCATGTTACCTGACATAAAAATGAACCCAATAAGTTCTATGCAGTGAGGTATAGAGATTTAAAATTTAAAGATCCCTTCCAGACATGTTTGAAGACATACAGTGGGTACGGAAAGTATTCAGACCCCTTTAAAATTTTCACTCTTTGTTTCATTGCAGCCATTTGCTAAAATCAAAAAAGTTTTGATTTTATTTCTCATTAATGTACACTCAGCACCCCATCTTGACAGAAAAAAACAGAAATGTAGAAATTTTTGCAAATTTATTAAAAAAGAAAAACTGAAATATCACATGGTCATAAGTATTCAGACCCTTTGCTGTGACACTCATTTAACTCACATGCTGTCCATTTCTTCTGATCCTCCTTGAGATGGTCCTGCTCCTTCATTGGAGTCTAGCTCTGTTTAATTAAACTGATTGGACTTGATTAGGAAAGGCACACACCTGTCTATATAAGACCTTAGAGCTTTTTTTCTGTCAAGATGGGGTGCTGAGTGTACATTAATGAGAAATAAAATGAACTTTTTTGATTTTAGCAAATGGCTGCAATGAAACAAAGAGTGAAAAATTTAAAGGGGTCTGAATACTTTCCGTACCCACTGTATATACCAGTACACTGCTTGGGACAATAATGTGTGTCTGACATATTTTAAAAAGAATAATTTCCATCTTAAAATCCCTAAAAAGTCACCCACTCCTACCTAAACCTTCCAGAATCTGTGAATATGCAAACGTTGTTCATTTCTAAAGTGTTCCTGCTGAACTTAGAGATATATTTAGACTGTTTTTCTGCTATCGATCTTCATCAGTTAACTTCAATAATTTCTTCATCGAAGCCATCAACCTGTCTATTAGACCCGATCCCAACTAGGCTGCTTAAAGAAGTTGTTCCCTTAATTGGCACTTCTTTACTGGATATGATTAATCTTTCTTTATTGTCAGGATATGTACCACAGTCCTTTAAAGTAGCTGTAATTAAACCCCCTTCTTAAAAAAGTCCACTCTTGACCCAGGGGTTTTAGCCAACTATAGACCAAGGATTTTCAGTCAGGATTTAGAGTTCATCATAGCACAGAGACAGCTCTGGTTAAAGTTAATAATGACCTTCTGATTGCTTCTGACAATGGACTTGTCTCTGTACTTGTATTATTAGATCTTAGTGCTGCGTTTGACACCATTGACCATAATATTCTTTTGGAGAGACTTGAGCATCAAATTGGCATTAAAGGAACCGCACTAAGCTGGTTTAAGTCATATTTATCAGATCGCTCGCAGTTTGTACATGTTAATGATGAATCTTCAATAAATACTACAGTTAGTCATGGAGTTCCACAAGGTTCTGTACTTGGACCAATACTATTTACTTTATATATGCTCCCTTTAGGCAACATTATTAGGAATCACTCCATTAACTTTCACTGTTATGCAGATGATATGCAGTTATATCTATCAATCAAGCCCAATGAAATTAATCAATTATCTAAATTACAAACATGTCTTAAGGACATAAAATCCTGGATGAGCTGCAATTTTCTGATGTTAAACTCAGAAAAAAACGAAATTCTTGTTCTTGGCCCCAAAAACCTTAGAGACTCACTATCTAAAGATATAGTTACTCTAGATGGCATTAACTTGGCCTCTAGCACCACTGTCAGGAATCTTGGAGTTATCTTTGATCAGAATTTGTCATTTAACTCCCACATAAAGCAGACCTCTAGGACTGCTTTCTTTAATTTACGTAATATTAGAAAAATTAGACACATCCTATCACAGACAGATGCAGAAAAACTAATCCATGCATTTGTTACTTCAAGGCTGGATTACTGCAACTCTTTATTATCAGGTTGCCCCAATAAGTCCATTAAAACGCTCCAATTAATTCAAAACGCTGCAGCACGAGTACTGACAGGAACTAGAAAAAGAGATCACATCTCTCCTGTACTAGCTTCTCTGCATTGGCTCCCTGTAAAATGTAGAATAGAATTTAAAATCCTCCTCCTCACCTATAAAGCTCTTCATGGTCAGGCCCCTTCATATCTTAAAGAGCTCATAGTACCCTATTACCCCCTCTAGAACACTACGTTCTCTGAATGCTGGGCTACTTGTGGTTCCTATAGTCTCTAAAAGTAGAACAGGAGCCAGAGCCTTCAGTTACCAAGCTCCTCTCCTGTGGAACCAGCTTCCAGTTGTGGTTCGGGAGGCAGACACCCTCTCCACATTCAAGAGTAGGCTTAAGACATTCCTCTTTGATAAAGCTTATAGTTAGGGCTGGATCAGGTGAGTCCTGAACCATCCCTTAGTTATGCTGCTATAGGCCTAGACTATCGGGGGATTTCCCATGGTGCACTGAGCTCCTCCCTTCCTCTCTCTTTCTGCACTCATTCATGTCCCATTTATGCATGTTACTAACTTCACTTCTTCCCCGGAGTTCTTGTGCTTTCTCGTCTCGCAGGTTCTTGTCGATCCTGGTGGAGCCTCCTGCCATGGTCCTGCTAGATTGCCATTACCAATACTGTTGTTGCTGTGCACCTGTCTGTCTGTCTCTCGCTCTCTCTCTCTCTCTCTCTCTCTCACCCCAACTGGTCGAGACAGACGACCACCCACCTAGAGCCGAAGGATCTGTCCTAGGTTTCTGCCTTTTAACAGGCAGTTTTTCCTTGCCCTTGTCGCCAAGTGCTTGCTCATGGTGGTACTGTTGGGTCTCTGTAATTAATGTTTTAAAGAGTTCGGTCTAGACCTGCTCTATTTGAAAAGTGTCCTGAGATAACTTCTGTTATGAATTGGCGCTATACAAATAAAATTGAATTGAATTGAATTGAATTGAACACAAGATGTCTCCTTCACTGTAAAGTCCATTCTCAGTGGATGTGCACTGGTGGCTTCAGGTTTTTACATCACACTGTACAAGTTGCATACTGGACCAGGTTGCCACTGACTTCAAACCTTGATGCCCATTCCAGGAATCTTAGTCATCTATGACTATGAAATTGACAAACAGATCAACTCCGTGGTGAAAGAAAAGCTTTTTAGCTGAGGATCATTGCAAAACTAGAATCCATCCTCTCTCTCAATCATTTAAAGACTTGCCATCGCATTAATCTCGACAAGACTTGATTATTGTAACTTGTACTCAGGTGTTGGACAATCGTCTTTGTCTCCCCTGCAGTTTGTGCAGAATGCTGCAGCAAGACCTCTTACTGGGACCAGGAAGGGACAGCATTACACAAGCACTTGCATCCCTGCACTGGCTACCTGCCAAATACAGGATTTTAACACTTTTAATTTAAAACATGATATTTTCCAATTAAGTCACGGCCCGCGGACCACTCTTTAAGAATGACTGTCTTAGTGTGTTTTAGTATTTTTAATCTTTTATTTTATATTGTTCTTACAAGTCTGTAAGTCTGTCTGTTTTTTACATTTGTGCACATATTTGTTGTTGCTTTATATTTATATATAGTTTTTTTTCATTGTCATTTATTGGTGTTGCCATGCACTTTATTTTGCCAACTCTTGTGGTTTTAAATGTGCTGTATAAATAAACATCACACTTGTAGGCCCCACCCCTTAAAATCTGATTTTCAGTGAGCACAGAGAAACTTTCCACTTTCAGCAGATGACTCTGAAAACATCCTTCTACTGTCACACTCTGCACATACAGCATTCAAACAGCACACTGGAGGAACAAGATCTTTCACAACACCCACACAATATGAAAAAGTTGAAACACTCCAATTTACAGCAGGAAGGACTGAAAACATGTTAGTGGGATTCCATCACATCTGCAAATAGAAGAATTAGGTTAGTTTAATGATTCATGCTGACATAAAAATGTATATGATTTACACAGACACTTTATAGGAGCTCAACAGATGCTTCATATGTCTGTAAGATGTTTATAAATAATATCCCACATGTCTGATGTTGTCAACTCAACTGTAGGAGGAAAATATCTTATAGAATCTTTCTTCTTCGTTTCAGTATATTAAAGAATTCATAATGGCTGGTGCAATGAATGATGGGTAGTTTTTCAGAGTTGAAGCTGTGAGGACTGATGCAGCCCTTGGTGCTTTAGGTGGGGCATTGTGGGTAGACAGAATTGTATCGTTATTATACAGCGCTGAGGAGTCACTGCAGTCAGCACATAGCTTTATAATACAAAGCTCCTCAAGCTCTTTTCACTAAGAATATCTGGACTCCACTCAACGTGGAGGACCGTTCTGATAAGTATCAGCCCTTATCCTTTGCTACAGGAAGCACTTAGTTGCATTGATTAGTGGGAAAAAGTAGTTGATGGCCAAACATTTTCTTTACTACAAATGATGATGATTTGGTTGGGTTAGATTGTTTGGTAAATGGACCTGTACTTGTATAGCGCCTTTCTAGTCTTCCAACCACTCAAAGCACTTTTACACTACGTGCCACATTCACCATTTCACACACATTCACTCAGAGATGGCAAAGCCCATTAAACAGAAACACACTGATGCACAGCATCGCGAGCTATTCGGGGTTCAGTATCTTCTTGAGTATCTTGCTCAAGGATACTTCGACGTGTGGCACCAGGAGCGGGGGATCAAACCAACAACCTTCTGATTAGGGGACGATCCGCACTGCCTCTGCAACACAGCTGCCCCTGTTTGGTGTCTGTCCTGAAGAGTTTGAGTTTGAATTATTACATTCTTATATGTTAGATTCTGCATGCAGATGTTTTTCCCATTAGTTCATTAACACTGCAAACTCAAGACTGCAGCCAAATGCTTCACTCACTTACCTGTTGATGTAGTCAGCTCATATATTTCAGTATCATTCAAGGACAGCAACTGGACAACTGTTAGCTATTAAACACTTGAAACAGTGAAGTCTTCCATGTTTAACCCAAGCTGCCATCTGTTGCATACCAGTCCAACCACAGCAGGATGTCTGAAGCATGACTCATATTTCCACGATAGGAGAGACACAACCTGCAAATAATCAACATTTCAAGTAGAGCTTTCTAGACATACAGTATGTGGCCATTCGTTTTTACACTCTGTTGTTTGGTCTGATACCTCAGTGGTTGATACACAAACACTGGACTGACCTGGAAAGTCCTATTTTGTAATAATAATAATACACTTTATTATATAACACCTTTCATTCACAAAATGCAGCTCAAAGTGTTAAAATTGTGAAATGATAAAAAGAAATCAATCAGTCAGAGGCAGGATGAGCAGAAAATCTAAACAGATAAAACTTTAGTAACACTTTAACCTTACCTCAGAAACACTATACAACAGGCAGATGTAAGTATATCTATTATCATTACTGTTTGACAGTGTCACACAATGTAATAGGAAAAGTGTAAAAAGAGAAAAGGCGTAAATCACTCACTGCTAGTGCTTGGAACACACTTTTGACAGTTAACGTTACATTGCAAGCTTGATTGCATCCTGTGTGTTTAACTTCCAGGCTTAAATAAATGTGTTCACAATGTGTGTTGATATTCCAGAATCAATAATTAACCTTTCCTATAACTGTCAAACAGATAACAGTCACTCGACAACGATTATGGAGTCAGTATTCTGGGCCTTACTTTATTGTTTTTATACATGCTCCCTCTATATATATATATATATATATATATATATATATATCTTTGCCCAGATTACCCCAGTTATTTTAATAGTCTTATAAGCTCATCATATTATCATGTTTATTTTAATTAAATTATCAAAAAACAGAGATTTTACTTATATATAAACAATACAAAAGTATTGGGTCAGAAGCTGCTGCCTAGATTACTGCACTGCTGTTTTACCAGATTATAAAAAATGCGGGTTTAAAAAATTAGTTATTTAAAATGCTGTAGCCAGAATCTTGATTTGTTTTCCCCACTTTGACATAACCCTACATTGTGCTAGCAGCTTACTGTATTTGTGATGATTACTTTTTATTTTATAAGGTTCAATAGACAAACATGATACAAACATTATAAAGGATAACGAATAAAGATGAAAGATAAAAGTGCTCCAGACTCTAAAATTCAGGACTTAAAAAGAGTGTTCAATAAAAAAACTAAAATAATTGACCACTAGAAAAACATGGTAAAAATAAAGGTGAACGGGAGCCCGGTTAGCTCAGTCAGTAGAGCTGGTGTCCCATGTACTGAGGCTGAGTCCTTGCTGCAGCAGCCCAGGGTTTGAATCCGACCTGCGGCCCTTTGCTGCGTGTCATCCCCTCTCTGCCCCCCTTTCCTGTCTGTCTTCAGCTGTAACTATTAAATAAACGCAATAAAAGGTAAGAAAAAAAATTAAGGTAAACTAAATCTGTATGTTAATATGAATGATAGCTGCTGGAACAAAGCTATATTTTTACCACTTCATTCTACATTGTGGGAATATAAACCTCCATCCAGGAGGAAGAAGCTGAAATTCACTGTGCAAAGATTGGGAGTCATCATTTAAGGCTGAGCTGGTTATCAACTGTAACTGTCTGCTGGACAGGGATTCTGGGTTAAGCTGTGACTCACCAATCAGCCTAGACGATTTAACAATTTGAAAGAGGAAGTTCTGTTCTGTAGAGAGAGGATTCCAAACCATAACACCAATGAAAAAGATACATGATTTAACAAAAGCACGACCAAACAAGGTCATCATGGTTTTGTCAGTGTGGAAACAGCATAGTTTCCTCAAACAAAACAAAAGCTGGTGCCCGTTTTTGCACACGGCTTTACAGTTTTCTCAAAAGTTCAGTTTTCAGTCAATAATTATCCCAAGATATTTGTAAGGTTGCACACATTCCACTGTCTGACTCCATGTGTGTGGGCATGTTTTCTAAAATCAATTATCATGTCTTTAGATTTACATATGGAGTCCTCACACTATTTCACAAAGTCATCAATAACCAGGCCGTAGCTGGTCTCATTGTCCTGAAGTTGAGTCAAAGTCATATTCCAACTCAGATTGTCCACAACCTTTCTCTTAAATGCTGCTCTCTGTTTTTATGAACTGTAGGATACATTCCCTCACTTTGTATTTGAATTATTATCAACATTTTATTTGTTATTGTTTGCTTTGTTCGAGTTATCTGCTTAACATTATTTTTAATCCTGTTTTGTGAGGCATTTAAGAGTGCAGCTCTGCATGAAAGTATTATTACAGCTGCACAGAAGAGTGAAGCAGACTGATTGAAAGCAAGCAGAAGGAGATTCTCAGGTTTCTTCTGGTGTTTCACTGTTTAGGAACAAAATATTACAAATGGTGACTTATGACCAGCATGCTAACAACTACACTGATACTGTGGGTATCTGACTCAGGGGGTCAGACTTTGTTTAATGGTGCTAAACAGAAAAGAGATTACAAATAATAAATGTAATGCAATTCTGTGTGAACATGTGTAGGCCTGTTGACCCTCAGGGAGAGTTCCTGCTGCTCAAACTTACAGACAGCACATGAATCCACAAGTGTTTTTACCACAAACTAAATTAGTCTACTTTCAAGGGATTCATGGAGATAAAGTGTTTCACTCTGATTGTGGTCATTTAACATACTGTACAATGATAGTGTCTATGTTTTAAGAGGGCTACACAAAACTACACACAGCAGCTGGGTACTAGGCATCGGATGATATGAACATTTCTTGTAAAGATTATCCTGGCCAAAACAGTTGCAGTTAATAATATCCTGATCATCAAGATATACTTAAGACTCTTAAAATGGTCCTAAAACATCCTTGAATCACTTTACCTTATATTTTGTTAATTAACAAATACTTTTATTGCATCACAGATGGGATACATCTCCCTGTCGTTCTTTAGTTGAATCTTTAGTATTTCACACATCCAGTTTAATGTTTTTGTGGGAGATACAATGGACAAACAGAACCTTCAGCCATGGTGATAGGCTTATCATTTTGGAATGACTGGAAAGATGTGGGCTCCCACATTTATTAATATTAATATTAATATGATTCCCTGATTTATTTAAAAAATAAATCAGGGAATCAATTTAAAACTGTACGTTCGCGAGCTAACCGGTCACTAATGTGATGATATTCACGATTCTATCTCCCACTCTTATTATGGTAGTAGATGCAGACATAAAGTAATTTTTCACATTCAAACTGAAATTCATCGAAGACCTTGCTGATGACAATGTTTCATTTTAAATCCTTTATCGGCAATTTCTGAAGTCTTTTCTGTGACTTGACTATGATTTTTGATGATGACATTTATTTGTGGTTATAGATAACAAAATTATGTACATGTTAAGTCACATTAAATCTAAGAATATGTGTATCATATCAGTGTATTCAGATGTGACTGAGTTATAACTTCAAGAAAGGAGTGCAACTTCTGTCCGAGCGGCTAAATCAGCAGCCAAACTACAATAAGTACCGCAATCCCTTGCTCTAAATGGAAATTCCTTCAGTGTACTATGTTACTACAGAAATAGGAAAAATGATTAAAGTAAAAAACTTTACAGATTTATTCACATATGAAATACAAATTCTGACTGAAACAAGTGAATAAAAAGGCAAACAGATCAGTATATGTTGAAAGTACATAAAAATAGATAAAACGTTGTCAGGATATGTTAACACTGTTTAAAATCACACCTGACAGCGGCCAAGCTACACTGGACTGCTATTTTTACACACACACACCACAGTGTATTTTACAAGTCAATGCAATAATCAGTGTCCTGCACTGATTAGAAAAAGCAAAACCTTGAATACAAATGCACAAATATAATATTGAAAAAAATATACAGTAAGTCAAACATGGTGAAGCTCTGTTTCATTTCTCTTGGTAGGACTGAAACACACGATTAATATCAGGCTACATTATATTGTCAGCCAAATGTAATATGTTTATACTTTTCTGAGAATGATACAGTCTCAGCTTTTCTGAAGACGCCACAGTAACAATCAGAGAACTGAAACAAAGCTTCTTAACAGATAATAAGGACTTGTATATGGCTCCATAAAAACACACCTATTGAATACACTGACTAGTAAAAAGAGCAGATCTTTTGAATGTATGTTTGAATGTATGTAATATATGAGGTACTGGTTTACCTTGCCTACAGAACCTTAAATAGCACCTTACATATTCAAAGATGTAGCATGCTTCATTCATTCTGGATATACTGCGGTGAATTGGAAAAATCAGTGTGACCAAATTGACCGGAAGTTTATTTTCAGTACCAACATAAACTGGTAATGTACAGCTCAAAAAAGCAACGCAACTCTTTACCACAGTCAGTGCCAACTATTTAACTATCGTCATGCTAAATACTAGACTGGAAGGCTTTTGTGAATAATTACATTATTGCCATGCTGCCCTAGTAAGCCCCTCTAGGTTTGTGCTTGTATCATTTCTGGATAGTTAAATGGTCTGTGGTTGAGGTGGCATGAGAACCTAATGACTAAAATTAAAGGAAACTGAGGAAGTGGTCAAAGCCAAAATAAAATTGGTTTTGGAAATAATAATAAAGACCAAGATTTGTAGATATGTAAGGCAGAGCTTAAGTCCCGGTCAAGTCATGGCAAAAATGTATGACTTTCTAAAGAGCTGAAGGATCTGTCCTAGGTTTCTGCCTTTTAACAGGCAGTTTTTCCTTGCCCTTGTCGCCAAGTGCTTGCTCATGGTGGTACTGTTGGGTCTCTGTAAATAATGTTATAAAGAGTTCGGTCTAGACCTGCTCTATTTGAAAAGTGTCCTGAGATAACTTCTGTTATGAATTGGCGCTATACAAATAAAATTGAATTGAATTGAATTGAATTAAAGGCCTAATCTGACACAATGACTATTTTAACAGAGAAAAATATTCTGTCTGAACCTGGAATTACAATTTGAAAATCCCAGTTACTAATCACTGTAATGTTCTGTACTTTGACATTTTAGGGGTCAACTTGTTTGCTTGAGTTAGCGAGAGGATTAATACCAGTTTGTGCATTCTGTGGACAGACTGGTCCAGACTATTAAACTGGGCTTACACTGTAAAAATGTTGTTTCATTCTACCTCTTACTGTATGAGTAAATCGCCTGCAATGTTAAGCCAAAGCTCACGGTCAATGTGGACCATCTTGGCTATTGACAATTTTCAAAAAGGTTTCTTTTGAAAGGTGCTAACCCTAACCGGTCTGGGCAGATGGTCAACCTTTCTGCCTCTTCAAAGGAAGTTTTTCCTTGCCACAGTTGCCAAGTGCTTGCTCATTTGGGAGCAGCGGTCCTTGTTCCCCCTGTGTACAGTAGAAATACTGAAATTTAGTCTGTCTCTAAAAATGAGTCGTGTGGCTCAAAAATTTGGTCAGAAACTGGCTTAAATTATGCAATGTTTGTTCAGCTTTACCTAGGTGCAGGGGCTGGAAGGTGTGAGGTGGCCAATAGCCTTCATCAAAAGAGGAGAAATTTGACTCCTCGTTACTCTCACGTTGTTTTATTTATATGCAATATTTATATTTGACAAGGAACTTGGTCTACACTGGTCTTCTTCACTTACATTTTTTACACACGGGCACACAAGCAGATACATGCCAACAATCCCAGGATGACAAATTTCTGGAGTATATATGGATCTCATTTCTCAGTATTCAAACCTACAGGCACATAGTAGGAGGCAGGCTTTTTGCCCTCCCTTCGGGTGTGGTCATTCAGAGCAAATAACAAATGATCAGGTTTGCATTTAGACATGGTCAGACATGTTGTATGGCCTAGTTGACGCATACCTTAATACATGCCCCAACTTTGCTGGTAAGCAAGGTGTTGTTAGATTTGTGTGTTTTTTCTTAACTCAAGACAAAGAAGGTTATATATACAAAATTCACGTGCCACTAGAGCACCAGTATCTCAGACCAAAACAAGTGGCCCACCAGACGTCATTGACAAAACCAGTAATTTAAACTGTGAAACACACTTGAAACTAGTGACTAGTGTCAGCATTATGGAAAGGATCTCTACAGAGACAAACCATTTGTTTAAACAGAAACAGCCATACTATCACTATCTCTCGCCACCAGACCCCATAGACAAAAATGGTAATTTTACCTTGCAAATAGTGTAACATCGTAACTTAATTTGGTAAAGTGGACAAAAACAAAATAAAACTGTCTTTGTTAGTTGTTAGAAATAAAACCTTAATCCACCAACGTAGATGATAAAAACAGCAGTTTCTGTTGCTCTACTCAGCTGCACACATAGGGACTCACATGTACTAATTATGCACTCCTGGCCAGACCAGATTTGTAAACAAAACACGGACAGGCTTTGATAGCAACACAGGCAAAGTCATTTCGTCATTCTCTGCTGAGGACACCATGACTCCACTATATCTTTACATAGCAAATCGTTGTTTTGTGCCATATTAGTGTTTTAAATCTCATATATATATATATATATAACCTTTAAAGAGTACTTGCACTAGTACAGCATTTCACATTGTACTATTGGGCATCCCACAGACTTTGTGCAGCAATACTTTTCGTCCAAGCTCTCATGTGGTATTACTGTTTAAATGTGGACAAATTCAAGCATTTTTCAAATTCAAATCCATTGTTTTCCAAAAATAATGTGGTTGCAGCAGGCACTGACTTTGGCAAGCATTTGTTGTTATATTTATGGGTTTTGAGTCATCTTAATTAAAGGCAGAATGAGTAGGATTTGATTTGTCAGTTGCTGTTTTACACACTATTCAAAGTTGGCCCCTCCTCCCCAGCTCAATGAGTGTGTGTGTGTGTGAGAGAGAGAGAGAGAGAGAGAGAGAGAGAGAGAGAGAGAGAGAGAGAGACAGAGAGACAGAGAGAGAGAGAGAGAGCAGCAGTGGTCAAACGAGTTAGAGAGTGAACGAAGAGAGTTAGTGAGAATAAAGCAGTGAAGAAACAAAACATTATTTTCTGATTGTTTCATGGGAGACATTGTTTAAAGGGAAATCCTACTCATTTTTCCTTTAACTATATTTCCACAATAGCCAGAATGTTCTATATGGGGAGTTAATCTGAAAAATAAACCCACTGCTTTTTTTTAGCAAGTTTAGCAGATGTGTGTGTAGGATCTTATTTGCGCGGGAGGGCAGAGCAGCCAAAGAAATCCATGCCAATGCTGCGGGGGTAGCCTTCTAGCACCTTCAACGCCACAGGGTCAAACTTCCAATAGTGCGGTCCACTCAGAAAATTGGCGTAGCCTGTCAGAGGGGAAGAAAAAGCAAAAGTCAACTATGAATTTTTGAAAGTCATAATATAGGTTTTTCCCGATCCCAGTCCTCACCATATTTGTCCCGAAAGGCTGCATCAATATGACTGGGCACTCCTTCCCATTTGTGCATGCTGCGAGGATGGGCATCATCAACTCGATTCTCTTGAGGATTGAAGGGCCAGTAAGAAGCAGACTTGAAGAGGTAGACTTTTTCAACATGGTCCTCTTCCCACTTCAAAGCTGCTTGGATATCTGTCACAGGGAGACCCAGCTGCCGCACTGAATCTGGACCTGTAATCTTCCTCTCAGCATCGAACACCCAGTATTTGTCACCTGACATGGTAAAACAATATAAATAAAACCTACAGTCAATATTAGTTTTACCAATTTACAAATAATTTAGGAGTCTTCTTCTCCATGGAAAAGATTTTTCTGCTCTTCTCCAGACTGGCATCAGTAAGAGTTTGACTACGTTATATGGCTTGTTGATCCGACTGATTGATGTTCACCCGTGATAGACAGATTGTTGCCTGGTTGGTCACCTGCCAAGTACCTGCCCTTTTCCAAACAGTTTCCAACAACAATTTCCCAGATGATTGTGTGTAGCAAACCATCTGGTGCAGCCAGGTTAGCAGCTTGTTTGTTTAGGAAAACGTAACACTGTCTTAGGTAACAAGATTGGCTGAGGTTGAATGTAAACTTCCCTTAAACCAATGGAGAGCTGCTTTATTTTTTTATTCTTTAACAGAGTTTTACTACTTTCGGTCATTACACTGTCAACATCTCAACTCTTTTATACTCTTACTCTTTTTTATGTACATGTCAACTGACTTCCAGGTCTCAGACTTTTGAAGATAATATTCTTTCACTAGTTTATAATTTGAATACCATTTGAACTATGATTGTTAGTAATCAACAAGTTGAAATGTTTTAACTGCACATTTTCAGCAGAGCACACACATCTTCATCAAATGAAGCCTTTTCAAGTTTGGTTTGGGATGACTCTGAATGACTAACCTTGGAAGAGCCAGATGTTGCCGGACTTGTCTTCATAAGCAGCATCGATGCGGTCGGGAATGCCTCTCCAGTGTCGTGAAGCCAAGGCTGGATAGCCAGCTTGTAGCTGCCCATCACGGATACGCCAAACGTATCGGGACTTAAAGAAGAATAGCTCTCCCCTGATCATGGACACAGCATCAAAGGTTGTTCTGCAGGCATCCGGCTGAGGCACAATGACATAGCAGGGTTTTTTTTTCTGTGGACTAATATACGAAGTTACAAAATACAAGACTGGTAAACTCTCGAAGTACAGTACACGTAGCTTTGAGGTCTATTCCCAGTACAACTGTCTCACCATTCCAATGTCTATCTCATTGGTCTCTGTCATCTCGGGCGGTGCATGCCGAGGAGGACCATACAGATACTGGATGCCCCTTTTGTCATCCTCGCTCAGTTGCAGAGGGTAGGAGTCACTGTAGAAAGGACACATCACAGCATCAGGCTCCAGGGAGTGCTGCAGGCCCAGGACATGGCCAAACTCATGAGCTGCCACTTGTAAGAGATCAGTGCCTAAACGGGACAGCAAAGAATAAAGGGAAAATAATACTAAAATTAGTTGAATGCGTTACTCTTTAGTGGAATCAAATGAGGAACACAAATGAGATCTCTTTTAAAACTAGGTTTTGTTCAGAACAAGAAGACCTCCATTTACTTCAAAGTATTTCAGATTTACTCACCAGAAGAGGGACCAAGTCATTGTTTTGCACTCAAGTCCCAAGTCAAGTCATAAGTCCAAAACTTTGAGTTTTGAGTCCTAAATTCAATTCAATTTCAATTCAATTTTATTTGTATAGCACCAATTCATAACAAAACTTATCTCAGGACATGAGCAAGCACTTGGCGACGGTGGCATGGAAAAACTTTCGTTTTAAGAGGCACAAACCTCGGACAGACCCCGGCTCTAGCCCGGAAGCAGGAAAAATAGGCAGCCTGAGGATTTGAGCTACTTTTACAAGAGCCAAATTGTGATGTCTAGATGACTGGGCCAGAGCATCTCCAAAACTGCGGCTGTTGTGGGGTCTGGGTCCAGGTCTGCAGTGGTCAGTACCTATTAAAAGAGGTCCAAGGAAGGAAAAGAACCGGAGACAGGGTCACTGATGTACGTGGGGAGTGAAGGCTGGCCCATGTGGTCTGATTCAACAGGCAAGCTACTGTAGCTCAAACTGCTGAAACAGTTAATGCTGGTTCTGATAGAAAGGTGTCAGAACACACAATGGATCACAGTTTGTTGGTATGGGGCTGCAGAACATTCTGACCACCAGGGTGCCCAGGTAGTCAGAATATTATGGCTGATGGGTGTATATGTCAGTTTTATCTTTTAATGATCTTCGAAATGTGGTTGTCTTTTCAATATAAACCGGCCTAGCACAGATCATATCTAATTAGGGGTTCTGACCGAGGCTTGCTCAACTGTTATTGGAGCACAGAGCATAAAGGAGCAGGATGGAAGGAAGGGTCAATAAAGTGTCGACTTGCTGAGAATGATGGTTAACATCAGTTGATTCAGGAAATCTTTGGGCTTGGGGGAATGTATCTAGCAGAATGTTTTCAAGTCAAAAGTCCAAGTGAAGTCACGAGTCATTGGTGTTAAGTTCCAAGTCGAATTGCATGTCTTTTAGATATTGTGATGTCTAAAGTCATCAAATTTGTGATAAGTCATGTGACTCGAGTCCACACCTCACCCACTCACCCACATTGTTGCCAACTGTCCAATGCTCATCATAGTCAAAGTGGACTTCTCCCTCTCTGTGTGTCCTGGGGAAATAGGCATGGGCGAGGATTCCTCCAGGACCATCAAATGGTAAGCTGTCCCCATGCCAGTACCTGCAATAACACTTATTTTAATGTAATATCACACTTTGAGATTTCAGTATGCTTAGCATGTTGAAAAGCCAGGTGAAAGGATAAAAAGGAAAATTGTTTTAAAGGCATACTATGCAGTTTTCTGGTTTTGTCAAACAGCTCCCCCTAGAGTCGCTGCGGAGTACTTGTATTTAACGTTAACTGCCGTAAATACCACTCACCAGAGCCGTCTCTATATACAGCTCTGCGTCTCTGCACTCACGGCCTGATCCCCTCCCCCCTGTATACCGGTACATGTTCAGTAGGATGGAAGCGTCGGACATCGAACAGGCAAAGATAGACTCCGAAGATGTCTACTGACCAGGTAACGTCTGAGTGAATGTCTGCTAGTGTCTTCCATTGAGGCTGCTTCTTATGTCGCTGATGTATGTGACGTCACGCTGTAAAGCAATTTGTGATTCTCACGGGATTTGGCGGGACGCCACCTTTCAGACTTGCATTGCTGGTTCTGCCAACGGCGTCCCTCTCCTGCTTTGCTATTGGGATGATTCGCTATACTACGAGTTTGTTTACCATCGAAATGACTTCGAAGCTGTTACATTAAGGTAAAAATCTTGGATAGTGTGCCTTTAAATTGCATAATTTATGCAGCCTGTGTAAGATTCCAGAATCCCCCACTGCTGCCATCCTAGAGCTAGGATACAGCACTACCTTCTTCCTTTAACAGATGCATCAACATGCGCTCTGTGAATGCTAACCTGGACATGACTTCAGCCAGGAGAGAAAAACTTTCCTTTGATAGAACTTTGCTGAAATTTACATGGACAAGAGCAGACCTGCTGGCAGTTGCATCAATAGGAAATACATGAAATGAAGCATCATGTTTTATTTCCAGGGGGCATGAATGAGGATATCTCTGTTTTTATTGTGTTCTTTTATGAACATGATAATTGGATGCTTTTTAAAAATGTAATTTTTAATATTTTGTAGACATTCACAGTGTGTATTTATAGCATCTAAAGATATATTTTAATCGTTTTGTACTTCTGTATCTGTGGACCAAATATGGTGTGTTCCTCCAACATTAGACACACCCCTATAATTGGCTGCCAGTTCAGGAATGTGATTGGTCTCAATCCATCTATTTTTTCTTTTTGCTAAATGCAGAATAGACTTAATATTGTGGGAGAGCAGGGGCAGGCCTGACAACTATATCTAATCTTGGTTATATATTTTATTCCTTTTTCCCTTGTAATATTGTCAGAAATCTGTGTTTTGTCACACAATCCAATAGCCTGGATATCTAATAGCAGAACGACAATAAAATGAATGGGTCACATACAGTTAACAGTAGGCTGTAAGTTCAGTGTAATCATATATCACCAACTTGTTCTCCTAATAAGGTATGAAAAGACAAATAACCAATCTCCATTATATCTTTTCACAGATTCATTAAAACAAGGTTTTCTAAAGAATATTTTTGTTTCTAAACAACTTAATTTGATATGTTAAGATCAGCTGGATATTTAGTCAACTCCTGCGTTGTATAAGTTGTATATCTCAGCTGTTTCCACAACTAAAGAACACGAGTCGACACTCTTATCTCACTAATTAATCTCACTATTGTTGAAGCAAGAGAATTTGTTGCTACAACTGATTTTCCTTTTTACTTTAAATTGTAATCAATCCAAACAACATGTAATCCTATGGCCTGGCATTTTTACAGTGTAGCTGTCAGCATCTGTGCTGAGCATCTGTGAGCAGTGGACAATAACCATGTACTGACAGTGATTAACATGTGGTTACAGTTTACTGTTTGGCACAGCTGCAGAGAGGAAACAATCCCTTCTGATTATCCAACACATCTACTGATGCAAATCAGGCCTCGTGGTATTTGTTCGCACACATTCTAGCAGTTGAGCTACCAGGGCGCCGGGTTTTTGGTTTTTGGTGAATTGTCATAAAAACATGAAAAAGTGTCCGAACGCTGTAGGTAGGTAAGTTATACATGAGATTTAGAACATTAATATGGCTGCTAACAACTATCCTCTATGTAAAGATATAGTGGAGTCATGGTGTCACTCTCCCTCTGCCTGTGTTGCTATCACAGCCTCTCTGTGGTTTGTTTCTATAGCCAGTCTGCTCCGTGCGCAGCTGAGTAGAGCCACTGAAACTGCTGTTTTTATCATCTACGTCGTTGTATTAAGGATTTATTTCTACCATATCAGAGTTTGTGTTTGTTGGAAAGACTAACAAAGACTCTTTTGATGAGTGTTATTTTGTTTCTGTCCATTTTAAATGAATTTACAGTGTTAGAATAATATGTGAGGTAAAATTACAGTTTTTGTCTATGAAGTCTGGTGGCGAACAATAGCGATATTACAGCTATATTATATATACTATATATTCATATATATAAATGCAATTTATTGGCACATTAAGGGAGTTTGCAGTCCCTTTTTCATGTTTTCGTTTTATTTCATGCTTTCCTCTATTGGTCTAGCATCTTGCTTCAACAGTATTTGAATGTGCACAACTACTATGCATTGTTCTACTATTATAAATATTGGATGGATTGTCTAGTAATTTGGTACAGACATTCAGGATGAATTGTAATAACTCTGATTATCTTCTGACTTTTCACCCAGCGCCACCATCAGGTCAAAATTTCAGTTTGTCCAATACTTTGGTTTATGACTGAATACCTGCAAAACTAATGACAAGCCCCTCAACCTCAGCTGTATTTTTTAGCAAATGATAGCATGCTAAAACGCTAGATTTCGATGGTGAACGTGGTAGTCATTATTCCTGCTTAACTTCAGCTGGTTAGAATCAGCATTGTGAACATGTTAACAATCTTAGCACTTAGCTTGCGGCATTGCTGTGCTCACAACCTTGGCTGTAGACTCTTGACGTATTTGGAATCTGGTACATGAGCCCCTCAGCAGCTTCAGAGCTGCATCTGTGCTCATTTTGCTCATTCAGCTGCAGTAGTGACACCTCGTGCATAAAAACCAACTCAGCTGTGAGGGAGCTTACTGGTACCACAGCGAGAGTGCATAAGACATCTGATCTCACATATATCAGGCTACCCCACTCTCTGATCTAATTCATATTTATTTAGAGTTATTTGTAGTCTGGGGGTGAGATGAAAATCTTGTGTGTTTAAAACCATCAGCAGCCACAGAACTGCCACCTGTGCACATCAGTTTAGCAGTTATTTATTCAAAAATAGGAAGCAGATAGACTTGAAAGATTTCAGATTAGATTTTTCTATTTCCATTTTGTTACATTTTTCATAAATATAGCATTTTATAATATTGCTGGAGGGAATGTCACTTTATTTCTACATGTAAGTCAAGGAGACACTTCTAAGTCAAGAAGGGCTGTCTCCTTTTTTTAAATTGAATTACCTAAAAACAGTTATGTTAGAAAGCACAGTTATGAAAGTTACTTGTACAGGTCAGGACTTGGCAGAATTGTTATGCAACTTTAAGGTAATGTAACACAATGAAATAAGAGAGTTGTTATGACACAGACGTATTGTAAACCAAATGCCAAAATGACTCATCTGAGCTGATAAAAATGTAGCTGGAGGCACCCTATTAAAAACCCTGCCATACAAGTCCTGTGTTGCATTCATTCATGGTTGTAATCTGCTCTTGATCTCGCCTGGGAACACATCTGGTTTAGTTTCTACTGGGTCAGTCTGACAAAAGTCTGTAAGAGATTTATGTCAGGGTCAGATTACAGAGTTGCCAACTTTTGGTCTGTTTTTACAGGCTTTGTTTTAACAATGGGTTTCACATATATCTCAATACTGAGTTGCAAAACCATCCACACTCAGCACAACAGCAGTCAATGTGGACTCAACTGTGGATCACTCTTCATAAGACAAAATGCATGCAGTGACCACACATTCACATTTGACATTATATGAATTGTTTCTCAAAACACCAGAACTCTGTCTTTTGTTAAATGTTAAAATACTTGTTTTGTATTACGTTCCAACATAACACTAAATCACTGTATATTACACTGCAATATGCTACATTCTACTGCTTTTAAAAGAAATCAACCACAGCTGATTCCAATATAGCATTATGCCTGTGCTAATAGACCAGAAACACACAGAGACAGAGGAACTGTTAATGGAGGTGACACGTTGGACATAATCAATGCTGGATATCTGGACATACCTGTGTTAAAATGGGATGGACCAGGCATGCAAAAAGATTCATTCCAAGATGGATTTAAGAGAGCCATGTAGCAGTATTTGACTTGGGAGTGAGACTGGGTTGGGTGTGATGTGGATGAAAAGTTATGGCCAACTGCAGAAGACAGGGAACTAGCACTGCTGCATTTCTAGATCTGTAGCTTGACTATACTCCAATCAGCCATAACATTTAACCACCTGGGCACCCTGGTGGTCAGAATGTTCTGCAGCCCCATACCAACAAACTGTGATCCATTGTGTGTTCTGACACCTTTCTATCAGAACCAGCAGTAACTGTTTCAGCAGTTTGAGCTACAGTAGCTCGTCTGTTTGATCGGACCAAATGGGCCAGCCTTCACTCCCCACGTACATCAATGAGCCTTGGCTGCCCTTGACCCTGTCTCTGGTTCTTTTCCTTCCTTGGACCTCTTTTGATAGGTACCACTGCAGACCAGGAACACCCCACAAGAGCTGCAGTTTTAGGAATGCTCTGACCCAGTCGTCTAGCTATCACAATGTGGCCCTTGTCAAAGTCGCTCATTTCCTCACACATCAACATTGAGGACAAAATGTTCACTTGCTGCCTGATATATCCCACCCACTGACAGGAGCCATGATAACCAGATAATCAGTGTTATTCACTTCACCTGTCAGTGCTCACAATGTTATGGCTGATACAGGTACTGTATGTAGGGTGATATATGTACAGTTTCGTATGGCATCTTTGTACTCAAAGTGGAAACAGACAACTTTTTGTTGCTGTTGTTGTAAATGTTGATTGCACTTTGTTCATTTGTGTCTAGATTGGTTCCGTATGAGCCTTACTTTCACTATGCAATTCTGTTTCTGGCCTGGACTTCCTGAGAAAATGAAGACCCGATTTACGAGACCTGTATATAGACTGAATGAATTATCCAAATCATGCTTTTTCTAACATTAACACTACTCCCCATTTCGCATGTTAGAATAACCATTGTGCTGTTATTCATGTCAGTAAAGAAAACAGAGAAAAGTTTTTAAAACGTAAACTTAGAATATACTTATTATAATAATAATAAGTAATACTTACTTTACTTGTAATATTTTAGAGCAGTCGTTCCCAATCTTTTTCCTTAGGGGATCCCCTTTCTACCATTTAGTAAACTGACGACCCCTTAATAAATGACATATATTATGGATTTTTCATATTATATTGAATATATATTCATTATAATGTCTAATGAACCCAAATAGGGAAATCAATTTTGAGCAGATTGTTTGATTTCTCCACAGAAATTAATCAAATGCTGAGATATAGGCCTACTGTATAAATTTGAAGTTTTCTTCACACCATAAAATCAGGAAGGTTTTGGGGGGGTCACAAAACATGACGCATTGGCGACCCATAGTGGGGGTCCTGAGCCTGAACCACTGTTTTAGCGCACTCCAGACGTGCTGGGGAACCTCTCTTACCTGTTGAAGTCAATAATGATGTCAGCTTTCTCAGCAGTGACCTCTCTGAACCTCAGAGGAGTGACTGCACTCCACACACCAAACGCCTCCTGGAGGACATGCCGCACTTTGCCATCACTCATCTGCCAGGGGAAACGCACAATCCTATTGGACACACACACACAGCGAAAAAATACATTTGTAACATATAACCTTTTTAAACTCTCAGAGGATGTGAGTCTTTTGTAGGAGTCTCCACATCTAGGCCTACCGTCAACTTTCCAATATCATGTCCTAAAATATTTGCAGCGAAAAAATCACACATCTCTCAAACATAACATATAACAGTAGGTGTGGCAGGAGAATTTGTTACAAGTACCTAAAATTGAAACAGAAAAGTAGAAAAGGTATTGACAACAACTAATGGTTATTTTCATTGTTAATGAATCTGCCAATCATTTTCTGGTTCATAAATTGTCCAAAAATGTTGATCACTGCCCAAGCTGACATCCTCAAATGTCTTGTTTTGTCCACAACCCAAAGAAAACATTCACTGTCAGAAGTTTTTCTTAAAAAATTACTCAAAATGATTGGCGATTTATTTACTAGTTTACAACAAATCAGTTAATCATTAATTATCATTGCATCTTAACAGACAATTCTAAATGTTGCATTCTTCTCACAAACTAATGACTGTGTCAACCAAACTGCAAGAGCATTCTGCTAGAGTATATTTCTGTAAAACATGATCACATTATGCCATACCTGATACTGATTTAGTTTGCAAAAGGTCTTACTATAACACCCAGGAATACAGCTCTTTAAACGTACTACAAGGACCATCATAGAGAATATTTAATATTTCTATACAGTTATTCTTAATGCCTGCCACTGGGTCAGATTTCCCTTGAAATCAATGAAACAAGATGGTAGAAACACTACTGCTTTTGTCCACAGGGGCCAACAGAATCAACATGAAATCAAAGTTCCTTGTAGGGGGTTTAAATTCCTTTACATTCCAAGACTAGAAGCAGAGGAAAAAAGCTAATCAAAAAAGACTGCACAGTCAATTCAGGTAAGCACATGAAACTTTGACCCAAACCAGTGAGCTGCAGCTGAAGAAAAGGTGCACTGACTCCAAAAAACAAAACTCAAAATCAACAAAGTGAGTATGTCTGCATACATAGCAGTCATTCTCCTCAGAGTAAATCTTGTGATAAGTGTTAACAGACCCTGAATGGGCTCTCTCTTATTGTATAGCTGTATGGACAAGCTCAGACACACAGAAAGGATTTAATATGAACCTCTTTACCTCTGGCAAGCATCACTAACAGTGTTAAGGGACTCCCCCCAGATAGTAAGCTGTGTGTGCTGCTGTGTAAGGAAAATGCATGTGTCAAAAATGTGGTGTACAGTTAAAATAACCAAGAATGGCAATGCCATTATTCAATTAAATTCAATTTTATTTGTATAGCGCCAATTCATAACAGAAGTTATCTCAGAACACTTTTCAAATAGAGCAGGTCTAGACCGAACTCCTTCCAACATTATTTACAGAGACCCAACAGTACCACCATGAGCAAGCACAGGGGCAAGGAAAAACTTCCTTTTAAGAGGCAGAAACCTAGGACAGATCCTTCGGCTCTAGGTGGGTGGTCGTCTGCCTCGACCAGTTGGGGTGAGACAGAGAGAGGTGCACAGCAACAACAGTAGCAACAACTACACTAATAGTAGTGACTGATGAACATGAAGAAGATGATGACGACAACAACAACAACAATGGGACAACGAGCAGTGATTATAGTAATAATAGTAACTGTAGTAATAATAATAATAGTAATAATAATAATAACATTAATATCAGTGATATTAGCAATGGCAGTCAAGCAGGACCATGACAGGAGGCTCCACCAGGATCCATGAGAACCTGCGAGATGAGAAAACACAAGAACTCCGGGGAAGAAGTGAAGTTAGAAACATGCATTATTGGTACATGAATGTGTGCAGAAAGAGAGAGAGAGTAAGAGAGATTGCATATCGGTCCGATTCTTTTAGACCACTCGTAGGAGTATCATTTGAGTTTCATATGGAAATTACACTGCATAATTACATTGACGTCATCCTGTTTGAGTTAGAATTATAAGACGTTTTTTCTCAGTCTCACCACCCACTCGGTTCCCTCCCACCGTCTTGCCGAACTCCTCCATCCATTCATCCACCTGCCCACAAACCCATTTCCCTTTCATCCATTCAACCCTCACCCTTCCTTCCCATACCCCCTCATCTCTTGACCCTCATCCCTTCATCCCTCCATCCCTCCATCCCTCGAGCATTTCCCAATCCATTCAACCCTCCTACAGTACACATTGGTTTTACACACACATTTATTCATTATGTGCAATAAACCTTTCCAATTCCATACATTCATTGCCATTGTCTGTGTTAGTGAATACCAAAATGTTCTTGGATAAATTGTAAATGGTAAATGGACCTGTACTTGTATAGCGCCTTTCTAGTCTTCCGAGTTTGTGCTTAACCCTTACTTTCTCATTATGCTTTGAGTAGAAAGGTTTTTCTGACTGATACTGTACATGATCAGTTACACTGGTAAACCCTACAGATACACAGTCCGATCCTACTGGAATGTTTTTACTAACAGCACGAGAGTCTCTGATGTAGCAACAGTCTGTGTACACTGTTAACACAAGCACATATGCACCCACACAAACAGCAGAATGAGGCAGTGCTGACTTGATTCACGGATGCTTGTGTCATGCTGACCATCCTGGTAAACACATAAATAACAGTCTCTACAATATAATTATTAAGCAGTGCGAGTTTTAATTAAAGGATGATTCCACAATTTACGAGGTGGCTTGTGGTTCAGCCTACTTGGTTGTTTTGACAAATTGAATCTACAAACAATTTACACCACAAGCTAAAATGTAAACACATTGTTCTTTAAGTTACCGTTAGCTCACCCCCCTCCCATCCTATTTTCGCCCCCATGAGGTCCATATCAAACTGAAGCCATCAGCTTTGTTTTGCTCCATCAAGTGCTCTCAGATGAAATGACTTGTTTTTTTCTGGAGGTGATGACACTGTGTAACAACTGTGTTTGAAGAAGGCTGAACACAGCTGTTGCTTTGTCTTGAAATCTGAAATATACTTAATTAAATATGAGTATTTGTAAAGGAAACTTGACTAAATAAACCAAATAAAGCTTCCTAGAAAGATAAAGAAAAGATTCAGTATCCCTCAGCAGAGAAATAGCCCTAAAGAAACAGCATTTTTGAGGCTGATACTGATATTGGTATACACACACATAATATAGACAAACAACCCAACACATTCTCTTGTCCCAAATCCCAGGTCGTCAAATATCGATGCCCCTTAGTGTGTCATACAGAAGGTACCCTTTAGAGTCCGTATGAGACGGCTTTTTAAAGGTCCAGTGTGTACCATTTAGGAGGATCTATTGGCAGAAATGGAAAATAATATGCATAACCATGTTTTCATTAGTGTACTTAGCTGGTATTAGTATAATAATTATTATGCTTTTGTTACCTTAGAATGAGAATTCCCTCAACAGTAGACCAGAGAGGACAAACCAAACACTGGCTCTAGAGAGTGGCTTTTTTGCACGTTTTATAACCACCATAGTTTTTCCTTCCAGCTTAGAAGGTGAGGGTGAAGCGAGGGAGCTGCGATCTGCAACTACACTGCTAGATGGCACTAAATCCTACACTGGCCCTTTAACAAGTGAGAAACAGTCACAGGTTGGTTAGGATTAGGCAACAAACTTACTTGATTAGGGTTAGGAAAAGATTATTGTTTGGGCAAGATTTGTGTATAGATTTTTAGTTTTACAACTAGCATAAAATGTATACAACCCTGCGGTGTAAAATGACAATTAAATGACCCAGTATCCTTGTAAAATTTGTACGTTTTGTGGCGCAAGCCAACTTTAAACAAGTTGACTTTTGGGTTGACATGGGGCATGAACCCCAGTCTCCAGTGTGAAAGTCCTGTGTTGGTTTGACCCATCCCCAACCACGTCCTTACAGACTTTCTCGCTCTTACCCTATGTCAACTGACACAGATGGTTTACTTTGGAGTTAGATAAAAAACCTGCTGTGTCTGAAACAGATGGTTGTGGGTACCTTGTGCGTCGATCTGCTGTGACAAAACTGCAGTATTTGACACCCTGGGAATAAGCATGGGCTGACCTACTAACAGAGCCCATTTTTCTACATGTTTTATCTTCATTGATATTTCATCCCTTAAAACATTAAGCAGTGAATTCTAGATTGAAATACAGTGACAAAAGCTGTAATAAGTAGTTGAAAAGCTGAATAAACAAATGTACTTACAAACAGAATATTTGTGTTTCTTACTTGTAAGTGAGGTCGGTTTTCTCCCAGCGCCCTCCAAACAGAGCAAACCGCTTCTTGCGCTGCTGTCTACTCAGGCCTCCTTTCAGTTTCTTCAGGTTGTAGTATGACAGGCCAACCTGCGTTAAGGTGGGATAGTCTGGCACTCCGCAGCGAGGACGCTTCCAAAACTCAGTGTCATCTTTTGATGCCGGGAAAGACTTAAAATGCTGCTCATTATTTAGCGTGTTTTGTTCATGTCTTCCTCTCTTCTTCAGACCAATGTTGCTATTGCTGTGAGGCCATCCCTGCAAAGAAAGGCACAGTCACTGAGGTCATCATACAGAGACTCTTGTCCCAAATCCCAGGTCATCAAATACCGATGTTGTTTTGTACCGCCCCTCGATGTGCCATACAGAAGAACAAGGTACCCTTTAGATTCTGTATGAGACAGCTTTTTAAAGGTCCATTGTGTACCATTTAGGAGGGTCTATTGGCATAAATTTAATCTAATATGCATAACCGTGTTATCATTACTGTACTTTGTTAGTATTAGTTTGTTAGAATTGTTATGTTTTTGTTACCTTAGAATGAGCATTCCTTCATCAGCCATGTTCAACCACCATGTTTCAACATGTTTGTGGTTCTTGGCCACCAAAGTTTCTCCATCGTACTTCGAAAGGGAGCATAAAGCGACAGAGTTGTGATCTATAACTACACTGCTAGATTCCACTAAATCCTACACACTATAAACGATTTTAATTAAGTATTCGTTAAGGCCTTGCTATCTAAGTTCTGAGATATGAAACTGAAATTACAGACACTCATTCATCTAAGGGACTTTAAAGGTCTACATTTTTAATATTTAATAAATAAATCTTAACACTGTAAAAACACTGTAAGAAGTTTAAGAAAACTGACAGAAATAAGGCAACCAGTTAAAAAGTCTACTGTTTGTGAGTACCTCACTGATTTAGCATTGTACCCCTTTAAAGGTCCAGTGTGTAACTAAGATCTATTGGCTGATTTTGGAGTTTTAATCAAACTTCCATTTTAGGTTTACAAATTTGAGTTCTTTCAGCCAAAAATGTTTTATTTTGGTAATTTGGAAAAATAACTTAAGAAATTAAATTAGTTAAAGAACTATAGTCTTATTGTCCATTGGACTACTAATGATTCATTTTTCACCGGTAAAGTATTTTCAGCTTCCCCATATACTAGACTACACTGTTATTATAACCACTGCTGCATTTGAAACATCCAAATATGGATCAGCAGATCCTTGTTTTAACTCTGTGAGTCATGCTGTAAAGAACTAGAGGGGAGTGGTTGAAGTGGTTTGCATAGTTTTAATATTTATTATTGTAAAGACAATTTGAGTCATCTGAGACACGTATAAAAAGACACATAACAAACAGATCATTTATATTCGTTTAATCCTACTTTATACCAAAGATTATCAAATGTAGTTTTTACAGCACAGTCCAGAATAATAAACTTGAAACACAATTCTGGGACTTTCCTAGAGCCCAAAGTAGGGATGTACTGTTCTGCTCCAATGGCTCAAAGGCCATTATACTATACATTACTTTTTAAATAAATGCTTTTATAAAATGTATTGTTTTCACTAGGGCTGGGTGATAAATCGATTTTCGAATTTGTAGTTAAACACGATTTATTCTTAGTTAAAATCGGTTTTCTCTTGAACTTCCACAACACCACCGCTCCCTTTGGGCTCCCGTAGGTCAGAGTGCACTGACCTCTCCCCCCGCCTCTCCACAGATAAACACAACACGGCAGCAAGCCAGGATGAGCTCGTCCCCAAAAAAGGCACAGTGTCGTCGGTTGTTTGGAACTGGTTTGGTTTTGTGGCGTCCGACAGCGAACAAACCACGACCCACTGCAAAGTTTGTTTGAAACCAAAGGTAGCAGTACAACCAATTTATTCCAGCACCTCAAGCAGAGGCATGCAGCCGAGTGGGAGAAATGTTGCTCTCTGCGAGATATACAGGACCACAGCCCACAAACACCCACTAAAAAACAGTCTACAAAAAAATCGATTAAAATCGTAAATCGGGTTTGGTGTGAAAAAATCGGAGATTTTATTTTTAAGCCATATCGCCCAGCCCTAGTTTTCACTATAAGTGACATTATTAAGCCTGCCAAATCACCACAGCACTCCCTGCCCTCATGTCACCTTGATCCCAATGAGTTCCATGCAGTAAGGTATAGGATTTTAAATTTAAGGACCCCCTCCAGACATATATACAAATAATCCATTTGGAACAATAATGTGTGTCTGATATGTTTTTTTCACAGAAATAGTATAATATCCCCATTTCCTTAAAAAGTCATCTACTCCTTCTAGCTCATTAAAAAATCCAGAATCACTGTACAAGTTGCATACTGGACCAGGACTGACTTCCAAACTATTTGCGACTTCACAAATCATATTGCACAGAGAAACTTTCCACTTTCAGCATATGAATGTGAAAACATCCTTCTACTGTCACACTCTGTACAGACATCATTCAAACAGCACACCGTAGGGACAGGAAGAAACACTGATTTTTAACTGAAGGGGGGCTTTAAAAATTTAAAACATTAGCACTGGGGAGAAGAAGTCAGATGTGTGCACCCCTTGGCCCAAAGTGACATCTTGAAATTTGTCTTGTCTGACTAACAGTTCAAAACTTCAGCTCTCAAATCCATCCGATGACAGCACTTCTTTACCTGCTGATACAGTCTGGTTTCTGTCTTGCTGATTTGACTGTTTGAAGCCAGCAAGGTCAGCTGTCCCATCAGCCAATGATTGCTGGTACAGTTCACGTTCAGAGTTGCTGAGTGGGCCATTTGAAGACCAGAAGACAACAAGCTACACCAGTATACGCACGACTATGGCTGAGATCTAGCAACAGGGTGGAAATTATTGGGTGAGAACTATCATTGGGCTGGTGCATCCTTGTCTTGCATTGTCTCACACCAGAGATACATGAGGTCATTGTTAAATAGATCTATTTTCCCAAGGTTAACAAAAAACAAATAATCAGATTCATCAGTTGTTGAAAAATTGGAAGACTCTGAACAAAACATGTGAATTGTTACCGCAAGCAATTCTGGAATACATGTTTGTACTCTTTTAATCTGATATGAGACCACCTACAGTTTGAGTGCTTTGAGCTACTGTAATAAAGTGCTTGTCAGAATGAACTTATGATATATGAACTTTTGATCTCAACAACCACTAATCTGTCAAATAAGTCAACACCTGGATTCTGTGTCCTGTGAAGCTAATGGTGAAACAAACAGGATTAAATTGACTTCACAGACAAAAGGTCAGTTTACGCTTTAATTTATGTAACCTCAGTCATGTAAGAAGTCCCCTCCGCCCAGTCTAAAGGCTAATTAAAGCCTAATTTACTGATGAATTGTCCTTCATGATTGTATAGCAAATAAGACAATCAATGAGAAGAATTACATGCTTAAGCAAAACGTCAAAGGCTCTAATGTAAAAGGATTATGGCTTAATATTTGTTCAAATACTTGACAATAAAAAGCCATGCTGGCCCTGAGTCACCCTCAAAAACCAACAAAGTCTCTCTCTGGGAATGAACTCAGGTAAGCCATCTGGCCCAAATCATTCATTATGCTGTCAAGAACAGAGAGAAGTGGTTTACTGCTTAAAGATGGCTAACTAATAGGCCAAATTTAAAGGTTATATATACACACACACATATATCACATATATATATACGTGTATATATGAGATTTAGAACATAAATTTAGCAGCAAACAAGTATTTGTTATGTAAAGATATAGTGGAGTCATAGTGTCACACTCCCTCTACCTGTGTTGCTATCGCAGCCTCTCTGTGGTTCGTTCACAAATCTGGTCTGGCCGCATGTGCATTTCTCTCATTTAAGTTGGTGTTTTCAGGACTTATTTTGACCATTTTTATTATGGTGATTGTTTGAACAGTGGAAAAACAATGTTTTTGGTGAGTTTAATTTTGTTTCTGTTAACTTCGAATGAATCATGTTATGATGATATGAGGTAGAATTACTGTTTCTGTCTATGTGGTGAGTGATAGAGATATTACGGCTGTTTCTGGTTAAACAAAAGTTCTGAAGTTGATTCTAACCCTAACCCACTGCAGCAAAGACCCAGCCTAATTACAAATCTTTTCAACAATATGTGGTAGTATTCTTTTAAATTATTTTTTACGTAAAAAAAAAAGTTAAGCTTGAAGTTAGAAAAAAACATTTACCTCACTTAATGACATCATATACAGTATACTGTATTTACAACACTTTGTTCAAACTATGTGATGCTTACATTGACTGAAATGTTAGATGCTCTACCATTTCACGAAATGAGAAACATCAAGTCCTCTTCTGTAGAATTTGATAGAAATTTCTAATATATTTGTAATTTATATTAAAAAATCATAATTATTATTATGATTTTTTAAATATTGGATATTGTAATCCATTAGTTTATTGTTTAATTTCTCAATTGTTTTGTCTATAAAATGTCCAACCAGCAGTTTTAAACACAAAGATATTTTGTTTACTATAATATGACAAAGAAAACCAGCAAATATTTCAGGCATTTTTGCTTAAAGGATGGTTGAAAATAACGTATCGACTACTTATTTCATCTCTAGCAATCTAAAATAAAGTCAACCTTTAGGAGGGTCAGAAATGGAATATAATATTTATAGGTATGTTTTCATTAGTGTGTAATAGCCTGAATATAGGAATTGATTTGGAGTTTTTGTTACCTTAGAATGAGCCATGTTTATCTACAAACGCTGTGGCCCACCTTCATGTTGAACTGCAATGTTTCTACAGTAGCCCAGAACAGACAAACCAAACACTGGCTCTAGATAGGGGCCATTGTAGTTTCTCTTCATGCTTGCAAGGCAAGTGTGAAGTGAAGGAGTTGCAATCTAGAACTACACCGCTAGATGCCACTAAATCCTACACACTGCAATTTTAATCGCAAACAATAACATATTTTAAAATATTTGCTTGGAAAAGCATCCAAATGAAGATATTTTAACTCAAAAACAATACATGTCTTTATTCACTGAACTTATGCATATCACTTAGTCTGTAGTGTGGTTCAACATGGTCATAACAATTTATTAAATTAATTTCCATTTTTTAACACATTCATTTTTAAATCATCTAAATGAATGACAGCATTTGACACCAAACTGGGGTGACAAGGCATTTTTTAGGGGTGGCCACTGCCACCCGGTGCCACCCCTCTAGATCTGCCCTTGTGCACAACATACATAATA